GAGGGGGGCGGTGGGGTGGGGTGTGGAAATGCACTTGGGGTCGCTAGTGTGACAGGAGTTGCCTGGAGGCAGAACCAGCTGGTCTAGGGCTGGTAATTCCTGTGGCATTTGAAGCCTAGGTGCTTTTGGAATTTGCCGGGTAGCTGGAGACTGTTTTAGAGAGGCTACAAGAAAATTCCAAACTTGCTCAGAGGCTTGGGTAAAAAAGAAAAGAAAACCTAGTGAGCTGGGAAGTTACCCCGGTGGGAGCCCCGTTTGCAGCTCTGGCCTACACTAGTGGCTGCTAAGCCACAGGCAGTGGCTTTTTCATGAATTTGTACCTTTAAGTTGGTGCCAATTATGTAGCATGGATAATAAAAACCCAGAGACAGATATTGGGGTTCAAGCTGAAGATCAGAAAAGCAAAGCAGCCAACCACTAGAGAGTTCTTAACTCTACCAAGGTTGGGGTGATCCTGTCCTCAGTGTGACTGCAGACTGCATACACTGTGCTCCTGTCTCTACCCACCTTATATTCCTCTCTAGTGCTGGGATTAAAGGCGTGCACCACCACCACCCAGCTTCTATGGCTAACTAGTGTGGCTGGTGGGATTAAAGGAGTGTACCATCACTGCTTGGCCAAATGGCTGACTAGTGTGGCTAGCTTTGCACTCTGATCTTCAGGCAAGCTTTATTTGTTAGATCATAAACAAAATACCACCACATTGTATTTTGAAACAAGGTTTTGCTGTGTATCCCTGGTTGATCTGGAACTCACTATGCATCAAGTTGAAACTGACAGCAATCCTTCCATGTTAGCCTACCAAGTGCTGAAATTACTTGTGTGAGCCACCATGCCCGGCTGGTTCTTTCTTTTTCATCACTTTAATATAAAGTCTGCAATTAGAAAGTGAAATGCTTGGCTTGGTGTCATTAGATGGAACGGTTCAGGTCTGGGGTAGGAAAATGAGCAGAGTATGAAAGAAGGCAGCAGCAGCCAGGCTGCTTGGGAGGCAGCTGCTTTGTTATCTGAATAGATTTCAATCTGTCACTCGGATTTCTTGGCTTCTCAACAGAGTTATTCATAGTAAGCAGGTTATAACGGGGTTTACTTTGAACTCTCCCCTCATCCTCAACACTGGCAACTACCATTCTCTCATTTTTGTCTCATTCTGATCACTGTAGATACTGCATGCACATGTAATCATGCAGTACTCAGACAACTCTCAGACTTTTAATACTAGACAGCCATTGCTGAAGGTTATTTTTCTGGTTTTCTTGGTTACTGAATTGTTCCTGACCTGGGGTAAAAACTCAATGTAAGCAAGTTGTTTTGTTTGTTTGTTTTTGTTTTTTTAAATTTGTACTTCTTTCTGTGGACTGTGGAGTTGACAGCAGTACTTTGAAGTAAAACCCACCAGACTGTTTGCATAGCACATTTGAAGTTCTGGATTTGATTCCCTGCAGCTCAAGATCATCCTCAGCTATACAGTAAACTTGAGGTTGCCCATGCTATACAAGCCCGTGCCTCTAAAACAGGAAATAACAACAAAACCCAAAACAAAAGCCTCCAAATGACCCCAACCCCAACAATAGTAACAAAACCCAACAACAACAACAACAACAAACAAAATCCCAAACCACTTTCATGAGAGTAACTTTATAAAACCCACCTTGTGCTAACCTGAAACTTCTGAACAGAATGTGCTGTGGGAGAAAACATAGGATTGAGTTGGTGTGATGGTTAGTCTAGAATCACCTGGGAAGAGCGTCAATGAAGGATTGTCTAGATCAGGTTGGTGTGGGTCTATCTATGGGAGATTATCTTAATGACACTGAGAAACCTGCTCACCACAAGCGACACCATTCCTTAGGAAGGAAATTCCCAACTTCATTAGAGAAAGGAAGCAGAGAACAACAATGTGATCAATCATTCATGGCTCTCTGCTCTTGACTGCAAATGTACTGTGACAAATTCTCTCAAGCCCACATATGTGAGTGTACCATGTGCATGTTTGGTGCCCAAGGAACCCACAGAAGAGGGTACTTGATCCCCTGGAATTTGGAGCTACAGATGGGTGTGAGCTGCCATGTTGGTGCTGGGAACTGAACCTGGGTCCTCTGAAGAGGTGGTGGGTGGTGCTCTCAACTGCTGAGCCATCTCTCTAACCCCCTTTTCAGAATATATTTATCATGGCAATAGAAACCAAGACAGCTGGAAACCAATTATTTGGCAGGATGTTTAGCATGTAAGCTGTATTAAAAATTGAGACCCCCCCTCAAATAAAAAAAAAAAAAACACTCACTGATAACTCATCATGCGGTTAAAGTGTGAAGAACAGGGCTGGAGAGATAGGTCAGAGGTTAGAGCACTTCCAGAGGACCTGAGGTCAATTCCCAGCACCCACATGGTGGCTCAAAACCATCCATAATGAGATCTGGCGGTCTCTTCTGGTCTGCAGGCATACATGCAGACAGAACACTGGATACATATTAAATAAATTAATCTTTAGAGAAAAAGGTGTGAAGAACAAAGTAAAACCCACCCTCATGTAAAAATAGACTTCTGTGCCTTCACCTGGCTGGTTACCACAGAGGACCTTTCTACAGTTCCACTACATCTTAGGGTAAACAAAACAAAATAGAAGTCAATAACTTTTTAAAACCAGTAAGAACTAAACATGCTTTATAACTTGGAATTAAAGTATACTTTTTTTAAAGATTTATTTATTATGTATACAGTGTTCTGTCTGCATGTATGCTGCAGGCCAGAAGAAGGCACCAGATCCCACGGAAGATGGTAGGGAGCCATCATGTGGTTGCTGGGAATTGAACTCAGGACCTTAGGAAGAGCAGTAAGTGCTCTTAACCTCTGAGCCATCTCTCCAGCCCGGAATTAAAGTATACTTAAAAATATGTGTATGTGCTAGGCAGTGGTGGTGCATGCCTTTAGTACCAGCACTTGGGAGGCAGAGAGGTAGGTGGATCTCTGTGAGTTTGAGGCCAGCCTGGTCTACAAAATGAGTTTCAGGACAGCCAGGGTTGTTGCACAGAGAAACTCGGTCTCAAAACATCCCCCCCCCCCAAAAAAAAAAAGTGTCTGTATTGTGCAGAAAGAGTCTTGCTATGCTGCTCAGCCTGGTCTTCTGACTCTTGGATTTAAGCTATTCTCCTGCCTTATCCTCCCAAATAGCTGGGGTGACTGTGACATGGTGAATGGCACTATACCTGACCTTTAAAACTCTTCTAATCAATTCTCAGTAATGTGGTAAATGTATAGTTTATTAGTTTGGGGGAGAAAAGCAAGACAAAGAAAATACTTAAAGATTTATTTCTATTCGTGTTGTTTGTTTGCATGGTACACATATGCGGGTATGTGTGGGAAGAGAGCATTGGGTTCCCTGGAGGTGGAGTTACAGATGGTTGTGAGCCATCTGAAGTGGGTGCTGGGAACTGAACTCTCAGGTCCGTTTGAAGAGTGTGATGGCTATCTTTGGCTGTTAACTTCACTACAGCTGGAAGTAACTGAAACTCCAAAGGGACACATCAGTGAGGGAAATTTGCTCAATTTGAAGTGTGGAGATCCACTTCTAACCTGGATCTTTGCGGTAGGAAGACACACCTTCAATCCAGATCTTCTGAGGTAGGAAGACCTGCCTCTAATTTGGGCCATGTGTTTTGCTGGTACCCTATATAATACAAGGACATGGGAGAAAGTCTTTGCTCGTTGCCTGCTTGCTTTTGCCTCACAGCACATCCATTCCTCCACTGGCTTTAGAGTCTCCTTCTTTGGGATCAGTTAAGACATCCAGCCGTGTGGACTGAGCAAGTACTGGATTCTTGAGACTTTCCATTCACAGGTAGCCATTGTTGGATTAGCTGGACCAAAAAAAAAATCCCCTTTCTATATACACAGAGAGAGACTCATTCAAAGTTGTTATTCTAGAGAACCCTAACTAATACAAAGGGCAAGCACTCTTAACTGTGAGCCATTTATTCAGCTAAAGACATTTAAACAGTAGCTTACTTTGTATGACTGTCTTTAACAGCTGATATCTAAGTATGTTTCTCAAACAAAGCAAAAGTATATTGCACACAGTGATCTGAATATCAATAATTTTCTTATTCTTTTTTATTTTTTAAGATTTTATTTATTTATTATGTATACAGTTTTCTGCCTGCATGCTAGCAGAGGGCACCAGATCTCATTTAAGGTGGTTGTGAGCCACCATGTGGTTGCTGGGAATTGAACTAAGGACCTCTGGAAGAACAGTCAGTGCTCTTTACCGCTGAGCCATCTCTCCAGGGCCTAATTTTCTTATTCTTATAAACTTGAAATTATGGAAGTTTTTTTTTTTTTTCACTTTTTTTTTTTTTTGTGGTGCTGGTGACTGGATCTCTGCCATAGATACATATCCAACTCTAAAATTATACAATTTTCATGTTTAATTTTTCCATCCTTCCTTTCTTTTTTTGAGACAGGGTTTCTCTGTGTAGCCCTGGTTGTCCTGGAACTCACATTGTAGACCAGGATGGCCTCAAACTTTGAGAGTGGCTTGCCTCTGCCTCCTGAGTATGGGGATTAAAGCTGTGCACCACCTCTCCCAGTGTATATGTTAGCTTCCCTTTGGAAACAATAAAGCATGAGTTTCTTTTATTCAGCTCATTCTTTTCTTCAGTGCCCATTGTTAGACCCAGGGGCTAGATCTAATTTTTAAATGTTATTATTCAGCTTAAATCACTCTACTCACCCGTCAACAATAAAGAAAACAGTATTTTTAAAGCAGATGTCAAAATTAAATCAATAAACTGATTAAAAATGATTATAAAATACACTAAAGGTCTGAATACAAAACACTACCGAGCAGAGTTCAGTGTTTTCATTGTGATGGTTGTTTCTGATATTTGCAACTCAAATATACACATAAAATTCATGAGAACATAACTGGTCCAAGATTGTTCATGTTTATGTCAGAACCCAAACCTCTTGCTACAGTGAGAGAGAAACAGCTGAGTACACTGTTAAGGTTTTCAAGTAATGTTATGTACAGTTTTATTGCCAGTATATGCACAACAGTAAGCATAGAACTATAAATACACAATGTCATTAACAGTAAAAAACAAAACTGTTACAGTAGGGTAGAGAATATGGAGCAATATCCTTTTTGTTGCTGCTAGAACAGAATAAAAACAAAGGAAGGGAAAAGCCTACAACCAACCATCCATCCAGTTCTCTTGGCTTAAGTTCTTTACATACATTTCTACATTGTTTTCAGTTGAACAAAGTATAGATAACTCTGTAACAATAGCAAATTGCTTCCTTAACAGCCATTTGCTTTCCAGTCAAATTCACCTTATGTTAGGATTAAAAAAAAGAAAAAAAAAAAAAGGTCAAGATGAGAAATAAATGGTATCCTGGTTCCAAATTACCTAATTTGGTGTTTTACCCAAACTGGTAATATTTGAAAGTTGGCTGCACATAAAAATAATAGCTTTAGCAGAGGTGATTAAAAAAAAAAAATTAGAAGGTAACAAAACATCACCTTAAAGTAGTTTTCCAAAACCCTGCAGGCAGCGGTTTGGTAAAGTGTCAGCCCTGAAGAGGTAGAAAGTGTGAGCCCACTGACACGAGCCTCGGCACCATCTTCTCTCTCATCAGGACCAGGGTTTTCTTTCGTAAGACAATTTCATGGTCAAAGGAAACCAGGTTCCACCACTCATCAAACAGGTCCTGGTTGACTCCCATGTCAATAATTAGTTTATCAATTGAGAAACAGAAGACAGTCAAAGACACACATGCACTTGATTTTTTCATCTGTTTCCATTATCAAGTCTATGCATAAGTGAATTCGATATTAATAAATACAACAAAAAGCATCATTCACAACAAAGATAAACCAAAAAGCTCTGCAACAAAACCTTCCATTTTAGTAATTTCCATGGAAACCCAGGCAGGTGATTTGGTGCAGCTTTCTTACGGGGTCAGAGAAGGGGCACGGCTTTAAATAAAGGTGGCAACATCAAGAACCAACAGACACCATCAGTCTTTCAGAACTGGCTGATTCTATGACATTTCTCTTTGAGGTCATCCCAAAGAAGTTGCAGTTAATGACGTGTACCACAGCCACATCGACAGAGCCTGGCAGGAGTTCCAAGTAGCCCTGCTGTGTCTCACATCATTGTCAGCATCTCTAGCATAGGACATGATACGGAACAAAACTCAAAGAAGCAATAAAAATATTCTTCTGCAGTTGAATAAAGGCAAAAAAAAAAGTTTAGTCCTGTTAAACTTTTAAAGCCTGAAGCATTCCTGTTTAACCAGCATTTTAAAAAATTTATACAATCATAACACTGGCAAAGGTTAATGGGAAGACAAAGAAGTAAAAACGTGAAATGGTGAATTGGATTAAAAAATTCCTTTGTACTGATCAACTGACGTTAATACTGCTTTTCCTGAATTTGGAATAACTATCATAAAGTTACATGCAGACTGAGGACACCCTCTGTCACAGAAAATACAGAACAGAACAAAACAGAAAACTAGATAGAACTGGGAAACGGTAGCTTAGTCCAAAAGCTGTACTTGAGAGTTTCCTTTCTTCGAGGAGGGCGGGCAGTTGTCTTTTCCGAGACCTGCAGCACTAACTTTGTCCAGAAACATCAGTAGTGGGATCAGCTCCTGCAGAGCCTGTCTGTGCACGTTTGATGTAAAGGTTCAGCAGCTTCATCTGCAGATCAAAGCCACAGAGCCGTCTGAACAAACTGCTCTAATTATAATAATATGCTCTCTAAGAAATTATACATGCACACACACACACACACACACACACACACACACACACACACACACCCATCTGAAAGATATGTTTGAGGACAGGGTCTCTCAAAGCCATGCTGTCCTCAAATTCATATGAGCCTGAGGATGACCTTGAACATCTGACCCTCTTGTTTCCATCTAGATCACAGGTGTGCACCATCATGTTTAGTTTATGTGGTGCTGGGGTCTGAACCAGGGCTTTGAGCATGTTAGGCAAGCTGTTTACAACTGAGCCACATGTCTTACCCTGTATGTCTATTTTCACTTTGTCTTTTTGCAACTTAATATATAAATCTGTTCACAGTAAAAACAATTGTTGGGATTTGGGAAAATTCTAAATGAAGCAAGCCTCCAGTTAGCTGCACTCAGCTAAAATTCAACCATCATAGTTCATTCTCACCCTATAGATAAGAACAAGTTTCAAAGCTCAGTATGATCAATACATTAAGAAATATAACCTCTATCTAAATTTTTAAGTCTTACAGATGAACCACGAAGTTTTAGTTTAAGATACTAAGCCAAAGTTGCATGGTAATTAGGATCACAGTAAAGCCACAGAAGCTGCTGGGGGGTGGCAGCCCACATCTGTATTCTAGCACCTTCAAGGCAAAGATAGAAGAACTGCTGTAAACCCAAAGCCAGCTGGCACTGCAGAATCTTACCACAGAAGAAAATGTGGGTGACAGATAAAAAAATAATGGGGGAGGGGGTATCTTGAAAAAGTATGGCAAGATTGAACCACAAAATTGGATAGAATAGAAAGAGTAGAGATTTGCTTTTCTAAATTATGATCATGAGACAGTTGGTAAAAATTATGCTCAAAATACTAATGGTACAAACTTTAAGTGCAAAGGGCCTTTCTTTCTAAGTAAGAGGTAGCCTGCGGGATCATAGAGAGGTCCTGGAGGTGGATGTGGGTGCTCAGGGACTGAGGAGGACACTTTGGAGGTAACAGGTAACTTTGGCCCTGGTGGAAGTTTCAGTGGACAGGAAGCTACAGTGATGGAGATGGCCGCATAGGAGTTAGGGAGAGGTGATTGTGGTCACTATGAGTGGTCCTGGTTACAGGAACAGAGGAGGCCACGGTAGTGATGGACAGCAATAAGAAAACCACGGTGTGCTTACCATGAAGTTCTTCTGGCTGCTATAATGATGGTGGTGGTGTGAACTCTGATCAGTCTTGGAAATGTCATGGCCAGCAGCCATTAAACTATGGACCATGACGGGGGCAGTGTTGGTGGAGGGCACTCTGGCACTCCCCAAGGTGTTAGATATGGTAGCAGGTTTAAAAAACAGCAAAGGTCTCGGCAGGAAAGAGGAAGCGTTGCAAGGCAGGTGGCCTTGAGACGGCCCTCCCACACAGAAGATAAGCTATAAAAACACGGCACAGAAGCAGCTGTGGCCCCAGATCAGCAGCACTGCAGCTGCAGCAGGAGGCCCTTCTGCAGATGCCATCCACAGTACAGCTACTGACCAATCAGGGCTCCTTTCACAGAAGGCACTTCTTTCCTTCTCACTGCCCCAGGCACACTGCCTGTAGGGGCAGCAGTAGCACCAGACTGAATGAGAAACACGCTTGGCATGGGGTGCCCACCTTTGATGCCAGCACTTGGAGGCAGAGGCAGGCGGAGCTCTGAGTTCCAGGCCAGCTAGGATTACATGGTGAAGACTTTGTCTTAGAAAACAAACAAACCAAAAGAATTAAGAAACTTAAAGACAGACAAACAAAGCAAGTGATTCTTGCTCAGCCTCTGGGGTACTAAGATCACAGGCCCGAAGGGGCTCTTAATCACATTTTCAAGGGAAATTTTTAAAAACTTCAAGTGTTCCACATTTTGAGAGATATAATTTGTGAATAACTACAACAATATGTTCTTAACTAAACTGTTATGACATACTGGTTGAAGATATGTTACATTTGTTTATGCTGTGGAATATTTGTTTAATGATGCAAATATGTGTTACATTCTTTTATGTTGCATTTGTTTAACTCTGTGAAGCTGTGTTGCTGTGCCTGCCTAAAACACCTGATTGGTCTAATAAAGAGCCCAATGGACAATAGCTAGGCAGGAGAAAGGATAGTGGGGCTGGCAGGCAGAGAGAATATATAGAAGAAATGAGAGAATGAGAGAATGAGAGAGAGAGAGAGAGAGAGAGAGAGAGAGAGAGAGAGAGAGAGAGAGAGACAGACAGACAGACAGACAGACAGAGACAGACAGAGAGGAGCAAGGAGTGAGAAAAGAAAAGAAGGGGAAGGAGAGAGGACCCCAGGGGCCAGCCACCCAGCTTCATGGCAAGCCATAGCATAAGGAGTAAAGAAAGGGTATATAGAAAGGTAAAAGCCCAGAGGAAAAAGGTAGAAAGGACAGAAAGAAGCCAAGCTAAGGTTAGGCATTCACAAGTAAGCATAAGTGTCTGTGTATTTATTTGGAATCTGGGTAGTGGGCCCCCAAAGAATCAAAGAGTAAAACAAACTAACAACACTACACTTTCCCCCTGGGGAAGGGGGTCAGGCTGTAAGTGGGAGGCTGTCAGCAGTTACAAATAACCAGGAGCTCCACGTGTTAGCCCTACAGCAGCCTCCTGACCATCCCACCTCTGCTGGTGTTAGTCACTGCAGTGCAGACCTTAGGAGCAGAGAAGAGCTGAAAGGCAGCTGGAGGAATAAAAGCAAAGTGAAAGCTCAGAGAACTATTTACTAAAAGCCGAGTAGCAAGTTCACCATCTACACACAGAGAACTAAGTATTGAGGACTCATCATGGCTGCTACCTGATTGCCAGCCTCAGTGCTACTTACTTTACTGCCAGTGAGTTGACTGAGGTGTGGCTTGAGTTCATCACCAATCACTGCATGAACAGCTACCAGGCAGAAGACACAAGCTTTCCGGACACTGCTTTCTGAATTATCGTAGCCCTAGGAAAGAGAGGCCACGTTAGTGTCTCTGATGGTGTAAGAAAGCCACCTTCAGGAACAGAAGGGAGCTGTGACACAAACTGTCACCTGCGTCCCAAAACCCAGGCAGGAATGACACAGCTATCCTTCCTCTCCACCCCACTCCAAACCCCACCTGCTGCCAGGGTTCTCGCCATGTCCTTTCTTTAGAATCCACATCCCCAGAGAACCCCCTTAGAGCATGCAGCTCGGAGGCAGTGCAGACCTCCTAACCAATGAGGACCTGTTAGATGCCATGGTTTGCCAGTCAAGGCCTTCCCATACGCCAGGCCTAGCTTGTTTCATGTGTCTCCCTCTTTAAATAAGCTTCTCAAATAAATCTAGTCTAGATAATGCACTTCTCTTATGTTCGGACACACCCTTTATTCTCTCTATTCATAAGTACTAAATCAATTACCTGAATACAAGTAAACACTTTACCAAGAGTCCATCCCCACTAAAGTCATATCTTTTCTAAAATGACTGGAAACAGAAATATCAGATAACATCCTTTGGAAAGAAATTCATAATAAAAGATGTAACTATTCTGTTTTACCATCTTTGTAGAATTAGAAATTAATTTTTATCCATTTAGCACAATCCTAGTTTTACTACTCTTTAGTACTGTAAATTCAGGCTTGATTTCTGTGATATGAATGAATCCAGAGCTTTAAGTATGATGGGAAAATATTCTACCACTAAACCCAAGCCCAAATGCTCTTAAGTTTACTTCTGCTGACTTTTCCAATTACAAGTAACACTCTATACTACTATATTTGATATTCAAAAACTGTGAAGGGCTTGCTATGTGACCAGGACAGGTCAGGCTAACAATGCTCAGTGTCCAGTGAGATATAACTGATCCTTGCAGAAGAGTTACTGAATGCCATGGTCAGGAGAGAGCTGGGTAGGAAATGGATACTCAGAGAATACTTCACAATGAAATCTAAAGGAGGAGGAAGCTGGTTGGGACAATGACGTGGGGTGGGGTGGGGTAGGGATGGAGCTCAGTTGGTAGTGTGCTTGTCTAGGTCACACAAGGCCTGGGATTTGATGCCCAGCACTGCAAAAAACGCGTACTTGGCTCTAATCTCAGCACCCAGGAGGGGAAGTAAAGGCAGGAAGACCACAGGTTCAAGGTTACCCTATGCTAGATAGCAAATTCAAGGCCTGTCTGGGCTATATAAACTTCAATCTAAAAATAAGGACAAGGAACTGGAGAGTTGGCTCAGTAGTTAAGAGCACTAGCAAAGGGCCAACCACATGGCAGCTCAGAGCCAGCTGTAACTCCAGTTGCAGAGAATCCAATGCCCTCTGTAGGTTCTGTTGAAACTGCAGGCACAGACACAATACAGGCAAATATCCATACACATAAAACAAAAATACATTTCAAAAGATAAAAAGGACAAAAGGGAATGTACCAGAGAGAGAGAGAGAGAGAGAGAGAGAGAGAGAAAGAGAGAGAGAGAGAGAGGTACATGATTTCACAAACAACCTAGCACTTCATATGTGTGGATAAATTCACTCATTAAAGGAGAACACATAAAATTGGAGGGCTTTAATCCCAGTAATCGGGAGGCTGAAGCAGGCATATCTCTCTGAGTTCTTGGCCAGCCTGACATACACACAGAGTTCTAGGTCAACCAGATATATAAAGTAAGATCCGGTTTCAAAAATCAAAACAGAAACACGCTAAGTAGGAGGACGAGGTAGGCAGAACCAGCTGAGAATCTACATGAGATATGGTTCATTCTGGCTCCGGAAACTGTGAAAGAGCTAAGAGGTATGACATTAGAGCTGCACTCAGGAGGTCAGTCTCTGAGACCAGCTTAATCTGGTTTGTATTAGTTTCCTGCTGCTGTGTAACAATTACCGAAAACCTTAAACCTCAAATCCCCTTGTTTTATGGCCTTAGCATGCCAATCTGCTCCATTTCCTGTCTGTGCTATGAGTAATCCCCTCTGCCTCTCCCATTTATGAGCACCTATGACAGCAGTTAGGGAGCATAGAAAAAAACCACAGGGCTGCCTCACCCCAATATACCTAACTTGTCACATCTGCACACATTCCTCATAAGAGGTAACACCTACAAGTTACATAAAGCACAACTTGGCATCTTTGTGACCGATATTCAGACTACTACACTACCTGTCCATTTCCCCTTTTCATTTAAAAAAGTAATTTTTACTTTTATGTATATGGGTGTTTTGTCTGCATGTATGACTCTACCACGAACATGTGTGACCTGTGGAAGGCAGAGAGGGCAGTGAATCCCCTGGAGCTGGTTTAAGAGATGGTTGCAGGTGCTGGGGGTCAGACCCAGGTCCTCTTGCTAGTGCTATTAACTGCTGGGCCACAGCTCCAGCCCCACATTTCCATTCCTGTCTTGCCAAGACAAGGCTTTAGTATACTGTCTGCACTGGCCTTGAAGTCAACACACCCTTGTTTCAGCTTCCTAAGTCTTGAAATTACAGATAAGTGCCACTACCTCTGGTCCCTCTATCCATTTCCCTGGGCCTCTTTATTTTTCTACTTTTATTTATTGTTTTTAAGATTTATTATCTTATTTTTAATCTTGTGTGTGTGTGTGTGTGTGTGTTGCTGTGGAGGCCAGGAGCCTTAGACTGCTTGGTGTGTGTGTGTGTGTGTGTGTGTGTGTGTGTGTGTGTGTTGCTGTGGAGGCCAGGAGCGTTAGACTGCTTGGAGCTTGGAGCTGGCTTTCCAGAAGGCTTTCAGTCCTCTCTGTTGATATCCTGGGATTATGCAGGCCCCACCCACTGACAACCAGCAGGATATGCACACCTGCATTCAGGCAGATACTTAAGACAGCTCAAAGGGCCCTGTGTTGTATGGCTACATCTTGCAATACTGGCTTTATAAGGGCTCTCATGTGCAAGCTTTCCCTTTTAATCGAGCACCTCCCACCTGTTTGCCCCTTCTTCCCCCTTTCCCTTCCCTCTCTGTTCCCAGTTGGCCAACATCTACCCCTCCCTTTGCTCCCTTTCCCCAATAAACTCCATGTGGGTTTTGCTGAGTTTTGTGGTTCATGTCACATCGGCCGAAGCTGCAGCAAAACACTCTTGACAAGCAATATTCATCTCTCTAGCAACTGAACAATTTCTTTAGACCTGGGTTTTGTTTTCTTTTTGTTGTGTTGTTGCTGTTTGTTTTTGAGACAGGGTTTCTCTGTGTAGTGTAAGAGCTAGCTAGTAATAAGCCTGAGCCATTTGTCAAACAATTATAATTAATATTAAGCCTCTGAGAGATTATTTTACAAGTAGCTGCAGGATGGGGTGCGACACAGAAAAGATTCTGGCTACATTTGGCATCTAACATTAGGCACCAGTTATACTGTAACTTATACTTAGACCAAACTGGCCTCAAACTCAGAGATCCACCTGCCTCTGCCTCCCGAGTACTGTGATTAAAGGAATATGCCACCACTACCACACTATAAACCCTGTCAATTTTTTTTTTTTTTTTTTTTTTTTTTGAGACAGGGTTCCACTTACAGCTCTGGCTGGCCTCATAGAGACTCATCTACCTCCTGAGTACAGGATTAAGGATACAGCTGTAGCACGAGTTCTAATAGGTCTTAATAATAAAAATCCAGAGTCAGATATTGGGGTAAATGCTGAAAGGTCAGATTAGTAAAGGAACCAGCCACAAGAAAGACCTCTTACATCTACTGAATTGTCAGACCAAAGGGATGATTCCGTCCCTACAAAGTCTCAGACTGAATGTCCTGAGCTCCAGTCTCCTCCTGCCTTATAGTCACTCTCCACCCAGCCTTGTCACCCCTGTGTCCACCTCCCTAGTGCCGGGATTAAAGGCATGAGTAAAACCCTGTCTCACAAGACCAGAGACAAACAAGAGAACCTGGAGTCTATTGTGGGAAATTACCAATACGGAGTCAGGTAGAAATACAAGGGTATTTAATAGGGAAAAGCCTTACTTACAGAGCAACCTAGCCAGCTGGCGTGGTAGAGGTCTGTACAGCAAGAAGCAAAGAGAAACCGAAACGGAAAACGCAGTCCCACTATGTCACCCTGACTACGCCCTCACAAGCCTGGTCAGGCACACCTGTAGCCAGCCCCTAAGAAGGCGTGGCTACAGCTTTCCCTACAGGAGTCACAGGAGCTCTTAGCATATCCTACGGCTCCATCCAGGAAACATTAATTCAGCATGCATAACATGAAGAATATACACTAGGAACATGCTGTAGTTATTACCAAAGTATATATAATAGCTCTGCATAAACACAGTGAGTTAACAAAGTTCAGGGACAAGTCACATGTAAACTACTATAGATACAAAGGAATAAATTGCCCATTATATTTACAAAGAGCTCAATATACACACTATATAACATTGTTCAGACACTAAAACTACACTGTAGAATATAACAAAGTTTTACAGTATGTGGCTATGTTGCAAATATAATCCCTGGCTAAAATGTTTGTATGGATGGGTGGAGAGAAACATAGTCACAATGCATCTATGAATATTACTCAGTGTAACCACTTTCCAGGTAGATGTGCCAACAGATTTCTGCTTCTAGATGTACACAAAGTACGGCAATAGTTACAGGAATAAAAAGCAGGAAAAAAAGGGTAGAATCCAAACATTGAGCAATGAATGGATAGATAAACAAATGTAAATTCCTAAAGAATAGAATGAGATTCTGACATTATGAAATTAATGAACTCACAAAACATTAGATATGAGGACAAATATTTATGTCTCTCATATATGGAAAATCTGCAACAATTAAGCTCAGGGACAACAGAATAGAGATTACTGGCGACTGGGAGGGAAGTTATAAGAAATTGCTTTGTACAAAATGCTAGTTTGGAATGATGGGGATGGTCTAGCAGTGGACAGCAGTGACAGTTACATAAAACTACAAATGGATTCAACAACACTAGATTGAAAGCGATGGAGAAGGCTTGTAGATTCAAAATACCTTTATTCAGATAAATACCAGCCAAGCGCAAGCCAGAGTGTGCCCAGAGGCAGCAAGGCAGGGTGGCCACAGAGAAGGGCTATTCACGTGTGCTCAGTCCCTCAAGAATTGTCCTTGCATCATCTTTGACCTCCCCTGACCACGCCAGGCATACCTGTAGGGGCTACTAGGAGGTGGGGCTACAATGTCTCCCTACACTAGATCATGTACTTAAGAGATTGCCGAGTACTATAACACCTTTTATGTTATATTTTGGTACCACACCTAAATGCCACCCACCTATACCCACAATGCATATCTTCGTCTTGACCATGGCAGTCTTGGCCATGCCACTAGTGTTGCTTGAAAACAGCAGACAGGAACCAGAGCACACACGCATCCTGCTGTGCTCCTCCATGCTTTCAGCTTACCTGGATTAGACCTGGCATGATCTCCGGTAAGAGCACATTAAGGGTTTCCTTAGATACTCTCTCTATCACTTTTGTTTGCATTTTGATTGCAGCCAGATTAATTGGGTAGTCAGCAGTTTGTATGATTGGACAAAGCACTTTGATGCACTGTTCTGGACTAATTGAAGTAGCCAACACAGAGGCAGCTTCCTCAGCAGACCTCACCACCTAAAACAAAAGGGAAAGCCAGGTAAACAAAACACAACTGTAAACCCCTAAGTATGGATTTCATCAAGCATTTAATTTGACATGATACTTTGGATTTGCACTGAAAATACTGCAGTAAACAAAGGAATACAAGAAGGGAGGTAAGAACAGACTAGCAACTACCAGTCACTGCCAGTGGGCTCCACTTTGTCATTCTCCTCTTTCCCAGTTCTTTTATGCTGGTGAAAGTAGTTTCATGACTTTAAACATTTATTTATTTTGCTTTATCTCATGTCACAGTGATGTAAGTGGTACAAGCACTCCTTGAATGTAGGGTACTCATGATGAACAGACCCTACTGTAGTTTGTAGGGAGAGAGACTATCATAAACATGAAGTAAGGAAAGAGATTTCCATGACTCTTAAGAAAGCTGTTTTCAGGGGCTGGAGAGATGACTCAGAGGTTAAGAGCACTGGCTGCTCTCCCAGAGGTCCTGAGTTCAATTCCCAGCAACCACATGGTGGCTCACAACCATCTATAATGAGTCCTGGTGTCCTTTTCTGGCCTGCAGTCATAATGCAGATAGAACACTGTATACATAATAAATAAATCTTTTAAAAAAGGCTGTTTTCATTACCTTACCGAATAAACCTATAACAGACACTACTCCTGTGATTCACACTTAAAAATGACAATTTGTTATCTTCACCTGTTGCGTAAACAGTAAATTCTTATTGCTAAGTGGAATGCAGGCTGGTGAACTCTAAATAGAAAGTGAAGAGCAAAATGGAGAAAGTGAAATTGGATGGAACACTGAGGACCTATTTTATGGGAATGGTCTTGGTATCTATATTACATGTGACAGAGCATATGTTCACATTTGTGTGTGTGTGAAGGCCAGAGCTGGATGTCATTCCTCAGAAGGCACTCTATTCCAAAAAAAATTTGTAAATTATTTTCTGTGTGTGCACACCTGAAAGCATATGTGTGTATGCCTGGGTGTATATGGAAGTCAGAGGAAAATTTGCAGGAATTGGTTCTTTCCTTCCATCACATATATCAAACGAGTATCATAAACCTTGGCAGCAAGTGCCTTTATCTTGCGAGCCCCCAAGTTGTTTCTATAGAAAGGGTTTCTCATTAGTATGAGATTGCCAATTCAGCTACTAGGTTGGCTGGTCAGCCAGCCCTGGTGGTCTGCTTGTCTCCATCAGCCTTTCTAGGGATTAGACTCACACCAGCACACCCGGCTTTTTTTCAGTAGGTCAGGAGACTGAACTCAGGTTCTCACCCTTTTGCAAAAAGTACTCTACTGACTGACTTATGTGCCCAGCCCCATGCTTACATCTTAATCAAGCATTGCATCAAAAATCAAGGGTTTATGAAGGAAATGACTAAGAAGGGCACTGTTAGCTGGAAATGTTAGCTGACACCTGCAGTCCTAGTACTTGCAAGATTGAGGCAAAGGGGTATGTAGAGTTCGAGGCCAGTTGGACTACATAGTGAGTTTCAGACAAAACCAAGGTACAATATAAGACTAAGTGTGGGGAAATACACAAGATGGTTCAAGTGGGTACGGTGCCTGCCATATGAGCCTGGCGACCTGAGTTCAATTCCTAGAAGACACAAAAGGTGGAAGGAATGATCTGACCATATGCTCACATACATACAATAAGCACACATACCAATAAATAAAAGGAAGCCCTCACCCACTAGAGAGTATACTTTCTGGGAAGTGCTTAAAGGTTCATGAGAGTCACGAGCGATAGTAACTGGACTTGCTGGTCACTCACCTCTTTATGAGGGTCTTTATGTGCTTCCAATGTTTTCATGACAGTCAGCTCTGCATAGTTTTTGAATCTTGCCGGTTGATGCCTTAAGATTTCTTTTAAAACTTTTAAAGCCAAAGCCCTGATTGTAGGCTATGAAGAAACATTTAAATGGTTTTAATATTTTGGATGGCACAAATCTTTCCACATTTTCAACTTCTATGAGGATTTTAAGATTGGGAGGAGGGACACTGTACAAAGAATGTAGTATACAATTTTCAACTTCTATGAGCATTTTTTAAGATTGGGAGGAGGGACACTGTATAAAGAATGTAGCACACAATTTATCATCTCAGGATGAAAACTCTTTAATCACTCTCACCTTTGTTGTATTTGAGAGACAGGGTGGGCTCAGTAACCCAGGCTGGCCCTAAAGTTGTCATCTTGCTGCTTTCACAGCCAGAATTGAAAGATTACAGGCATTTGCTACTACGTCCACATTTTAATTATGGGTCTATGTCTGTGCAGGTGAGTGCAGGTACCTTCAGAGGCCAGGAACATGGACTCTCCTGGGGCTGGAGCTACAGGTGGGCTGTGAGCTGCTCAATATTGGAGGTTTGGCATGCAACATAGGTCCTCTTCAAGAGCATTAAGCACTCTTAACTGCTTAGCCATCTCTCCAGCCCCATATGGAGGTTTTTGTTTTTTAAAAGATTTTAGTCTTTCTAGGCTTAAGACCGTATTATCAGAGTTTGTGAGAAAAAAACAGGACAGACACGTTAACAATTCTGGAAGTTGTAGAAAGAAGGAAGATGGAGAAAGGAGAGAAACCATGGAGGTTGGCAGGAGCTGCATACAGGGCAGAGGCCCAGAGTGTCAGTGGAAGGACGCTTAGGATTTTGGCTGATAACCAAAAAAGAGATAGAAGGAAAAGGGAAAGTTGTAGGGGAAGCTGTAGCCACACCTACTTAGGGGCTGGCTACAGGTGTGCCTACAGAAAGTTATGCTTTTAAAGCTACTACACAGAAAGTATAGGCTGTACAATGAAGACCACCTGGAAACAATTGCTTGGCACTTGGTTTGAGACAGGGTCTCAACTGTTGCCCAAACAGGTCTTAAACTTGCAGTGGTTATTCTACCTCAGCCTTCCAAATGCCCAGCTTTATTACTTTTAAGTAAATAAGTAACATTTGACAGCGTTTCACTGTGGAGTACTGGCTGTCCTGGAACTCACTCTGTAGAGCAGGCTGGCCTCAAACTCACAGAGTTTAATCCCAAGTGCTGGTGTAAAACGTGTACGCTACCACTGCCTAGCTCTGAAAACATATTTAAATATGTACAAGTAATCTTTACTTTTCCATGGGAATCAGCTTGCTATGTGTATCTGCTTTAACTACTGGAAACTCCTTAAACTTTTTTGAAACAAATATCTGTTAAAAGAATCAGCACTTGAGTAAAAATTAGATGGAGAAAGCAGCAGTAGCAGAACAGAGTTATTTGTCTATTTCCAATGTGCACTGACTGGTCAACAGGAAAGTTAAACAACAAGCAAGGGCTGGAAAGGCCCTGGGGTAATTCCTAGTCTTCCACCCACAAAGCTAAAGGAGAATAAATGCATAAACACTCAGACAGGACAGAATATCATTTATATATACCCTGAAATTTACCTCTTTATCCCCAAGGGTCTCAAGCAGTAACAATAATATTGTTTTGAAGTGTTCATCCCAAACACTGAAAGATTCTTCCTGGGTTAGCTTCATGAGTTCATAGAGGGCAATTTTTCTTTCTTCCATACGTTCATTATGGTTAGACAGCTCCTTCAACAGCTCGGCAACTAGGTCGGAATGGTCTAAGGAGAGATCTGTCAGAAGGATGTAGTATTAACTTTGTAATAGGTTGACTCTCAGGTGCAGAAATGACCACTTTAGAACACTATGAAACACAGCCACAACTGATCTTGGTTACAAAAGAGATAAAAACAATTTTCAGTTGTCATCCCTGAATCACCAATGTGCTTTAAAAATTTACAAATCAAAGACAAAACAAAACAAAGAAACCACTAGAGAGCAGTGTAAGGAACCCTAGGTATTTTTCACCCAGACCTCCGCCAGAGTGTAGCATCCCTACTTCCCCCATCCCACTCTGCAGATCTCCTTGTTACTGTCCTTCAAGGACCACTGCCTGCCAGGAGGCTCTGTGTTTGGAAATTCTTTTTTTTGTTTTGTTTTTTTTTTTTTGTTTGTTTTTTCGAGACAGGTTTTCTCTATGAGCTTTGGAGCCTATACTGGCACTCGCTCTGGAGACCAGACTGGCCTCGAACTCACAGAGATTCGCCTGTCTCTGCCTCCTGAGTGCTGGGATTAAAGACGTGCGCCACCAATGCCCGGCTAAAGCAATAATTTTAAGGAGTTAAAAATGTTCATTATCACCAGCAGTGGTGGCACATGATACCTGCCTTTAATTCTAGCACTTGGAGGCAGAGGCAGGTGGATCTCTGTGACTTCGAGACCAGCCTAGTCTACAAAGACAGTTCCAGGACAGGCTCCAAAGCTACAGAGAAACCCCGTTTCCAAGAAAAAAAAAAAAAAAAAAAAAAGGTTCATTATCTAATTATGTCATTCTTTCCATGGACCAGAATTTTTCAGCAGAGCGTATCAATTAGAGCTATTTTCTTTATCCTGAAATAGTTTTTTTCCTTGAAAATGGGCAAAACAAAGGTTTTACTTTAATATCCATCCATCTATCCACCCACCCACCCATCCTGGATCTTATTATGTATTTTTGGCTGTCCTTGAACTTACTTTGTAGAACAAGCTGGTCTTGAACTCAATGGCTCTACCTGAGTGCTGGAATTAAAGGCATGGCGTTTTCTTTATATTTCAGAGTCAAGTTGAGAGCAATTGTCATCAAAGAGGAGTTGGGTTTTAGTTATGGATTTTTATTTATGTGCTTGTGTGTGTATGCCACATATGTGTAAATGCCTTCAGAGGCCAGAAGAGGGCATGAGACCTCTTGGAGCTGGAGCTATAGGCAATTGTGAGCTGCCTGACCTAAGTACTGGGAACCACTCTTGGATCCTCAGGAAGAGCATCAAGTGCTCTTCACAGCTGAACTGTCTCCAGTCTTAATGAAGAGTCGATTTGTTTTTGCACTCTTTTAAATACTTATTTATTTAAAGACAGGATCTTCAAAGGCATGCATCACTATGCCCGGTTCATTTTTTTCAAAATGTATTATTTAGTGTGTGTGTGTGTGTGTGTGTGTGTGTGTGTGTGTGCCACAGCATATGCGTGGAAGTCAGAGGACATCTTGCAGGAGTCAACTCTCTCATTCTTTCTATCCAAGGGTGGAACTCAGGCCATCACACTTGGTGGCAAATGCCTTTCCCACTAAGTCTGGCACTGAGAGGGATTTCAAGTTTACCACAGAAAGTCATAAGGCACTGGAACTTTGTAAAATTTTATTTCATGTGTTTGAGGGTTTTGCCTGTGCATGTGCAAATGTATCACGTGCATGTCTGGTGCTCCCAGAGATCAGAAGATGGTATCATATCCTCTGGAACTGGAGTTATGAGTGGTTATGAACTACCATGTGGGTGCTAGGATCTAAATTCAGGTTTTTTCTAAGAGTAGCAAGTACTCTAATCCCGTATTGGAAATCTTTAAAGAAAGTAACATGGACTCATAGGAATAAAAAGTCTGGGCTAAGGAGATGGCTCAGCCATTCAGAGTACTGGCTACCTTCAGGCCGTGATGGCACACACCTTTGATCTCAGTACTGAGGAGTCAGTCAGAGGCAGCAGATCTCTGAGTTCAAGGGCAGTCTGATCTACAGAGTGAGTTCTAGGATAGCCAGGGCTTCACAGAGAAACCCTGTCTTGAAAAAGCAAAAAACAAAACAAACAACAACAAAGAGCATTTGCTGTTCTTCCAGAGGATCTGGGTTCAATTCCCAGCACCTACATGGCAGCTCACAACTGTCTATAAGTCCACTTCTAGGGGATATGGCACCCTCACACAGACATACATGCAAGCAAAACACCAACACACATAAAACTATAAGAAAATCTTTAAAAATGTATACAAAAATGAATTCCTTATCCACAAGAAAACACTTAATAGTATTCTGTACTTTATTGTTGCTTCTCATGTATCTTGTCTGTGCCTTGCTGCTTACTGTGATCAGAAGGGCAGAGTACACAGTCACAACTATCCCTTTTCAGAGGTGACAAGGACATTCACTGAAGACAGTGGTGACTACCCATCAGGCTACTTAGATTAGTAACCCAACTTCATGTGAACATAAATAATATGTGCTCTTATAACAGGCCTTGGAATTAATTTTATTAATAAAGGAGATTATGATTTCACATTGAAAGTGTTAGTATAAAGAATGGGTTATTTCATAAGGAGATCTTTGTCATTCTAGTATAAAAATTTGTCTGGAAATAAGCTAAATTCAGATGCTGTGATTGGTTGAGTTGCTCTTGGGAGGATGTTAGAGTTACCTTGATTTTTGAGGGTGAGGTCAAGTTGACCACCCAGGTTCTCACTCTAAACCTAAAAACTACCAAAATAGAATAAACAAATACCTACAGGTTAGGATATAGTTTGTCAATTTTGAATTATCATGGACACATATATTTGGGTCCAGAGATGTTTAGATGAAGAGGGACAATCCACCCTGAATGTGGGCAGCACCATCCGTGGTGAAATTCTAGATTGAATAAAAAGGAGAAAATGAGCTATGAACCAGTACTCATTCATCCCAGATTGTGGATGCAATGTGAGCATCAGCCCCTCACTCTCACTGCCATGACTTTCTCATCAGGATGGTCTGTGTTCTGACACTGTAAACCTTTCTTAAGGAGCTTTAGTCAAGCATTTTGTTCCAGTGACACATTCCCATTCCCCATTTCCTTACATTTTAAAGAGTTACAATAAAAGAGCAAACACATCCACTTGTTTCACTGATTGCCAGTCTTCCAAAGTGCAAGTGGTAGGCACTTTAACCCGTAACATACCATCAGGAAACTGGTCAGCGTCATCATCAAACATGGCTTCCTTGAGGGCAGACTTGTTGAAGGGACTGATGCTGTCAGAATAGTTATATGGATTATAGTCACGAGATCGTGAAGAGGAGTGAAGTGGCATTGAATGGAGCAAAGATGCTTTATTATCAAGAGCTGTCTGGCTGGAGTCAGTAGCATCACCTCCTGCTCGTGGGTCTGACATCCCAGGACCACACATCTATTGATAGGAAGAGAAAGGCATTGCAAGTTACCTCCTCTTAAAATACCTCATTCACATTCTAAAAAGATGCTTCTTGGGGGCGGGAGAGAAGACTTGGCAGTTAAGAGTGTTTCTTACCGAGTGATGAGCAAAGGGGTCCAGACCAGGCTGGTGAAACCCACAGAAACAGCTGACCTGAACAATGGGGAGCTCTTGGTCCCCAGACTGATAGCTGGGAAACCAGGATGTGACTAATCCAGACCCCAGGAACGTGGGTTTCAGTGAGGAGACCTCAGAAATCTACGGGACCTCCTGTAGTAGTTCAGTACTTATCCCTAGCACAGGTGTGGACTTTGGGAGCCCATCCCACATAGAGGGATACTCCCTGAGCCAAGACACATGGGGGTGGGCCTAGGCCCTATCCCAACGGATATGATAGACTCTGATGACACCCTATGGAAGGCCTCACCCTCCCTGGGGAGCAGAAAGGATATGTGATAGGTAGGGTTTTAGTTGGGGGGGGCAGTGGTAGGGGAGGAGGGGAGGGAGTAGGAACTAGGATTGACATGTAAAACAATCTTGTTTCTAATTTAAAAAAAAAAAAAAGAGTGTTTCTTACTCTTCCAGAGGAAGTGAGTTCAGTTCTTAGCCTCTACATAAGGTGACTTACAACTATCTGTAACCCTAGTTCCAGGAGATATAATGCCCTCTGAAAGCACCCAACAGAGCATAAACTCATAGACATATATGAATAAAACTAGTTTAAAAACAAAACAAAGTTGGGCGGTGGTGGAACATGCCTTTGATCCCAGCACTTGGGAGGCAGAGGCAGGTGGATCTTTGTGACTCAAGGACAGTCTGGTCTATAGAGCAAGTACCAGAACAGGCTCCAAACCTACACAAAGAAATCCTGTCTCAAAAACCAAAACAAAACAAAAAATCAAACAAACAAAACAAAACAAAACACAGATGTTTCCCTTCTGTTTAAGAACAGTAACAATAGGACTGGAGAAATGACTCAGCAGGTAAGAGTATTTGCTACTCTTGTTAAGGACCCTGGTTCGGTTCCCTATAACCACATGGCAGCTCACAACCATCTAACACTAATATCAGGAGAACAGATGCTTTTTCTGATGTCTGTGGGCACCAAGACTGCATGCATGTGGTGCTTATACATATAGGCAAAACACTCAAAACATAAATAAACAAATAAATAAATAAATATTAAAAAGAAAGAAAGTTAAGGGCATAGAGACACAGCTCAGTGGTTAAGAGCACAGGCTGCTCTTCTAGAAGACCCTGGTTCAGTTCCCAGTACCCACGTGGTGGCTCACAGCCCTCTGTAACTTCTGCTCCTGGGGCTTCTGCAAGCCCTGCATGCACATGGTGCACAGGTGCATAATAGGCAAACATCTACACACTTAAAGTAAAATTGTAAGCTAAAAAAACAAACACAACAATAATTTAAAAGGAAATCAATGGCAAACAGTATGGGTTACAATATATACTCAAATATATTGTACAAATACATATATTCAAAATAAAAAAACTTAAGCAAAGATGTAAAGAAACCACAGCTGACAGGCAAATAAGCTATCACAAATGTTGCCTCTAACAATGTTACTCCTGTCAATGACTCAACCAAGTAACATACACACTGAGATTAGCAACAGCTTCTCCATGCTAATTAAAGACACAAAGACTTTCATTAGCAAAACATAATTGAGGATTTATCGCAGTGCTAAGAGGGTTTGCCCAGCACATTCAAGGTGCTGAATTCAATCCCAGCAATGAAACAAACAAACAAACAATAACAAAGTGTCTTTAAAATTTGGCACACTATACTATCTTTGAATATGAACTATCTTAATAGCATCTTTCAGCTTTAATTTCTATGCCTTTTTCCTCCTAAAGGTCAATATAATTTCCAGAAGGATGCTGATAGAGTTGGGGTACATAAACACCTTTGCCCAAACATTAATATTAATACAAATACTAACATTAAAATTATTATCACCAGAAGTACCACAATCATCAGCATCTGTCAAGCAACTGCATGCCACTCTGGTTGCTGGGAACGCTACACACATCCTTTGTCCTTCATCCAGTCTGTGTGCACCCAGTCCAAGCCAAACACTGTTCTTGGCACTACTTGAGGCACTACCTTGGTTATGGAATATTTGTAAAACAAACACAGAAAGTCTCGGTATCATTTAAGCAGTGACACTTACTAACTTGCTGTCAATACTACATACAGCTTTAGGACAGGGAACCTCAAACCTGTGTGGTTTTGACAACAATTTTTGTTACTCCAGTACTTCTGAACTCTACCAGACAGGTATTAAGGGACACCAAGTGAAGGAAAAGGTAGATGGGGGTCTTTCAGAGATGTGCTAAAATGCTGTGGCTCTGTGGATACTGAGCAACAGGATATTCTCAACAGGAATGAAGGGATGGCTTATTTCAAGAGGCAAGTATAAGCAGATGCAAAAGTAAAACCTAACTACTGATGTACCATACCAGAGGAAACCAGTTAAAATAGTATTCACATGTCAGGAATGTAGGTTACAACATGCTTTGTGGGGACCACATAAACTGATGATGCAGACTACTATGACTATAATTAATATGGGGAAAATGCAAACTTCCATTCCTAAACTCATATGGTAAGATACACAGCCTAGTATGTTCAAGGCCCAGGCCAATGATTAACTCATATTCTGTTACTAAGTTCCTCTTTTCTGTTTTCTTTTCCTGCACCCCCCCTTTAAGATTTATTTATTTTTATATACTGCTCTGCCTGATGCCAGAAGAGGGCACAAGATCTTATGATTGATGGCTGTAAACCACCATGTGGTTGCTGGGAATTGAACTCAGGACCTCCAGAAGAGTAGCTAAGGCTCTTAACCACTGAACCATCTCTCCCACTCCACTTCCTTATTTCTCAGCGCTCCAACTCCACCGGCTTTCTTCCAAATCTTCAACTACATAAGCTGGTTTCTAGCTGACTCTGTATTGCCTAGTCAGCTCACAGAATTTTTCCATATGTTTTGTGGCTTTAAATCTCAGTACAAATGTCATTTGACAGAGGCCTCCATTCCATGACCCCACAGTCTAATATGTATATTCACCTTCCTCTATGGCACAATCTAACCCAAAACTCTACTCCATAGTAAACATTTCTACTTAGATATCTAAAGGGAACTAGAGGAAGAAACTCTGCCTTACAGATCTAATACCTAAACTCCCTAATATGTGGGTGAATGATACTCAGTAAATGCTCTAAGAGCGACTAGGTCCTAAAAAATTCTGCATGAAAATGCCAGAAAGCAAAGTTTAAAATAAACAAAGAACCCCCCCCACACACACACTTTGATGGAAACCAAAGCAGCCTGCTGCAGTAAGAACACTCACACGGGAGGGGTTCAGGGTATTAGGAATGGTGGCAATAGAAGGTATGAACACGCACACACTTACCATGTCACCATCCTCTTTTTTAGGCTCTCTCTTCAGCGGTTCGCTCATGTCTTCTTGGCTTCTGAAGCTGAAATTCTGGATTGCCTCAGTGACACCTTTAAGGGAGCTGTAAATGTCTTCAGAATTCATGTTTTCTGTGTCGTAATCAAACGCACTGTGAAAAAGATAGCACTAATTTTTACTTATTTTTTGTTTGATTTGAGTGTTCTGCCTACATGTATACATGTGTACCATGTGTGTGCAGAACCCTGGAGGTCAGAAGAAGGCATCAGATCTGGAACTGGAGTTAACAGATAGCTTTGAGCTATCAAGAGGGTGATGGGACCCAAACCCAGGTCCTTTGTCACAAAGTACTTTTAACTACAGAGCATCTCTCCAGGCGCCCTGAAGGACCCGCAGCAGCCTTTCTGAGACCTTCTCCCTTGTCTGCCCTTCTCAAACTACTATCCTCGAATGGGCTCACTGCTTCAACTCACAGCCATCATTCCAGGCATTTCTAAGCCTCCTTGTGTGTTACAGAGGGACAGCCTCTACTCCCCCCAGTGAAGCCTTTTCTCCTCTTATTTACATTTCTAAGTCTTGTTCAAACAGGAAGTCTTTCTGGACATGCTTTTTTGAGGCTGGCCCCAAACTCACTATGTAGCTGAGGTGACCTGGAACTCCTGAATCTCCTCCCTCCAATCCCTAGGGTTACCAGCATGTGCACACCAATTTAATTCATGCTTGACTTTTTTCCCTAGTAATTATTTACACCTATATTACCCACTTCTCCTTGTTTTCCATCAGAGGGAGACCTCTGTCCAAGTCACTCCCATCACTGCTGTGGGCTCAGCCTGATCACTCTGGTTTTGAAGGCAGGGAGGGTAGCACCATGGCCTCAGCACCTGGCTTGGTGCAGCCTGCCTGACAAACACTGGCTGACCTGGAGACTTGCTATAATATGCTTTTCTTTTCTTTGTTGTTGGTTTTTGGAGACATGGTTTCTCTATGTAGCTCTGGCTGTCCTGGAACTCAACTCTATAGTCCAGGCTGGCCTCAAACTCAAGAGATCCACCAGCCTCTGCCTCCCAAGTGCTGGGATTAATGGTGTGTGCCACTACCACCCAACTCTAAATAAATACTTTTGTAACTTGTGAACATTACACAAAATTCAAGTTTCAGAACGTGTAAATTACAATTTTCCTGGGGCACAGCCATGTGTATGTATGTTGAGACTGTCTGTGATTGCTTTGGAAGCACACCAGCAGAGCTGAATAAAGGGCACAGATCACTTGGCTTGAAAGCCTAAAATACTGGCCATACGGCCCTTTACAGAAAGCTTCTCAGTCCTTGTAATTAGCAAACATAGTTGTGGATGAACGCCAGTATTCTTAGCACTCAGAAAGCGGAGGCAGAAGAACAGGAGTCCATAGCCATCCTTTATCACATGGCCGGCCAGGTGGAGGCTGGCCTGAGTAGCCAGGCATTCTAGTTTCTGAGAGCAGTCCTTGGTGGAGAAAAAGGGAACCTGTACCTCACCTACTTATATTATAGTTCCTGCCTATTATTTATTTTGCAAAACACACCTTGGGAAATAAACAACAACAAAGGTGAAGGTAAAACAAAAAGGCATGGAGTATTTTGAAATAAAAACATGTATTATATATAGTATGTGTTTGGGTGGGAGTGGGGCCCACAGCATGCATGTGGAGGCCAGAGGAAAACTTGGTGGAGTGAGTTCTTTCCCTTCACTTTACATGGTGACCTAGAACGGAACTCAGATAGTCATGCTTTTTTCCACCAACAGCACTTATCTCCTGAGGATCTCTGCAGATTGCTTTGAATTTTGAACATACTGAACATAAATGTTAATGATATGAATTCTATAATCAAGTTCTAAATTCAACTAAATCTTGAATCAAATATACCCATGCTTGAACAATGTGTGTGAAAATTTTACCTAGATAATTTTGTATTAAGGAGCAATATCTCAGTCACATTTTGTCATAGAAGTATATACTCACGATATATTTAACTCACTCCCATTATTCTCTCTATGCTTTGTCTATAATATAAGCTCAAGACCCTCCTGACCTTTCAGAAGTGATTCATCAGTATTCTATCTAATACCATAATGGATACTGCCATTTACATTAAGTAGTGTAATAAAAAAAAAAAAAACAGGCACAATTTACAGTTTGAGAAACTTAACTATGCTTTTTAAGAAAACAATACCTTTTCATCACCATTTAAAGGGTTAGATTTTATATACAATTGAAGTTGTTTGAATCAGTAAAGTTTCTAAGACATTTCAAGTCAAATACAGTCTCCTGGGATTATAGTTACACTGCCTTACTAAGATGGACACTGGTAACAGAAAACATGAATGAAAGTAATCATCTCACCTTGGAGATAATGTATTCTGTGATGTGTTGGTAGGAGAAGTAAGAGGACTGGACCAGTTAGCTGGTGATCGAGGTGTTGGTCTTGTCAAAGGACTCCCCATGGAACTCTTGATGGTGGGAGTAAAAAGAGCATTAATTCAGGAAAATGCAACTACAAGGTCCTTAGGGAAGAGGCACAGTCATGAGACAGAACCTTATGAAAGTGCCATCTCTGTCAGCATTCTAAATAGCCATGCACTACCTACCTCTTTAGCCTCGTCCTTCATGCCCTCTCCTGCCCTCTTCTCTATCACCCCCTTCAGCTTTGAGAGAGTCTCATGCACCCTTGACCAGCCTTGTTCAGTTAACTGTCTCTCCATTTAAGAAGAGAAGGTACTGGCTCACAAGACATTACTCAAAGAGAAACTCTGACAGAGGAGCTAGTGCATGTTGGCAGTCAAGGAAAAGAGTATACACTTGAAACCACATGCTGCAATGCAAAACGTAAGAGCAAACAAGTGAGGAATACCTGGGTCCCATTGCCAGTATTTCGAAGGTGATTGTGAAGAAGTTTAGTAGCACCATCTTGGAAAGTTTTTGGTAAAGCTCCTAGTAACATTGTAAACTCCGGGGTATTGAGTTCAAATAAAGAAATCAGCACTGACTGTGCTGCCTGAAAGAAACAAAGACATACAAAGAGTAGGTGAATGCTTTCACATGCATACTGGAAGGTGGGTGGCCGCCAGCAGCCCAGGGCTTGCCCACCTCTCCCATAGGAAAGGAAAGCACTAATTTTCTTAGGGAGGATGAAAACACTCTCAACTACCATTTATTTCCTGAAGTTAAGAAGGGACTAGAAAAAGTCTAACAGATGACAAAGCTTTGCAGGGTTTTCTGTCAACACATAGTACTGCTTCAGTTTTCCTAACGAGTGAGCTAAAGGAAAAGGATGGCTATATGAATCCTCTTAATGCTGAAATTAAGCTTTCTCAATATGAGAATTTTTTTTTCTTCTGAGACAGGGTTTCTCTGTGTAGCTTTGGAGCCTGTCCTGGCACTTGCTCTGGAGACCAGGCTGGCCTCAAACTCAAGAGATCCGCCTGCCTCTGCCTCTGCCTCTTGAGTGCTGGGATTAAAGGTGTGTGCGCCACCAATGCCCAGCGGAGAATTTTTTTTTTTTTTTAAAAGATAACCTTTCTAAAGGAATACCGGGGGTAGAAAGGTACAAACGTGCACATGACAGCAGACAATAGAGGGTAGGAATGGGAGGAGGAGAGGAAGGAACGAAACCAAGCAAACATGAAAATGCCATACAAAAAGATGCCACTTTGTATGATAATTAAAAACATAAAGCCAGCATAAGAAGGAGAAAAACAATAACAACAAACAAAAATGTCAACCAACCAACCAACCAACCAACCAACCAACCAACCAACCAACCAACCAAAGCAACCAACCAAGTCAGGATTTCACTATGCAGTCCTGGAGGGCTTTGAGTCTGTATAGGTGTATACCACCATGCTTGGCTCTGTAGGATTCTTTAACTAGTCTTCTCTTAAACAGCTAATCTAAAAAACTCTACAGTTAATCTCAAGGTAAGTCAAGTGTTTCACAAAATGAAAACACTATAAAACACTCAGATTATTTGGGAATTAAAATTATGTAACAATTTAGAGGAGAGCAAGAAATGGTGCAAGATCACATGACCTGTATCCCATGTACACACCTTTCGAACATCAGAGCTTTTGGGCTCCGTCGTCCAAGTGATGACCCGAGACACTGCCAGTCGAGTTTCACTGGAATTTATAAAATCTCCTGGATCCATCTGTTTGGCCAGAGTTTCTATGTACTTAAGGATAGCAACCTTCACCTGCAGAGGAGAGCACAATGAAAGAGGTCAGCAAGATGGACTCTCCAGACCAGGCAATGCATCAGAAATAACCAAGGGAAGCAAAAACAACAACAAACCTCAAGTGAATGATGGAGTTACTTACCCAGCTGACATGAGGTGAGGGTTTCTGTTTTCATATGTGTTAGAACTTTTAGCACTCCATTCCCAGAGTATGAACAACTGCTGAAGATTATTTAACAAACCATAACCCACCCCCAGGAATCTGCTTTAGAGTGTATAGGTGGCTAGTCTTATAGTCATTTCTTTTTGGGGAAACAGCCAAAGTGTTAGATGATAGGGTATTACATGACAAGCCTATAACCACAGTGGGTAACACAACTGTCTATTTATTTGTATTTAAGACAGGGTTTCTAGCCCAGAGTGACCTCAAATGCACTGTGTAGCTGAGAATGACCTTGAACTGCTCTAATTGTCCTGCCTCAACCTTCTGAGTACAGTTTATAAAGTGCTGGGTATAGAACCAAGGATCTGGTACAGGCTAGACAGGCACTCTGCAGGTGAGCTATATCCCCAGCTCTCCCAATTAACTCTTTTATGTAAGGTGCATGAAAGGCAGATGTGGGGTGGGAGATAGAGCTATTTCTAAGGCATACATGCTTCTTTCTACACTCAGCCATTTTAAACTCTTCTAACGAGCAATTATTAAATTATTATTTAATTATTATTATTATTATTATTATTATTATTATTATTATTATTATTCTAGTGAAAATAAAACAGGCTGAGAACCCTTGCTTTTGGTCACATATAGCAACATTCTATATTATGTGCATGAACATTGGCCTCCATGCTTGTGTACCATATGCACACCTGGTGCCCTTGAAGGTCAGAAGACTGTCAGATCCCTCGAATTGTAGGTGTAGAGGATGTGTGCTGTCACTCGGGTACTGGGAAATGAGCCCATGCCCTTTCCGAGAGCACTAGGTACTAAGTCACCTCTCCAGCCTATGGGATCCTTTATCTTTGAAAGTTATTGTTATCATCATCATTCTTTGCCTTGGTGGGGATCAAGCCTTGCAAATGTCAGGTAACCACTCTGACATAGAGTTACACCCACAGGCCCACAGATGATCTTTGAAACAAAATTTCTTTTGCATTGAGTGTGCATTTTCATGTGTGGGCATACATAAGTCAGAGGTTGATACTGAACGTCTGCCTCGTTCCCTCTCCACTTACATTCTGAAGTAGGGTTTCTTAGTGATTCGAGTAGTCTAGCGAGTTAACCTGCCCCAGAGATCCCTTATTTCTACCTATTGACTACTAGGGAAACAGGTGTGGACTTCCATGCCTACTTGTAGTTTGGATTTGTTTTGTCTGTCTGTCTGTCTGTCTGTCTGTCTATCTATCTATCTATCTATCTATCTATTTTTAGACAGAGTTTTAGTATGTTACTCCCAGTTGGCTTGGAACTCTGTGTAGACCAGGCTGGACTTGAACTCAGATTCATTTACTGCTGCCTCCCACATGCTGGGATTAAAGGGATTTATAACCATGCAATTCAAGTAATGCAGTTTTAAAATGTTTTCACAATATAGGTGTGTTAGGTATAATAAGCAAGTAACCACAGAAACATATAATCATTGAAACACTCCCACTTTAATAAGATATCTCACAAAGTCAGAAATTCTACAACTAATTACATTCAAAGAACAAAACAATATAGTTGGCAAAGGCATTTGTAATCAATCCTTTAGTGCATTTAACAAGCTGGAAAAAGTATTCATGGAAAAAAACACATATATTTAACAAATGCCAGTAATTCAATAAAAATCACCTTCTATTGTTATTTAGTCCACTGCTACCTTCTTTCTTTAAAAAAAGATTTACTACTTTAAGTTTTCTATTTTGTATTATAATTATTATTATTATTATTTGGAGACAGGATCTCTCTATGTAGTCCTGGCTCTTTTGGCACTTGCCATGTAGAGCAGGCTGGCCTCCAACTCACAGAGGTCCCTTACCTCTGTTCTCCTCTGCCTCCCCAGTGCTGGATTAAAGGCATGAACCATATTCAACAGCTTGTTAGAATCTTTAAAAGATTCATCTTAAGAAGTTTTATGTATGTGCTTCTGTGTGATCATGTGTTGATTGTATGTGTGTGTTGTGTGTGTGTGTGTGTGTGTGTGTGTGTGTGTGTGTGTAGAGGCCAAATGAGGACAGCACAGGATCTGGTTCCCTTGACTGAAACTACAGGTGTTGGCAGGATGGCTAGCTTGTTACTGGGTGTTGAGGTCCAAGTTCTGGTTGTCATGATTGGAGGCAACTGCTCTGAGTCATCTTTGCATCTTGGTAAGTTCTTATGATTTAAAAAATGTTTTATTTACATGTATGTGTGCAGGTCTGTGTGTGTGCATGTCAAGTATGAGCAGGTGCCAGAGGAGGCCGATGAATCCCCTAAACTGGGGTTATAGGCATTTGTGAGCTGCTTGATTTGGATGTTGGGAGCCAAGCTCCAGTCTCCTGAACGTAAGTGCTGAGCCATCTCTTCAGCATCCTCACCTCTGACTAAGCTCTTTATATTTAATCCTGTCACCCACCTACAAGCTGTTCTTACTTGGGTATGAAGTATGACACCAATATACTTAATCCTGTTGTCTAAACTGTAACGAAGAGATCTCCTTCTAGCTTTGCAACTGACTGTACTTACACTTACATCAAACACACAAGAGCAGCTTGGGTCCCACAGGAAGCTCCTTTTACTTCATCAGCTTCCCACATTCCTGTTTCCTTTACTTGTCTTTCATTTTAGGTCTTCAGAAACTTTATTCTTCCCTCACATCACCTCTCTTTATGGGGGTTTCTGAGTCATGGCTTCATAGCTTAGGCTAATGTAGAACCCTCTGTGTAGCCATACTGACAAATCAATGGTTATTGACCTGCCTCAGCATCTCATGTGGTGGATTAGAGGGTTATACCATTACACGTGACTCATGTTTCTGAAGATGGCTTCAGGCTTTATTTGTACAGGCACACAAAATATCTTCACTTATAGCTTCACTTATAGTCATCTACTACATAACTACAACATCATCTCCTTTATTATCATTTAGTTATCAAGTATTATAAGTAATAATGATAAAAAATTCAAAGTTTTCTATTCTCAGGAATGTCTTTGGCTATAGTATAAGCTACAATGTGTGTTAATATGGAATAAATCCTTCTTCTGTAGGGAACTTTTCAAAATACAAACAGAGAGGCCCCTTTTTACCTGGTCTGGTTCTGAGAAAATTACAAATCCAGTGAGTGTAAGTCAACCCCGTGAGAAACATAATTGTGATTCTGAGGCACAACTGCATTCCAATACCTAATGGGAAGATGAATCCTGGGGAGTAAGGCATTCATCCATGCAGAACAGAGGAGAAGCTACATGGCTTGTATGAGCAGTATGCTTTTATTTCCCTGACCTTACTCTCCATGGCTACCGCTCTGGAAAAGCAAGCATTCCACCAACAAGCCATACCCCAGACACAACCATTTCATTTCTTATTTTAAACTTAATCATCTTAAATCACAAGTTAGAATCTATCTCCTTTTCACACAACTCAAAAATGTGTCCAAACGGAGATTGGGGAAGTTAGCCTTGATACAAACTTTATGCTTGTTTCAGCAAAATACGTTATTTCAGATAGGGAGAATGAACTGAGATTAAACTTAGAGTACCCTTTCCTTAACTAAAATAAGCATACCTAGAAAATGCCATGTTTTGCCCCAAATACTTATAAGACTCTAAAAACTACAACTAAGAAAAAAAAGTATTGGGAAATCACAAACATACAATTAAATAAGATTTTACAGGGTAGCTCTGCATTACCAGCTTAGGGTTAGACGGCCATACTTTGTGATGCTTTTACAACAGAGAGCTTTTGCAAAGATAGGTCAAGCCTCTGGAGAACAGTTGAAGTCAAGTACATGCATGCATAAAAGGCTTAGGAAGGTGAGTAGCTAAATACAGATGCATAAAACATCATCCCAAATAGTGCAGAGGGTTATGAAGAGAAATAATGCAGGCTAAAATAAAAACAAAAGAAAAACCTTTGAGCTCCAAAAAGAGTGAAGCTGGTCCCGGAGTGCTGGCTTGACTGTCTGAAAGTTTATAAAAATAAAACCCACTGATTGAGCAGCTTCATGTGTGAAAAAAAACACAAATATTACCATAACTTTATTAATACAATACTACAATTCCTTGTAATAGTTTAAGAAGAAATCAAAGTTTTACCTTCAAGCTTGGCGTTTGGGTCTGGTCAACTGTAAATCTCATGAGGATGTTAAATTGAAGATCATTTGGAAAAGATTCTCTGAAAAAAAGAACAAAGAAAAGACAAAATTAAAAAAAAAAATAAGTGGGGCTGGAGAGAGAATGCACTGAACTGGCTGCTCTTCTAGAGGACCTGAGTTCAATTCCCAGCCCCCACCTGGTATATCACAACCATCTGTAAAGAGATCTGGTGCCCTCCCCTGGCATGTAGTGCAGGCCTACATGCAGACAGAACACTGTATACATAATAGATAAATAAATCTTAAAAAAAAAAGCAACCAACCTCCCCAACATTAAGTTGACATGTATATATTTTAACAAATTTCAGAGTAAAAGACATTTAATACCCGAATATCATGCCACCCAAAGTATGGATGAATTGATAGGTGAAACGGTACAGTATACGAAGCACAGTGTAAGAATAAAGACATTTGAACTTACAGCCAGTAAAGGGTTAAGAAAAAAAAAACCAGGCAAGTGTATCTTGCTTATCTCACTATGTATTTAATTAGGAAAATGTAGTAAGTAAAAGTTCAAACTTCTGGCCCTGGAGAGATGACTCAGTGGTTAAAAGCACAGACTGCTCTCACAGCAGAACTGAGTTTGGTTCCCAGCACCTACATGGACAGCTCACAACCACCTCTTACTCCAGCTCCACAGGATCTGATGTCCTCTTCTGTTCTCCTCATTTCAACTGAGAGGGGTGACATACGTCTTTAATCTCAATGCTCAGGAGGCAGAGGTGAGAACTCTGAATTTGAGGACAGCCTGGTCTACACAGTGAGTTCCAGGCCAGACAGAGCTATATACTGAGACTCTGTCTCAAAAAAATGACCACCAACAAAACCCTGAATTCCAGATTTCAACTTAGTATATGGGTGTGTGAAATAAGTCACTTTAACAGTAAGATCAAGGAGGTAGAAACCTACTATTGGCTTAAAGCCTTCTGCAAGGAGACTGTCTAATGGCAGGGTAAAATATTGTTTAAAATAGGAATGGCTTTTAATTTCACATAAGATCATATTAACCTTCAATTCAATTTACACATACATTTACAGTTGTTTTTACCAAAAGGTCAAGACATGATTGCATATTAAAAACTTTTCTTTAGTTGGTCATGGTGGCACATGTCTTTAGTCCAGCACTCGGGACACACAGGCAGATGGATTCTGTGAGTTGAAGGCCAGTAGGGTCTACACAGAGTTCTAGGACAGCCAGGGCTACACAGAGAAACCCTGTTTCAAAACCAAACAAATAACCCCTAACCAACAAACCAACCCAAACAAACAAACAAACACCCCTTTTCATTTGTATTTACTTATTTGTGTGTATATCTGGGCATGTGTGTGCTATGGTGCACTTGAAGGAGTTGGCTTTCTCCCTGTGGGTTGAGGGATCAAATTCAGGTTGTGGGGCTTAATAGCCAAGTGCCTTTATCCCATGCACCATTGATCTCTTTTGAGATAAGCTTTTAGTATATTTCCTAAAATTGCCATAATCTCATAGACTCAAACAATCCTCTTGCCTCAGTATCCCAGCAAATGAGACTACAATTGCATGCCATTGTACCAGGCTCTAGTTACATCTTTTTGCTTTTTTTGCTTTGTCTTCTCTCTCTCTCTCTGAAATTGGTCTTGAACTCCCGATCCTTCTATCTCCTGATCCTTCTGTCTCCAACATGCTGGGATTATAGATGAGTGGCACCATCTATCTAATCTAATCTAATCTAATCTAATCTATCAATCTTTAAAATACATGCTTATTTTTATTTTTGAGAATGGGTCTCACTACATAGCTATTAGTTCTGGCTGTCCTGAAACTCACTTAATAGAGCAGAAGGGCTTCAAACTCACAGATCTTCTTCCCTTTGCCTTTCAAGTGCTGGGATTAAAGACATGCACCACCAGGTTCAGCTCGATAGCTGTATCTTTATTGTTACTGTTTGAGACAGGTTCCTGTTGCCAAAGTTGGCCTTACACTCACTATATACTGAAGATTACCTTGAATTCTTGATCACCCTGCCTCTACCTCCCATATTCTAAAATTACATGCATGCACTACCATGTCAGTTTAGTTATATTTTACTTAAGATGTTAACAGCTTGAAGTACTCAAACCAGTATTAATAAAACTTTAATGTAGGGATTAAATACTTGTGATTATTAAAAGGTAAACTTGAAATATATGCAGAAAATATTACCTTGTAACATCAAGGGCTTTCTGAACTTTTGCCTGAACAGAACCAAGCAAATCAGCACCCATTTTTTTCAGCAGCTGTGTGAGCAGCACAAACAACCAATCTTGAAGATCATCTTTGTGGACTTGTATGAAATCTACTAGAGTCTCCAAAAACATGCTGAACACCTGTAGTTGATAAAGGGGAGAAGTGGGAAGAACAAAGAGGAGATAGTGACCTCTACGCTCAAGTCAAAACAGAAATAGATGGAGAAAAAGGAATCTGAGGCACAGCGATTGGCAGCCAAGCAGAAAAAAAAAAAAAAATCTCTCTTGCTTTTCACTGGACTCTGTGATACAAGAGTGCATCTGCGCTGTTATCCAACTTCTGCAGAAGTTTGACAATTAGCTATTCCATGCAGCATCACTTGGTAAAGAAACTGCCCATAATGGCTGGCACACCTAATGTTATCAGCGATGCCACAGCTTAAGCTAGTTAAACTGAGACCCATTTCCTAAAAAATGGAGGAGGTGCTGTGTGCTCTTTCAAGGACACTCAGTATTTGAAAGAATACTGGGTGAATTAGAAAATTATTGAATTTATAGTCACCATACAGTGGCAAATGTATCCACAATAATGTGCTGATTAAAAAAGCCTCAGGTTTCACAAAATGACAAATTTCATAAACCTTTTGGTGTAAGATTTATTATTTATTAAAACTGCCTCAAAAGTAATTTTTAATTGTTTGTAGTAACTAAAAGCATCTCTATAATAAAAATTAATTGAGAATAAAGCATTCATTTAAAATTCAAATTTTTAAGAATGTTCTTGTGTTGGTGGGATTTAAGTATTTATTCACTTAGGACTTTTAGGACAGGGTTACTCTCTATAGTCCTGGCTGTCCTGGAACTCACTGAACAGGTGTCAAGAGACACCCTGCCTCTTCCCCTCAAATGCTGGGATTAAAGGTGTGTGCCAACATGTCCAGCTTATGTTGGTAAGTTTTGTATTTGGCTCCAGTGTTTTATATATAGGAGTGTGAACAACTGTATAGTGTGAAAACATATCTTAAGGGAAAGATAAACTATTATGTGAGGTCTCATTAAAGTATTTTGCAAAGTGACTCTTGATAAGGTTTTGTTTCTTTGCAAGAAATCAATATTATACTAGAAGATCAATATCTAAGTAACAGGAAAATATACTTAAGAGTCACAGCCATGCTATACTAAGACACATCACAATCAGAACAGGTGAATAAAATCACGGCATTTTTATTTATTTGTTTTTTTATGTGTATGTATACCACGTGCACACTGGTGCCCACAGAAGCCAGAGGACATCACTTCTGGATATGGAGTTACAGATGGTTGTGGGCTGCCTGATGTAGATGATGGGAATAGAACCAAGGTTCTCTTGAAGGGCAGCCAGAGCTCTTAACTGCTGAGCCCTCTTGCCAGCTAGTCCTCTTTGTTATTCTGAGATGCATCTCTTGTAGCCCAGCTTGGCTTTGAACTTCTTATTTATTGGACGATGGTCTGCAAGACACTCTGGACAACAGGCTGCCGGGATTACAGGTGCACAGCACCTCCACATCTAGTTTATGCCGTGCTGGGGACTAAACCCAGGGTTCTGTGTACTTTACCAACTGAGCTTCATCCCCTGCTCTATTTACAAAAATCTTCTATAACCTCAAAGGCAACTTTGCTAATTTGAAATTGTTTCAGCATTTCTGGAATGTCCTTTATGTAGTTTTGATGAACTCTAGTTTTTGCCACTTTCAACAGCAAGGAAGTTTCCTCTAGCAACAAACTTTCCTCTACTTAGAATTGGAACTAAGCTTTAACATTTGAACTTTGTTAAAAAGAAAAACAATCCACCTTACTTTCTTAAGATGGTATGTATTTGTGAAAGCAGCAACTATGACTACTTGGAGTTCTCCAGTGCTCTCTGCTCTCCAGTGGCACCTACTCATTTAGAATGCAGATCTTTCTAACTCCCACACTCCCCCCAACTAAATCCCCAAAACTTGGTTTCAAAGCTGGCTGAGTGCTTTAGTAAATTCTTTTGGACTTTCTCCTAGAAAATTGTGAAAAGAATTTTGTTAGACCTAGTCTGTGACAACTGCATATATCTAACCTGGCACCCACGCTTCCTGGTTATATGACCATTCTGTCTGGCAGCACACTAGAGCTGGATTTATCTCCCTCAACAAGTCACACATTACAGAATCAGGGTTGGTGGGAGGTGACTGAATTTTTAGAGGGTGCTGCAAGCTTGCTGGTGGCTTGAAATCGGCCATAGTAGCATTACAGAAACCAACACAGTACAAGTAGGGGCTTCTTTCTCTCCCGGAGCTTCTGGTTTTTTATTTTTATTTTTTTCTTTCCAGAGCTTCTTTACCAGCTCCCAACTATTTCTTTTTGAGTCACTTTTCTTCTTGTTTCAACTGTTTCCTAGTCTGCTTTCATATGAAAACCTGTCTTGAAAATCTTAAGCCATTTGGAAAGCCACAGTGTGTCATTGGTTGTTTGGGTTTTAGTTGTGCTGTGGCCACACTATTACTACATAGTTTCACTTGTCACTGCCTTTCTCGGGAATTTGACTTCTTCTATACTTCATGTTCTAATGAGCTGCTCTCAGGAGACCCAGTTTTACTCCTCCCGAAAGCCAAACCTCCTGTGCAGTCTCTTGTTCCTGAGGTGTCTCTGCTTCCACTGCAGTGCAGGGCTCCTGACCCTGTGCTTCCAACTGCAGTGCAGGGCTCCTGACCCTGTGCTTCTCCTGCAGTGCAGGGCTCTTTCTTAAGTGCAGTGTGCTTGGGCTTTCTCTAAGTGGATGCTGCTTTCTTCAGGGTCCCCTCTTTCCTTCTTCCTTGTCAGGAATTTTCCTATTGTATCCAATGCCTTCACCTGACTGTCTCCTTACATCAGCGAGGCCTCTGTCACTAGGCCCCAGTCTCTCAGGAGACTGCTTACCCACTGCAGTAGGTACAAAGCCCTTTAACGTGACTTCAGGACTGACTTTACTCATTTCCTATATACCAGGATCTCCAAGTCATTTCTGTAACAGGCCAGATAATAAATGTCTGAGACTCTACAGGCTATGGGTCTAGCAACTACACAGTCCTGTCATTATATCATGGCCACAGACATAAAGTTAGTATAACTGTATTTCAAAACAACTGAATTTCCCAAAACAGATCTTGGGCAGATTGAGTCTCCAGGCTATGTTTGTCAACTCATGCTTCTTTCTTACATACCATCACTGGAATGTCACTTTGAATAAAATAAAATCCTTACATATCCCCAGTTAAGAGGGAATCCTCAACCCTTAGTTCTACACTTCTCCAAACTGGCCTGGGAGCATCTGGTAATGTGAGTATTGTCTTCCCTTTCATACGTATTTCATAAAACTCCCAACTTTCTACAATTCCCTTATCTTCTACCCTTTACATACAGCATGTGAATTTCCAAAAGTTTATTAAGAAGCTGCTTGGGTGACTTTAGATCATAGCCACTCATTTTTCCTACCTGAAACATTTTCTTATATGTTTGTATGAGACAGAGTCCTACTGCATAGCCTTGGCTGGCTTGGAACGCACTAAGTAGCCGAGGTTGGCCTTGAACTCACAGAGATCCATTTGCTTTTGCCTTCCAAGTACTGGGATTAAAGGCATGTGCCATCATCTATTTGGAACTTGTAATTTGACTAGCTATGCATGCTATTACTTAATTTTTCTCAAATTATATTATCACCCTACCCAGAATATTTATGTGTATTTTATTTATTTCTGAGATAGGGTCTCACCATGTATTCCAGCATGACTTTGAACTCATGATAATCTTAACTCAACCTATTGAGTGTCGGGATTACAGACAGGTGTTACTAGACCCACCCCAAGGTTCTGTCATTTGTATATACGTTTCACATGAGTACACATGTATATACATATTTAAAGGCCAGAGGTCAACCTTAGGTGTCATTTTTGAGGTGTTGTCCACTTTTGAGACAGATTCTTTGACCTAGAACCTACCAAACAGGCTAGCCTGTCTGGCCAGGAGACCTGCCTGCCTCTGTTTCTTTGGCACTAAGTTTGCAACTGTGCATCACCTGACTCAGCTTTTTAAAAGTGTGGGTTCTAACACTGAACTCAGGTTCTTATACATGCACAGCAAGCATTTATCAACTGAGCTAACTCTCTAGCCCCAAGATGGGATCTTATTATGTAGCCCAGGATAGCCTCAACTTCATGGAAATCTTGCTGATTCAAGATAACTGCACAATCTATACTTCCATTTCACCTAAGATTATAACTACACTTTCCTTCCAGAGACTTGTCTGAATGTCTCAGGAAGTTCTCCTAGTTAGGTAAAATGTTAAGTAACATAATTAAAATGCAGAGATATGAATTACAGGCCACTGCATATAGAACTGCATTACTTAAAACCACTAGCAATACTGGCCACATGTATGCATATACCCACACATACATGTATAATCACAGCCCTAATATGTTGCAAACAATACACGACCTTTCCCAAGTGATTTCTGTACCTCAGAGAATTCATTTCAGAGGTCAATCAATGTTCTCTCCTTTCCTCACCCACGAGTAAAGGAGAAGAAATGTATCTTAATATAATGCAAAAACTATAAACTATATTTCACAAGTTGAAGTTTAGAAGTAGTGATTTATAACCACTGCTTACTTTTACAGAATGGTATTAATAGAGTATTATAGAGTACATGGGGGTGGTAAGGCAGCATTTTACATATATCTTTAATAATCTTGAAGCTTGGGAATTATTTTAAATCTCCAATGAATCAATTTGATATTTCACAACTGGAATTATTCAGGAAAGAACCAAATATTGGCCTATTACAATTGAGGCAGCCTCTTATATAAGCCTGTTTTATTTTAAGTGTGCCAGCCATCAAATTTGAAACAGAAGAACATAATCAAATTAGATCAATTAGTAGATTAAAAAGCACATCTCCAAACAGAATGACAGTTTGCGTAACTGCGAATAGCATGTCGTGGATTGCAAAGGGTCCAACACTGCATGAACTCTTCAGGAGAGAAACAGAGAAAATGGGTTAATTCCACAGTCATGCAGTAAAGTTAGCTTTTCAACAAATATTGAACCAACTTACTCTCTATTGAGAGTTCCAACACAGGGGACAGCATGCAAAAAGGAAAAAAGAAAAAAGAAAAACACACAAATTAGTCGCCATCAATGCAAAGTTCCTGTATGGAAGAAAAAAAAAAACACTAAAGAAAATAAAAGTAACAAATGTTTTTCAAAGTTTTATGAAAAAACTCAAAATAGTTTTTAAAACAAGAGTTAAATGAACAACATAGGAGAAGAACACATGATTTCTCTGTATGTCTCATTTACTTCCTTGTTAAGGAAATTCAAGAAATAGGAAAAAAGTTTTTCTTTTTGCTTCCTAAAATTATCTGTCTGTCTGTCCATCCGTCCGTCCACCCACCCACCCACCCACAAGTTCTCACTATGTAGCCTTGACTGTCCTGGAACTCACTATGTAGATCAGGCTGGCATTGAACTCACAGCGCATTACAAATAGTTTTTTTTTTGTTGTTGTTGTACACTCCACTGTCCCCAAGGCTTAACTTTAAGGGGAAAAAAAAAAAAAAAAAAAAAAAAAAAACAAAAAGACACAGAATCTCACTTCTATTTATCAACAGTGTCAACATTTGGTTCCAAACCACAGTGTCTAAAATTCTTACTCCATCTTCTCCCTCTTCACAAGTTAGATGATTTCTATAAAGTTGTGAACAATAATTATTGTATGCAAGTAAAGACCAGTATTCCTATCACACTTCACATTCCATGGGTTAGATGTGTTACCATCACCTGCTCCAAAGACTCTTATCTGACCAGAATATCTGAGAAGCTACCTAATCTGGCCAGAATGCTTGACAGAAGACAATCAATTAGTACAGCAGTTACAGGGTTTTTCTATAGTAGCTCAAGGCTCAAAGGCCCAATTCAAAAATTTTAAGTAGCCAGTTCATGGCACACATCCCAGTGAAGATGGCACTTTCCAAAGAGTTCCACTATAATGCTGAAACCACACGGTTAACTTTTAGTATATGCTATCACTTATATCAGGGAGCTGGGGGTAGGAGACAGAAGATTGGTCCACAACAACAAAAATAAAAACTTGGGGGCCAGAAAGTGGTTGACCATGAGGACCTGAGCACTTGTGTAACAAGCTGGGTGTGGTCTTGCATGCACCTGTAATTTCACTGCTGTGGGGGAAAGAGGCAGTACAATCCTCAGGGCTTGTCAGCTACCAGACTAGCTGAGATTTACAAACTCCAAATTTAGGAAGGGACTCTGCCTTAAAGAAATAAGGCATAGATAGATAGATCAGGATACCAGATATCCTCCTTGGGCATCTCTGCATACACACAGGCATATGAACTTGCACACAAGCAAATACAGAGACACATACACACATCTGCACACACACACACACACACACACACACACACACACACACACACACACACACACAGATATATGCATAAATCACACATATAAACACTCCACTCATATATAAATAAAACGGGGAGAGCAGTCTCTAAAAACACTTACTTTAAAAAAAATTACATTTGTTGTGTTAAAACTTCTAAGGTAAGAACCATACAAAAGTTCTATTCTAAAAACTTTTGATTTTAACTGAATCATTATCAAAAGCTTACAAGCTGGATACTATTATAAGCTGTTGTTCAGACTAATAAGCTAAGGCACACATTGCTAACAAGTACTGCATATAGAATAGAACTAAGACCACTATCTACACTTGCAACTACTGTGTTGTAAAGTTCTTTTGTAAAACTATCAAAAAGTCTCTAATACACTTGGTGCCTTATGGCCAAAGTTCTTGTCATGTATATATCACAGTTTGATCACTTATTCTCATACTGTACAGGTAGCTCTCTGTATTTGCAGATTCCATGACCTGAGGATTCAACCTAAAGTGGACTGAAAAAGTTTCAGGGAAGAAATTGCCCTTGCACTGAACACATGCATACTTAGTTTTTCTTTAATCACCCTTAAACAAGGTCTTAGTATCTGCAGAAGGTCCTGGAACCAACCCATGATAGATGCTGGGGGAATGATACATGAAATAAAGTTAACTTATCAAAATACAGAAAGACATCAAATATCAAATGATCTCCACTTGCAAACTGCACTTGCCATATTATCTGAGTCCCAGGAAAAGTCTTGGATCCCCTCCAGTTGCACTAAGAAAGGGGTCCTTTCTAGCCCTTCTTTTTCTGGGATGTCTCAGCATAGCAGAGCATGCCTGGCATTTTGACTGGTCCAAATTCTTTTGTCTAAACATATTAAAGGAAATGGTCTGGGAGCTGAAATCAGTGGTCCTAGCTGGAAAAGTATGGGCTGTTGCTTACAACCTTGTTCTTGAAGTGTCCTGTTTCTACTGGAGTCAACAAGTGATCTCAATCAAGTCATCAGACAAAAGCAAGAACAACCTTCACTTTCAAAGCAGTTAGGTATTGTCTAATGTTCACAGATTGAGTGAAACCCTGATCTAAATCTAAAAGGACATTGGGCAACTTGCCATCCATGTCATGACACATGGTATCCCCTAAGCACCTTTGTGGGGTTTTACACAGTTTCTATCCTGTGATCCTGCAAAATAACTGAGTTATAGATAAGGCATTCCAATCTAGAACGGCCACCTAACCCAGACTTGAGGGAGAGGCATCATTTATGTAGAGCCCTAAGGATGCAGTTTGGGAAAGAGAACTGTCCCAAATGGCACATTTCAAGCTATGAAGAAAATTGCACAGCATAGTTAGGGAAGAAAGAAAGATTCAGGCTGAGGAGATTCGATAGCTAATCTATGTTTTCAACTGGCTGCACATGGAATTAACTAGAACCCAAGCAGCTGGGCACACCTGTGGGGGATTTTCTTGCCTGGATTATTTGAGATCACAAGACCTGTCCTAAGTCTGGGCCACACCTCCTGATGGCAGCCGATATATATGGATATGGTAGAAAGAAGCTTTTGCTTTTTGTCTGCTTGTCCTCACTTTCCCTGCTGCTGAGGTTTTCCTTCACTGGCAGTGGAACATAATTATTCAGGATCCAACACAGCCCAGAGACCAGCTGAGACATCCAGCCTGGAGAACTGAACAACTACTGATGCTTGGCCTTTCTGTCCGAGATCAACCATGATGGACTAGCTGGCCACAGTCTGCCTTATACTCTTAATAATATAGAATCATTCTATCAGTTCTGTTCCTCTAGAGAACCCAGACTAATACAGGGAATATAAACAAAAATATCAGGCTTTGCTTGGACATTTCTTAAGGGTTTTAAGATGGTTGTACACACTGCGGCAGATACTTTAGGTATAGGAGGGGTGGTGTGTGTGTGTGTGTGTGTGTGTGTGTGTGTGTGTGTGTGTTAAAAAGAGTACCTTGAATCAGCAGTGAGAATGGAGAGGCAGACTCAAAAGGAGTAGTATTTTTACTGTAATGCAAATTCCTAAGTTGCATAGTCAAATGGTCATAGTATAATACATTGAGATCAAGAAGAACAAGAGGAAGAATGGTAAGGCTGAGGACAAAGTCAGTCAGCCCTCTCTAGCTCAGGATTCATCTGTGCTTTAACCAACTACATGCTGAAAATATTTGGAAAAAACTTTGCATCTATAACCTTGCACATTTCCCCTATAATTTTCTAAATCATACAATTTTTACAATCAGTTACAATGTATTTACATTAGGTATATATGGTGGCCCACACCCTTAAACTCAATACCCAAGAAGCAGAGGCAAGAGAATCTCTGTGAGTTCTGAGTTCGAGGACAGCTTGATTTATATAGAAGAGTTCCAGGTCAGCTAGTCTACATAGGAAGACACACACATGCAAATCAAATAACAAACAAATAGAGTATAAAATGAAGATCTAGATACACCATTCCACCGAGCAACATCAGTAAAACAGGCAGAAAAAGTGTGTGAGAACAAGAGGGAAAAAAAAAAGGGCACAAAGAAGTGAGGGATTCAGCACAGAAGAAAACCACCACCAAACCATTTTTCCTATCTTACCCACATTCATTAAATGATAAAAACAAGTACCTTAAAATACAAAGTAGATTCAGATTGAAGTTGAATAACACAAAAACAGGGTCAAACAGCCAATTAGAATTTGCAAGAAATTCCAGAAAAGCCAAGTAGAAGAGACCATATAGCACAGTGGTTCTCAAACTGTGGGTCATGACTCTTTTGAGAATAGAAAGACTCTTTCAAGGGGTCACCTAAGACCACCAGAAAACACAGATATTTACACTGCAATTCATAACAGAAAAAATAGTTATGAAGTAGCAATGAAAATAATTTTATGGTTGGGGGACACCACAACATGAGGAACTGTATTAAAGGGTCACAGTCTTAGGAAGGTTGAGAACCACTGATATACCAAGAGACAGGGTACACAGGGAACACACAAGCAAACAGCAGTTTTATGGTGAGACAAGAGCTCCTTCTATCTCAGCAGTAAGGAAGGTGCTCAGAGGCAGGAAATCCGGTCCCTGCTTGAGAGGTGAGATCTATGCAGACGAGACAGGTGGGGAGATAAAGTTGGCTGGGGGTATTAGAAGACAGAATATTTGATGTAAGAACCAAGAGGAGGATTATGAGTCACTGAGAGAAAAATCTTGGGCCAAATGTGGAGACAGCAGGACACAGGACACTGCTCCTAACCTTCCATCACTTAACCTTCATGACCTGAAAATATAGGTTCCTGGGGCTGGAGAGATGGCTTAGTAGTTTAAGAGCACTGACTATAAACTGGGCCTGGTGGTACATGACTTTAATCCCAGCATTTGAGACAGAGGTTGAGGCAAAAGCAGGTGAATCTCTCTGAGTTTGAGGCCAATCAAGCCTACATAGTGAGATCCTATCTCAAGAAACAAAGAAACAACAAAAAACCCACCCACCACGACCAAATCATTGGCTGCTCTTCCAGAAGACCCAGGTTCAATTTCCATTGCAAACGTGGAAGTTCCAGACCTCTTTGGGCACCAGGCTTGCACAAGCAGACATGTAGGCTAAACACTCACACAAATAAAATAATTATAGATGTTTTTTCCCCTTAAGAAAAGCTGCTTGGGGGGGCACTCTATAGATATATTGAAAGAGAGAGGCATATGTACTATTTTAGTAATATGATGATATTATTAATAAAAAACCAAAAATCAAATCCCAGTATTTTTAACTCAGCACAACTTGGTTATATTTCCAATTTATTCTGAATTAATTAACATTACTAGCACAGGTATTATAAAATCAACAAACAAAAATAAAAACCTCCAGGTGGTGGCGGTGCACAACTTTTATTCCAGCAATCAGAAGACAGAAGCAGCCAGATCTCTGTTGAGTTCAAGGCCAGCTGGGTCTACAGAGCGAGTTCCAGGCCAGGACAGCCAGGGATACATATAGAAACCCTGTCTTCAAAAACTAAAACAAAAGAAAAAAACAAAAACTGACTTCAAAAGAAAAGAAACCATCCTTACTAAACAAGTGAAGGCAGATGGGTCTTTGAGAATTCTGTGTTGGTAATAGAATTGGTTCAATGGCTAAGAGCACTTGTTACTCTTGCAGAAGACCTGGGTTCAATTCCCAGTAGCCACATGAAGGACCGCAACCACCTGTAATGGTAGTTCAGGGGATCTGATATCTTCTTCAGAACTCAGTGAGCAGCAGGCACACCCCTGGTGCACCTACATGCATGCAAGCACGCACTCACACATAAAATAAACTGATTTAAGAGATAGAATTCTATGTTATAAAACCCTAAGACAAAAGCCCACAGGTGACCCTTCTGTAGGAGTATGGAGTTAGTTCTATAATTTATACTGAGTTCAATTCCCTAACCAATGTCAAACTCAGGTCTTCTATTTGGTCTTTAAAAAAATTACTATTACTTATTTATTTGTGCATGGTGGTTAGTTACATGCCACAGGTCACATTGGAGATCGTAGGACAACATTAGGAAGTCAATTTTCTCCTTTTGTCATGTGGGTCTCAGCAATCAAGTTGAGACTGTCAGGCTTGGCAGTAAGCACCTTTAGTCATTTTGTAGACTCACCTACTAGATCATTGAAAAAGTGTTTCTCAGCCGGGCGTGGTGGCACATGTCTTTAATCCCAGCACTCCGGAGGCAGAGGCAAGAGGATCTCTGTGAGTTCGAGACCAGCCCTGTCTACAAGAGCTAGTTCCAGGACAGCCTCCAAAGCCACAGAGAAACCCTGACTCGAAAAACCAAAAGGTATTTCTCAGTATCTCAAAGATCTTGGCATCTAACTAAAATTGCAGTATTGTCAAAGGAAGAGCCAAGAATTATAACCTTAAGAAATAACTTGGTCTTGGCAGCAGCAACATTATAATTTTATCACTTTTGAAGATGTTTAATGATTGTTAATGATTTTCAAAGTTGAATGCCCTAAAAATTAAAATGCTGTTTGATAAAAACAAAGGTACATTCAGGAAATGGTCTTTCTTTGGCTTATACTGTCAAATGAAATGATCAAAATTTAATGTTTACACTGTATAGAAAGGTTCCCATTAAGTATTTAAGTATTACAGAAGTCATTAGTGGTAGCAACAGCAATATAGAATGGTGTGGTGGTTTGAATAAGAATGGCACCCATAGGCGCATATATTTGAATGCTTAGTCACCAGGGAGTGCATCTCTTTGAAAGAATTAGAAGGATGAGGCGGCATGGCCCTGTAGGAGGAAGTGTGTCACTGATGGTGGGCTTAGAGGTGTTGAAGGCCCACACCAGGCTCCCCAGGTGGGAAAGGTGACAGTGTGGAGGAAAATGTCCACTGCAGCTTTCTCCTTCCAGATGTTTATGGCCTAAAATTGCTCCCCGAACAGGATTGCTTCTACCAAGATCAGCTAACTCTGCCTCCTTGTTCAGCTATATACTATAAATGCTGCCTCCCTGTTCACGTATGCAATGACCTTATCTCCTTGTTCAGCTGTATACAATAAACACCCTGAGTTTTCAGGACAGATTCTCCATCTGAGAGCCAGCTAACTTGGTCCTAACTTTCCTGTTCTTTTGTCTGTCTATCTGCTGTTTCTTCATTTCCTTGTCACCACTAGTCTCTGTTCTGGTACCCAAGCCATGCAAGGATGTAGCACATTTACAATGCTGTGTGTTGGGGAAGCCAACATTTCACAGCATACACGATGACTTTACATGCTTCATTAAATACATATATTTGAGATGGGGTCACATGCAGCTCAGGATGGCCTCAAAATTCGCAATGTAGTTTTTTTCTTTTTTTTGGTTTTTCGAGACAGAGTATCTCTGTGTAGCTTTGGCCTATCCTGGCACTTGCTCTGAAGACCAGGCTGGTCTCGAACTCACAGAGATCCACATGCCTCTGCCTCCTGAGTGCTGGGATTAAAGGCGTGCGCCACCAACGCCCGGCTGTTTTTCAATGTATGAAGAATTTCTTTTATGGTTCAAACATTGTTTTATGGTTTTTGTTAACAGCAAATTTTCTACAATATTTTTCTTTTAAGATAAGAATAGTTACATTAATGCTGTAATTATCACAGAAGAAAGTTGAAATGAAATGTTAGAAATGTTTGCAACTTACCCCAACTACATCCTTTACAAACGGCAAAATGTTTTGCTGTATATGTGTGTGCACACACATACATGTATGTGCATGAACATGTATGGGTATGAGCATGCATGTGGAGGCCAGAGGGTAATCTCAGGTATTGTTTTCAGGGACCATTCATCTGTTTACTGAGACGTCTCTCACTGCCAGGTCTGGCACCCATCACACAGGCTAGGCTGACTGGCCTGTTAGCCACAGGGATCTTCCTGGACCCATCTCACCATTCAAGTGTTGAGATCACAAGAGGGTACTACCACAGCTGACATTTCCCCCCTTTCCTCTTTGTTTCCTCTTTTCCCCATTCCCCAAGACAGGCTTTGGAGTCAGTCCTGCTGTCCTGGAACTTGATCTATGGACCAATCTAGCCTCGATCCGACTGCCTCTGTTTCCTGAGTGTTGGGATTAAAGGTGTGCACTACCACTGCGATCCGACTGCCTCTGTTTCCTGAGTGTTGGGATTAAAGGTGTGCACTACTACCACTGGGGCCAACGCCCGGCCTATTTTTATTATTTTAATGTGTGTGCATGTGTGTGTGAGTGTGTGTGCAAGTGTGAGTGTGTACATGCAAAGGAATCCAATCCCACATAGCTGGAGTTAGTAGATGATTGTGAGACGAATGATGTGAACACTGAGAAATGAACTTAGGTCCTCTGTAAGAGCAGCAAGGCTCTTAACCACGCAGCCATCTCTCTAGCTGCACAGCTGACATTTTATTTATTTTTAAAAGTTTTTTAGTTTTTTGAGACAGGGTTTCTCTAACAGCCATGGCTGTTCTGGAACTCACTCTGTAGACCAGTCTTGCAAGAAACTCAGAGATCAGCAGGCCTTTGCCTCCCAAGTGCTGGGACTAAAGGTGTGTACCACCACCACCAGATCTCACAGCTAACATTTTTAAACCTTTGTTTCTAGTGGTAAAAATTCCCACTAGATCCCACCAAGAAACCATCCAGCCTGCACAGCATTCTGAGTCTAAATCATAAGAGTTGAGATTGTAACTGCACTCCCTCAATCATCCTTTGGAGAAACTTGAATGAATGGATAAAAGAACAATTTCTAAATTGTGCATGATATGAAACAACTGAAATTATGTTTGAAAATATCACTACTGATGGCTTATGGTACCCTTCTATTACTTTACTACTATTTTGGATACACCATAGGAAGAAATCACCTTTAAATACTACAACATACCTTGCCATGAGGATCAGCAAACATTCTTGTGAAAATTTCACATAACCTTTTCAGTTCCACTCGACTGTCCAAGAAAGACAGAAAGAAAGATGATTAATATCTTGCTATAGGGTGAAGTCATTATTTAAAAATAAGCCTACAAACAATTAAATTTACTAATAATGACAACAAAAAAGGTTATGCAAATTATCCCTCAAAATTGAGAACTGTGTGCGTTTACCAAGCCAGGACGGATGTAAAGTTGTGGGACATCGGGATGACTCTGCTGCAGCTCCCACTGCTTATGAGAACCCAATGACGGTGAGGGAAGAACCACACTTTATCAGCAGAGTGTGGAAGGAAACAAACTGTATGTAGGGACCCACACAGGAATTTTATTAAGTGTTCTAGTGTTTTCTTAAGTTCCACCTTTTTTCAAGCTGCCCACTCTTTTCCATTTAAAATGACATATCCCGAATACTCTTGATAGTATGATTAAATGTACTGAGTCATGCATGACATGAGATACGTTTACCTGAAAATAGGTAGTACAAAAACAAACACATATATTTCTAATACATCTTAACATGTATAAACAGAAAGTATATAAAATACCAGTATTACTGTTATCAAGTGGGAAAACAGCTTTCTACATTTGTGCCACACTAACACTGATTAATTATCCAATTCTGACTTTTTTGGAGACTGTCTCCCTGGCTGGTCTTGAACTCACTATGTAGAACAAAGTGGTCCTAAGGGCAGAGAGACAACTGCCTCTGCCTTCTAGAGTGCAGGACTGAAGACATGTGCCAACATACCTAGTCTGAAGTTGGGTACTGTTAAAAAAAATCACATCAGCAAGGACAATGAAAGATGTAAGAATGAAGCAAACTAACCCAGGAAGAAAACTATTCTAAGCCAGGCAGTGGTGGCTCATGTCTTTAATCACAGGACTCAGGAGATAGGCAGGCAGACTCTGTAAGTTCTAGGCCAGCTTGGTCTACAGAGTGAGTCCCAATGCAGCCAGAGATATTATACAAAGAAACCCTGTCTTGAAAAACAAACAAAAAATAAAGTATTTTACCACTCTACAATCATGCCTTACTTATTTTGAATTCCAAAATCACTAACAAATTGACTTGTTTTGAATAAAAAGGTGTTTTGTTTTTCTCTAGAAAACTCTAGCTGTCCTGAAACTCACTCAGTAGACCAGGCTGGTTGCAGAGATTCACCTGACATTGCCTCCTGAGTGCTGGGATTAGAGGTGTGTGTTTGTTTTTTTAAATCTCTCTGGGTGGTGCATTTTATGTGTGTGAATGTGGGCTCATTTGTGGAGGTCCTCTGTTTCAAGTCCTTGTCTTCCACTTGTTTGAGACAGTGCCTCTTGTTTTGCTGCTGCACACAGCAGAAGGCTGGACCATGAATTTTCCAGCTATTCTCCTGTCTCCACCTTCCATCTTTCCAAAGGAGCACTGGAATTAGAATGCAATGTCCAGTTTTCCATGGTTTCCAGCTATCCTGTACTCAGGCCCTCACAACTTGCATAACAACTTGCATACACTCAGTAAGTTATATCCTAAACCTGAAAGTTTTGCTTTAAAATGATTCACTAACTGCAGCAAGGAAATTACACCTGTTTTAGTTATGATACTGATGGCCCAAAAGGAGTATAGCTTGGGAAAACCTTTAACATAGTTTATGACACATTTCACAAAATCAAGTCAAAAGGTGCTAGCCTGCTTGAAAAAGTATTTCATAACACTTCTCACCTTAGCGTTCTCTGATTTTTTAACAAGTTCTGCAGACCCAAGAGGCCTTCTTTCCTTTCTGACCAATTGGAGCTAGCACATCTGTTGAGGACTTCTGCTACGTCTTCTGTCTGTCTCATGTAGGTAGGAATACTACCATTTCGAGAACTATAGGAGCGTTCTGAACATGCACTAGAAGCATCGCTGTTGGCATCATCATCTGAGTGCATTCCGTATGATTCATATCTTCTTCGAGCAGGTTTTTTCTGTTACATATCAAGAACTACATTAGCAGAAGTTATAAACATATGGGTATTTCATAGTGTTTACTCAACACAAAAGGACTGATTTCTGTCTTTTATCAGTGGAGGGCATGCTGCTAACCATTGTGAAGTAAATGTCAACATTTAGTTTTTCTTCAGGAAGGACTTTAGAAGTTAGTAGGACATTAACTATTCACTACGAGGGTAGTACAGGAGAAAATGACCATGTGCAAGCTCAGTCATGTCAAGTGGGAGATGCTCAAAAGTACAGGCTTTCTCCTTAGAATGGAAAAAAATGTAAATAGAAACTGTACTAGAAATAGGAGTTGATAATAAGAAAATACTACCTTTTGAGAGGATTAAAACCATAATTTCCTCATGTAAAATACCATGCTTTTTCCTGTCTACATATCTCTTCTTTTTTATTTCTCTTGCCATTCCTCCACGCTTTGTTCTAACATTTATACTTTCAAGAGAAGTAAAATACAAAGACGGTGAGAAAGTGTTATGCTCACTAAGATTTTTAGGAAGCAAGATGCGTCCCTAGGGTTTTCCCAATATAATCTATGTTGTATAGCTTATTCTGTATGAGAAAGCAGTTGAGGTTCCTTTCATTTCTTGACCATAAGGTTTATAATTTATATAACTGCCCATTATGCCTTTCATATTAAAAGTGGCATAAGGTAGAGTAAACTACTCATTTGATAGAAATTGGAAACAAATGTACACACTGATATTTGGGATTTGGTTGGAGAGAAGTAGAGCTACTGCCATGGAACACACTAAATGTGGCAGTAATTCAAAATTTCCAAACACCTACAAAGGCTCTAGTCTAGAAGCTTAGAGATACACTATCTGAACATAAATAATCAAATGGTTTTACAAAGCTGCTGCCATTACTAACTCAATTTAGAATGACAATGTTTATTCAGGTGGGTTCCAGGATGAGTGCTATTAAAGACTCTAGTATAAATGACTCATCTCATATATGAGAAAAGTGGTACCTCCCCAAGACACTATGTTCACTCTGTATCCCCCATAGACAATCACAGTGACAGAATAACAGATGGACAGCTAAGGATTTTATTACTTCCACTTTAATTTTTTATAGATGACTATTATCTGTTAAGTTGATGAAGCAGAGAACAAAAGTTATAATATCGTAAGATGTCAGAAAATAGTGATATCTATACCTTAGTCCGTATGTCTCCTAAGAGCTGAGAGCAGTCAATTTTTAAAGAGAGAAATTGAAAATAATGAAGAACATTTTGCTAAACAGCACAGTGAACTTGGCATTAACAATGCCCACGACCAGAAATATTCAGTTTTACAACATATAGATAACAAAGAATTGCTTATTGTCAGGTTTTATCTTTAATCTTGTCAGTATCCTTTAATTAAAAAAGAAACACCTGTGAGTTCAAGACTAGCCTGGTCTACAAGAGCTAGTTCCAGGACAGCCTCCAAAGCCACAGAGAAACCCTGTCTCGAAATAACCAAAAAAAAAAAAAAAAAAAGAAACACAATTAAGCTACAAAAACATTTCCATCAACAGTTTCCCAAGAAATTCAAAGTATTCTTAGTATTTATAGCTGTTTTGCCATTTCAACTTAGACTTTATTTCCCCAGGTACAAATTTGCTTTAGTAGTTGGAAATTTTCCATAAACTTGATAGTTACATCTGTGCTATGCAAATGATGAAAGTTAAATGGCAAATCATTAAAGAGCAAAGAGAATAACCAAAAGCAAGCAAGAAAACATGATTTGGGAAACAGAATAAGGCACAATAAAAACTTAAAACACCTGACTGATTAAATGCCATCAGAAAATGTGGTTAACATACTCCATGTTCATAAGAACAGAGCCTCTACGTATATTAAAAACTATAGCAGCTGAGGTAAAGACAGAAAGTCAACTTTGTCATTATTGTCACACATTATCATATGTGATGATATACAATAAATCACAACTATTACCAATGAATATTTTAAAAATGCGTCTTTCACATCTACAGCCAAAAAATTTTTTCACAATATTGGACTTTTTTTTTTTCAAAGCTGAAAATTGTATTTGTAAATTTCAAAATAAAGCTGAGGGCACAGGGTACTAGCTCAGTGGTGTGCTGCTTGGATGGAACACCAAACACAAGGGTGGGGCCTTCCATAAATTACAGGTAGAAATTCAGCATGAACAAGGCTGCGTTCAATGCCAGTACCAACCCTAATACCCCCAAAGAGAAAATGAATAGATACTTTGAAACAGAGGCTTGCTATCATCATTTGAGTCCCCCTTGTCTTCAGTGCTAAGAACTGAACCCAGGGCTTCGTGCATGCTAGGCCAGCTCTCTACCACTCAGCTACACCTTTGAGTGTAAGTCATAATTTGAAAGAGAAGGAATCCTATTGGACTGACTAGGGAAGGTAACCAAATAAACTCTACCCATCATTTCCATTTTTCTTAATTGTACATAAGAACAGTGTGTATGTATGTATTATATATATATATATATATACATACATATGGTACACAGCATTCTTCCTACAACTACACCAATCCTTCAGTGCTTTGAATCCTCAGATTCTAATACGTGGAGCATAAAGAATCAGTAAAATATCTTACATAAATAATCAGTCCAGACATGGTGGTACATGCCTTTAATCCCAACACTCAGGAGGTCAAGGCAGGTGGAACTTTGTGAGTTCAAGGCCAGAGAACTCCAGGACAGCCAAAACTGCATAGTGAAACCCTGTCTCCAAAACAAAACAAATACCTACAAACTCAAGGTGAAGATAACCTTGAAATTACATTTATAAGTGTATATATACAAATGTACCGATTCATTTGCCATAAGTCAATATACTATTAGTGCATTAAACATGATACCATTATTATTAAAAACATCAAGATTTTTTGTTTTTAACACCAAGTTAAGATTACTGGGTCTGAATATTAGTAAGGATTGATCATTAATGTACTACTTTGATACTGATACTGCCAACATTTTGTCTTCTTGGGTATAATCTAGATTTTCTCATCCCTTTTCCCACACAGGGTAAGGCTTTCTCACACACTGGCTTTGAATAGAAACATCTATAAGGACAGGAAAAAGAAGAAAAGTACCAAGGCATCAGCTACGGCTTCCTCCACATCTGAGCCTGTGTTTAGAACTCGCATGGCACTGACAGAGGATGACAACCGGCTTGACTGGCTGATCCCATATCCCGGACCTAATTCACCAGAAAAAGGAAAAACAGCTTTCAGACAGTCACGGATGTAACAATGCAAGGGGTTGGGGGTGGCATTCAACTCTTATTAAGGGGGAAGGAAAAAAAACCAATGGGACAAAGCATTTTAAAAGCAATATTCTATTCTTCTGGGCACAATAAGGTTTTGGTCAAGCAAAAGGGAAAAAGCAATCAAAATTATTGATAAACGAGAAACAAATTTAAACAACCACTGTTTACTTGATAAAACAGGGAGACGATGGCTCTGCCAATACAGGAAAGGCTCCCCAAATGAAGCAAACTGTAAAGTAACAAACCCAGTGCTATGAAACCACACCAGCAACTCACCACAAAAAATGGCTCTAATTATAACCTCTCCTCCTGGACAATGATTTCATTGTTTAGCTAAAACAGACTGTTCAATAACCATTAAGTGATTACTATGTGCCCAATGGTCTGACACGTATAAACAAACTAGAGATGAATTCTCACCCACCCACTAACTGTTTTGTATACCTCTGTTTACAATTAAAACACTTCATCCACCATTTTGGTTTTTTTTTTTTTAACACACATATAAAGATGAAGTACATAACTGAGAACATAAAACAATTCTATATTTAAAAATGACGCAAGTTGCACCAAAACAAAAAAAGAAAAAAAAAAAGAAAGAAAAGAAAAAGAACAAACAAAAAACAACGCCCATCTGCCAGTTAGAAAAATGCTAAGGTTGCTAAAGGAAGGATAGTTACTTGGGGGAAAAAACAACAAGCGATTTATTATCTAAAATATTAGATTTAAATAATGCAAATTAACTTTAAAATGAATATTATGTGATGAAAATGGAAAAGAACAAAATCTGGGATGAATGCAGAGATGATAGTGAAAATGTACTCATCCTTCACCTGAGGCCCCATACACATCGGGGGCGTAGAGGGCACCAGTGGATCTGGAATGGTGTCTGGAGGCTGGAATAACAGGACCATACAAACCTCATCTATCACCACAGAAACAAGGAATAGTGGCAGCACTACTGTCAGGCAAGGAGAGTTAGTTAACAGTGGTGTTACTCTTTATATTTAACGATCAGAGTATCGCCACATGTAGCAACTGAACATTAACTACCATTGCAAGATCACCCCTGACACAAATAGAAATTATCCTAAGTGGACAGACATAGGCCTGTAGGAGACAAAAAAGGCAAGTATTCAAATGGAGGGAAATGTCAAAAGTACAAGCATGAAAACAGAACAAAAACAAACACTTGTAGTAAAAAAAAACCAAAAAAACAAAAAAAAAAACCACTATGGTAACTAATAATAATCTTATCTCCTTTACTCTCAACGACAGTGAGAGCTATTATTTCAATTTTACAGGTCTGAAATTTTGTGCCCTTCCATTCATATGTTAAAATCCTGGACCCCACATGTTAAAAGGTAGGTGGTGCCTCTAAGATGCAATCTGGTCATGAGAGCAAGGTACATCTAAGGCAGACTCCAAAGAGCCAAGCAGTTCCTTCTCCAGAGGACACCACCATAAGATCCACAAGCCAGGGGCCCTCAGCAGACAATGGATGGCGCCTTCAATCTGGACATCTTAGCCTCCAGAACCATGAGAATAAATCCTGTTCACTTAATAGTATCAAGTCTATAGCATGTTATAGCAGCCTGGGCAGACTAACACAGATGGGGAATCAGAGCACAGAGGCTGATTTATGTGATGAAAACCACACCACTAAGTGCTATACTCACTATCTGTATTCTTTCAAGACCCTTGTTTTCAGAAAAAACACGGAAAATGTTCTGATTATTCAAAAATCATTTACTTCACTTACGTTAATGTGCATCTTATTCACAACAGTCCACAGATTATGAGTTCTGCATTTGGTAATGGACTATTGAAAGATGGAAGCTTGAGCATCAAAAAAAGTATCAATAACCTAGTAAAAACCCCTTAAAATCTGTAATGAATTCCCCTAAATATCACTCTATAACCTAAATTTAACATACTTTGCATTTTAGACCTCTGTTCAGATTTTGACAGCACATGAAGCTGATCCTTGTCTTACACCCAGAAATAATCACATAAATGAATTTTAATGAAATACATAGCTTTCACTTTAAGTTCATCCTCCTCAGTTATTAGTGAGAGATGTTAACTATTTTATATAACAGGAATCACTTTTGCCTCTTCTACAGGATGGCGGTCATGAACAGTAAATTCATCAAAGAGACTTCGGGAAAGGATTAGACAGAGAATAGTGCACAAATAGCTAGGAAGTACTGAAAGCTGGTACTAATAAGCCAGTAGGTAACTCTACTACCTAGTTTTAATATTATGTAATGGAATAGTCTAAAACTTCGAGGAAAGATCTGAGCCATGACGTGGAAATGCCTCATGGCTGGGAACCTTTGAAAACTTCTCAGGAGTCAACACACACTTTGGTCCAAGACAGTAAGTACTCAGTATCACAAATATGACTACAGTTTATGCAAGTAAGAGGTATGAAGTATGTGGCTACAATATACATAAGAGGTATTATGCATGTGGCTATAATATAGAACACCTTTTTTTGACTCTTGCTTCCTGAGATAAACAGAAATGGAAGAGGTAAGGTCCAGGGAAGTAGAACTTTGCTCAGCACTGACTTCCTGCATTTTCAAATCTTTACACTAGCTTTGTGATATGGAGTCTGTGTGACAAGCTATAGAATCCATGTATGAGATACAGGGACTGTGGCACAAGCTATGGAACCCATGTGTTGAGTATAAATATTCAAAGCCACAGAGGACAAGAGACTCTATCAACTCAGGATGATTAGGAGTGACTACAGAGTACAGAAGATGGGAACGGTAAGGACAGCATACTCTTTGGTTTGCTACCCCTGTGAAACAAACAGGACTAATCAGCCTCCTGAATGCTGGGTTTCAGCATAGGCCATTTTTATGCAAATAATGGGATTACAGAAGCATTCCTGAAAACTGACCTAGGGACTGAAAAAAAAATCGTCTAGCAAAGTCAATTAAAAGGTTTTAGCATCTTTCTTTATCCCAATAGAAATACTGAGAATCAGGAAATAGCTGCTTATAGCAATAAATCTAATTTGTCAAATGAAAGCTTTGAAATTAATCTAGAATATTAATGGCCTAGCTAAGTATGATGGTATAATCTTATAACTCCAGGACTCAGAAAGTTAAAGTAGGAGGATCACATGTTCAAAGTTAGCCTTGGCCACATAGATAGCTTAAGGCCAGCCTGAGCTATATAAAGTACTCTCTCTCTCTCTCTCTCTCTCTCTCTCTCTCTCTCTCCTCCCTCCTTCCTTCAGTATGGTTTCGTGATATTTTATTTAATTTTACATGTATGGATGTTGGCCTCCATATGTGTCTGTGCACCATGTGTGTACCTGGTACCCTTGCTGGCCAGAAAAAGATGCTGGACCCCTAGAACTGGAGTTACAGACAGTGTGAGTCACCATGTAAGTTCTAGGAGCTGAACCTGGGTCCTCTGGTGGAGCAGTCAGTACCCTAACCTCTGACCATCTCTCCAGCCCCATACATTTGGTTTCTTCCTGACACATTTCCTATCAGTTTAGTAATAGCATTATATAAATGCAAATACTATTAAAGACTGTTTTTATGGTAAGCCACGGGAAAAAAGAATAGCATGGTGATGGAAGGGAGGATGGCCATGGTAATTAACTGAATGCTTGCTTTGGGTCCCGATTGCCTTTCAAGTATTTTGTTACTGTATACAAACTTCCAAACATTCCTAATTTTTATTCATACACTATTATCCTTATTTTACAGAAAAGGAGATCCAGGCATGAAAAGGGTACAGAGAAAAAATTTAAACATTCTCAAACCAAAATATTCTGCTTCACCAGTTATCCTGGAAACATTAAGGCCTTAAAAAACATTTCATACTTTTATAATGGTGGCAAATATAGTATAATCAAAATTACAACACACACACACAAAAATCAGAAATAAGTGATATGACCTTAGCAACATGGCAATTAAACTACAAAATAATATAAAATGTCAATCGTTCCCTATGATGAGGAGTTCATGTCACTTTGTAGTTGTCTTTCTAGAAGACTACATTAAATGATCTAATTTGAAGTCAGTTTGTCTGTTTAAAAGGAATAAATTTATTTAATCAAACTAGTCTATACTTTATTTGTAGGTAAATGTTTAATAATTAAAATATGTTCTAATTCTCATGTTTTGAATTCATTCTTTCCTTTTTTGTCTTCTTAGAGAGATGTATGTAGGCTGGGTTGATCTCAATCATGATCTTGACTCAGCCTCCTTAGTGCAGAAATTGAATTTGATATTGTGAGTTTATATCTATATGGCACTGACCTGACTGTGATAGAAGTCACTTATATAATGACTTGACTTGCTCATTTAAGGTAAGTTACAAGGGCCAGAATGGGAGAGCAAAGATACAATTGATGAAGAACACTGAATTCCAGGACGATGGAGGTCTCCAGATGGTGACACCTCACTCACTGGGAAAGCAGTGTGCCTCACACCTGCTCAGACACTTACCAAGGGGCTGAAAAGAGCGGACCGGGCTCGTGTCCCTGCTGCTCTCTCGACTAGCTTCCCTGCTACAGCCTTGACTCACACTCGGTCGAGGAATACGACTGCTCCGGGCTACCATCAAACAGCAGCAGCATAGAAAGAGGAAACAGAAGGCAGAAGTCAGGCTTTCCAAACTTTAAGTTTCATTTTTTTGAGAACTGATTAATAATAAGTTTGTCTGATTTGGGGCTTAAAATAAATTGCTTTTACTTTTTTCTCTTTTGGGACCAAGTCTCTGGACCCACGGAACCCAGACTAGTCTCAAACTCACCATGTAGCTTTCAAGTCATATGTCTTTTTTCACTCCTCATGGATAAAAACAAGAAATACAAATAGAGAGGGAAAAGTGCCAGAAAAATCTGAGTACTGACTGAAGGTATAATGAAGAATCTAACTAGGCAGTGGTAATGCACCCATTTAATCTCAGCACCCAGAAGGCAGGGAGGCAGGTGGATCTCTGTGAGTTCCAGGCCTACCTGGTCTACAGAGAGAGTTCCAAGATAGCCTAGGCTACACAGAGAAACTCTGTCTGGGGGAAAAAAAAAAAAAAACAGGAAAAGGAAAAAAAAAAGAATAAAATAATCTAAAATAATGTCTAGGAAACTAAAAGAAACAAGTTAGTGAGGATGCAATCCCAGAAGTCCTTGGTGTGACTAAGTCTGTAGGCCCAAAGGAAGTCTCCAGCTCTTAACTGAATAAAGACTTTTTTAATGCAGTGACAAAATCCCAGACTCCTAAACATCACTTCTGAGGGATTTATCTGAGAAAATGTATGAGGCAAAGCAAAAGAGTAAGTCAAGAAAAATGAGACCATCCAAGAACGAGTCCATCCAACCCTGCAAAGCAGTGAAAGGGAATGTCAGAGTGACATTCTTGACACAGGACCAGGCCACAGCCCACACAAAGGAAGATATAACTGCAAAGCAAGAAGTTCCACCCATCATGAGTCTTACTGAGAGGACAATGTCACCAAGGATATGAGAAGAAAATATGGCTTTTATAAAGTTTTAAAAATAAAAGACAGAAAGTCAGAAATTGTTGGGATAACATCCAGGAAAAGCCTCACTGAGTAAAGAAGCAGCCAGATGTGGCCTGATTTGAGCTACTGGAAGGGCTCTGAGCAGAAAGTGCGGAAGAAGTGTCCCTTCCCACACTCTGCAGCACTTAGCACTCAGGGTACTCTTAGGAAGAGGTGGGGCCATGGCATACTGTGTCCTGATAACAAACTTTATTCATAACATAATAAATATTTTATAACTTATTTCTGTCTTTAAAATAATTTGTAAGAGACAGAGTCTTACTTTGTAGCCCAGGCTGACTTAAAATTCACTATACTTCTGCCTCTGCCCCAGGATTAATCACTACGCCCAGGCATCAGTCACTATGCCAAAAGGTTCACAGCTAAAAAAATAAATGTATTTAGCTGGCCGTAGTGGTGCACACCTTTAATTCCAGCACTTGGGAGGCAGAGGCAGGTGGATCTCTGTGAGCTCCAGGCCAGCATGGTCTAGACTGAGTTCCTAGACAGCCAGGGCTACAGAGTCTAAAACCATGGTTCAACAAATAAACAAAGCAACAAAAAATCCCCCCAAAAGTTGTGTGTGTGTGTGTGTGTGTGTGTGTGTGTGTGTGTGCGCGCACATGTGTGAGACTGCCTAAAGAGGCCAGAAGATGGTGCCAGAACCCTTGGAACCAGAGTTGCAGGTGTTGCGAGCTGCCCAGAATGGATGGTGAGAACCAAACTCAGGTCTTATGAAAGAGCACCAACTGTTCTTATGCCCTGAACCATGTTTCAACATTAAATGTTATAAAAGTTAGGTAATCCCTGTCAAGCTTCATCTCTTAAGTTTGATGGAACTGGTAGAGAATGGGTCCCGTAAGATGCCCTCTGACCTCCGTGTGTGCTTGTGTGTGTACGCACATTTCAACAGTCAATTCATACCCTATACTTCAATAACCTAGACTTTAATTCTCCTTGAACTTTCAAAGAGGCCAAAGATGACACCTCACAGAATCTTACCCACTGAAAGCCTAGATGGGCTGGCCTCTCTGCTGCAGCCCTGGCTCCTTGGTATCTTGCTTCTCTTCTGGGCTGAAGCTGAATTGACCAGGACTCGTTGGGCACCAGAGCTCACAGTAGAGAGGGCTGTTGTGGTTAGAACTCTTCCTGGAGACCCAGATCGGCTGCCAGCTAAACAGGAAACACATATAAAAATATGCAAATGTTGATGCCAAGGGAACTTGCAAGGATACAAGAAAATTGTGGCACTATGTTAGGTCCTAAACCAAAGAAATGGACTGAGTAAGATTTATGTACAAACAACGTGCTGGGGAAAATGTGCTGTGTACACCAGCACTGAAGAATAAACTACACAAGCCTATGTTTGGTAATGGCAATACTACCGGGGTTTTTTAAGACAAACAGTAAAAAGATCCCCAGAGAAATCCCATTATCTGACACTGTGTTTGTTAAGATAAAGATGCTCTGTGGAAAAGCATTACTTAAAAGGATGTAAACTCTTAATTCTATCACTACTATTATTTGTGTTGCATACATAACAATGACAACTTGCTTTTTCTTAAAATAATTTGCCTCATGAAGTAGCTCTGGTCAAGGTCAGTTGGTGTTATTCTTATTTTGAAATTTTATAAAATGAAAAACTGTGCTGCTTTTGAATTTGGTAAACGAAGGTTCTTTCTGCAGTGGGCAGTGATTAATGCAGAAACTCCTAACTATTAGGATCTTAGAATAAGGAACTGCTGGGACTTCTCTATTAAGCTCCCCCATATACAAGGTTCAGGAGACACTGCAGAAGGCATTATGGGAAGAATGTAAGGGATGGGGGAAGTAGTGGTGTGAAATGTAGTCTGGGGACACAACACAACTACTGTATTCACTAGCTGACAGCAGCTTGGGTAACCTGCACTTGACCCATCCAGTTAACACAGGTCAGCACAGAGAGAGGAAGAGCTCCTGAGGCCCAACCCAAAAGCTCCTGAAGAGCTTTTGGCAGTCAATGGCTACTGGAGAAGGAAGGGAGAGTTAATTTTCTTTCTCCATGGTGTGGCCCCTAGTAGGTCACCCTCTCACACACACATCCTTGCACATTCTGGTAGCATTAATAGGACTCAGCCAGTTATTTAGGTAGAGGTAGAAGAAAAAGATGAACTGGGAAGAAAGGTAGGGGAGACTATATGATTGAGATACATAGTATCCAATGTATGAGATTGTCAAAGAATAAATAAAAGCACTAAATTCAAACTACATGTTGACAAAATTGGACCATTTGAGAAAGAGAAAAAAATTTTTTTTTCTATTTGAAGGCAGAGAGATCTTGGTTGACCACATTCTAGGACACACAAGTACTAAGGGTAAACCAGAACTCTAAGGGAAATGTCAAAGGAGACAGAGATATAGTCAGGAGGATAGAGAGGGACAGCCAGAAAAACTCTCAGAGATCTGGGTATGGATTTAGCAACACTAAGAAATGCATGTTTAGATAGAGCAGTCTTGAATATCTTAGGTTGGTCTACGATTTGAAGTGAGCCCTCCTGCTTCTACCTCCTAGGTGGTAGGGATTGTAGGCATACACAACCCTACTTAGGAGAAACCATTTTTAAACTAGAAACATATGGGCTAACTTTTTAAAGGGGGGGGAATGACTGTCAATTGAAGTGCTTTATGTGTATACTGAATAAGAAAATGGATCAGATAGCTCAAAGACAGAATCTAAATGAATCGTAATATTATAGAAAAGTTAAACTTGCATTTAAATAGACCTTCAGGGGAAACATTTTCTCTTTGCTACCCATATTTATTACACTGTAAGAGTCACTGCTCACACTGCACAATCTTACTCAATTGTGTCATTTACAACAAGCAGATTAAAGACTCAAATGCCAATGGGAATGAACACTGGCTGTCAAAAATGACAGTGTACAAGGCAGGAATTACAGAGGACTGTCTCATCGTCCTTATAGAGGAAGCCATTTTTAATTCTAGCCAGCTGTCTTAAAGTAACTTTAAGGAGTTCTTGGGAACTTTCAAAAACAAAAGCTTTAAAAGCTCCTGATTATGTTACTCTATGCAGGTTAACAGCATGAACAAGCTGGATGTGGTCTGCTGTGATCCTTATTGTTATGTTTTCTGGGCATGGTTTGTGTAGTCCAATTCAATTCTTGGCTAGTTCTTAAATGTTATCAGCACACACATAAAAAACATATTCCACTGGGGATAGGAATATTATAAAATGAAGAATCAATGCTTCCTTTACTTATTGAGTAGAAGACTTCTAAATTATAGGGAAATTACTCATCTACTTTAAAAAATGATTGTTTGTTCAAAAGTTTCACGATGTTTCAGGTTAAGAATCTTCAAATCTGATTTCTTTCTCCCTTGAAGGATAGTTGAGGCGTCTGTTTTCTCCATGCAATATCTAAACATACACACAAAAACACCCAAACACCCAACATGCCACAAACTCACAATGCAAGATAGGCCAATGAAAGTTAAGAAAAAACTCGCAATGATATTAAAAACATGACAAACTGAGAATATACAGTATGAATTCTGTGAAAACCAGTAATAAATTGTGTGGGTGGAGGTACTGGAAGTAAAAACAAGAAAACTCCTTGAAATGTGGGTCTATTCAGCAGACAGAAAACGTGCGGTTTAAGAGCATATTGACTACTCTTTGTACTTTGCATTTACCAATTGATTAAAAGTATGCAAGTTCACTCTCTAGATATTTAAGCACACTCAGGACTTCTCTTTAATGAATGACATTGGCTGTGCTTATTTTATGTAAGCACTACCCTCTCCTCTCCTAGGAGACCGGAAAATTTCTAGCACCTATAACTTGGAATTACTTATATTTAAAATAAAATACTGAGGCTCTTTCTCTAGTAGAGCCACTACAGAATTGAAGAAAAGGGCATGCTCACCCCAGAGTATAGTATGGAAGAGAAATGCCCCAGAAGCAAAACTTGAAGTTAGATAACTATTTCTTTTTCCTGTTGCAGAATTTCAAAATATGTCCCTCTCTTCTTAATATTTATATCTGTAGAGTCAACTTGGATAGTTTAAAATTTTTAGGACTTTCATGATATCAGAAAGACAGGCCAAAGGGAACTCATGACTACCAGTTTTCGCTTCAGTACAATCACAGAACAGTGGACTGTTACCTAATAGGAATTTCTGCTGAATAGAACTCATTCTTGTTCATGAAAATAGGTGACCACACAGCAGGTGCACACATAAAGTCTATAGATTCTTACCACCAACAGTATTAGCAGATTGTGATCCTGAACAAGTGTAAGGCAGAATTAGGGTAAGGGTTATAATCCACGAAGAGGGGAAGAGCAGTTTAAAATGGATGGCAGATGAAAATAACAAAGCTTTAGTCAGTTCTCAGGAAAAAAAACAAACAAACAAACAAACAAAAAAAACAAACCTAACACACAAAAAGAGCAAACTTTAAAAAAATTCCATAGCACAAATGTCTGTCACAGAAGCAGCACACTTAACAGTGTTTACAGTATGTACAAAGCAGATGAAGTGAAACTGCAAAAGTCAATGCCCATTCTTCAGCTTGTCCATTATTGTTAAATGCTTACAATTTTATTACTTAAACATTTAATTGAAAATTAGATATAGGAACAAATATCACTTCTTACAGCTGAAGAAAGAAGGGGATGAAAAAGCTACGAATTTAATCTTTCTTAAGATTCACAGAAAAGCAAGAGGTGGGGGAAGGAGAAAGCTGCCGACAGGTCGTACATCATCTGTACAAAACCAGTCACTACCAACAGAGTGAGGGCACACTTTTGTTCTAACAGGAAATCTGCAAGTCTCTCCATTAGGCCTGCTTTCATTTATTCTGTGAACCTAAACACACCTGCTTTGATCCAAGAGATTCTCTTTTTTTCCCCCTAGATGATCATACAAAACCATGCAGCCCCTCATGAGTCCCCAGAGCAAAGTGAAGATGGAGGGCACAGTGACACTCCTGTGCAAATGTGCTGTGAAGAACTTGCATTCAAATCTCACATCTGTTAAATAAACAATCTGAAATGGACACATACTCATTCAAATAAATAAGCAAGCAAACAAATAAAATCTTCCTAACATGATCTACCACCTGCATGATTTTATAGTGGGAATGTCTTTGGATCTTAAAGTCCTATGAGGTTTAACAAGCTAAATGTAAAATAATTCTGTTTTTCACTGGTGATCTGAAGTTGCAATGATTGAAAAAGAGGGTCACAACAAAGGCTAAGAATTCAGAAAATTATCTCACAATTAAGTTTTATCCTTAAATCCTGAGCATGGACACTGTGATATCTTTATTTTTCTTTATGTTTTAAACATTCTAACTTCAGAGCTTACCTGTTTCATGAGGGCAGTAAGAATATCAAGGTATAGAAATATGAAATATGAAATACAGCAACATGAATTTCAGTTTTCATTTTATTAGGAATAATAACAAGGTATATATATATATTTATTCTGTGTGAGGGTGCTGCCATCTCCTGGAACTGGAGTTACAGACAGTTGTGAGCTGCCAAGTGGGCACCAGGAATTGAATCCAGGTCCTTTCCAAGAACAGCCAGTGCTCTTAACTGCTCAACTTCCTCTCTCGCCCCACGAGGACAATCTTATCAACTAAGAGTCATGGCAGTTACTCTTGAGCAGTCCCTGTTTTAACTGCATTAGATATGCTCTATCATTTGATGCTCATGACAATCCCATGAGGTAGATGCTATTATCCTTTTCTTTTTATGGATAGGTACAGAGGAATACGAGAACTTTAACCTAGAAGAGCCAGGACTCCACCTTGGACAATAAAGCTCAGAAGTCGTCAAACTTGTCTATAGCACAGACCACTCAGTGATCAAATCCAGTACATCTGTGGTGGTACACGAGACCTGTACCTCCATCAAGCTCCCAGGCTGTACTGATGTTGGTCTGGGCAGCACACAAGGAAAAGGGAGGCTACACTGCTAATTGATATGCTCTAGGAATCACTTCAGAAGCTCACAGACTCACAGGAGAATGTGGTATTATCATTCACTTTTGATATGTCAGAGAAAAGCCCTTGCCTTATAGGAAGGACGATGTGTCATTCTGGCTGTTTGTAAATAGTTTTCATTTTGAAAACAAATTCTGCCAAATCCTCCTGCTTATTTTTTGACTCCTGCAGAAAGCTTCCAACGATAGTCTGCTGGACATTGTCTTGCTAGAAAGAGGTGGCATTATGACATATGTACTCAAGTGCCCTGGAGCCTTTCTGAACTTTATCTCTGCTTGTTCCCTGGCCCATCATCCCAGGATCCAGGAATAAGGCTGATAAAACAAATGGGACATCTACAACCTGACAATAATCTTTAAACACATTCTTTTTCTTTTATAATTTATTTTTATTTTTTATGTACTTTGGTGTGAAGATGTCAGATCTCCTGGAACTGGAGTTATAGACAGTTGTGAGCTGCCATGTGGGTGCTGGGAATTGGACCTGGGTCCTTTGGAAGAGCAGCCAGTGCTCTTAACCTATCAGTCATCTCTCCAGCCCTAAACCAATTCTTTTCAAATAACAGACTATTCATTTTACCTAGTCCTAATATTGTGCTTTTCAAGTGTTCTTTTAAGGAACTCAGTGACCAGTGAAAGAGTAAGAACATAAATCTCAATGTCATATGAAATTCACCAGAACTGGTTACTTCAGTCTATTTTTTCTCTCATTATAAGTCAGAATATATTTGCCCAAAACACTAACCAAAATTTAAGATGATCTAACAAATTTGGGGGAGAATAAAAAGATACTTATCTGTCTTTGCATAGTGTCTTCTAGTTAGAAACAGATGTTATCTAATACTTAAAAATTATTTTGCCTCTAATGGCACAATTTTCTACACCTGCAAGTTTCTGAGTAGAATGTGAACCTTGACTTTAAAGATCTGTGTTTAAAGTATCTCCATGCAAACATCTGAATAAAAGATGAAGGTTTTCTTTCTAAGAGGTGGAGGTCAATGATATGTTCCTAATAACACAAACACAAGACAACACCCACTCAAAAAAAATCCCAAACATGCACAACAACTGACCCAAAACATTAAAAAAATACCTTCATTTTTGTCAGGTGATGATGAACCTAAAGTACAGAACAAGAACTCAGTATGTGGCTTGTTGCTTTTAAAATCAGCTTTGAACTTATCCACTGCTCATCTCCTAACACAGTAATATAAAGTAACCCATTCATCCCAGCAGACTGACAAACATGGAGGGGCTGACGAGCAGTACATACGCTGGGACTGAGACACCATTTTTGTCCGGCTTCTTCCTCTAGAATCAGTCTTGGCACTTCCCATGGTAGCAAGTGGTGCAGAAAGCTTGGCTCTCACCCGACCTGAGGAATAAATATTAACAGATTTAAAATATTTCCTACAATAGTATTTAGTATTAAGAAGGGGAGCCTCCACTATTTTCAACTACTTTTTTAAACTCTGAAAAAGGCAGACATTATTTAAATGTTATACATCTCTTAAACAGTAAAAGTACAGTTTAGGGTCTGCTTTCTGAGAAGGCACTCCACCTAGGTTTAGCTAGAATTCCTAGGCTTAGGAGATCCTCCTGCCTTAGCTTCCAAATATCTGGGACTGTATACCACCAAGCCCAGATACATATTGCTTTACACATGCTCTTCATAAGAATTAAATCAAACTATAGAAGACTTTCATTCTTAGTTTGATATTATTAATGTAGTGGCTGTAACTAATTATGCTGGATGTGGTAGTGCACACCTGCAATCTCAGCACTTAGGAGGTAGAGGCAGATGCATCTCTTTGTTGAGTTCAAGGCCAGCCTGTTCTACATAGTGAGACAATCAGCCAAAAACAAAACAAAACAAAAAAACAAAGAAAAACCAACCAACCAACCAACCAACCAACCAAACAAACAAAAAACTGCCCTCCCCCCAAAAAAACTTCCAGTTTCTAGGAAATTAAGATTGTTCTCAAATATACCCCAGAGCTTTAAACAACCCCAAGCAATCTTTTTAACCAATAGCACACTTCTAAAGAGGTCTGCAGAAGAAGTGCCACAATCAAGCTATCTTTTTAGGTCAGGTGAGCACAGGTGCACAGAGCTGTGTTCACTCTTTTCTCCTGACCAACTATTTTACAAGGAGGAATTCAGGAGGTAGAGCATCTATCACAGAGAGTTCGCACTTAATCTTCTTTTCTTACTAGATGCAATCCTTTCAGCTTTACCTTCTCTTCATTCCCCTCTGGAAAGGCAGACTACAAATGTCCTCACTGTATTTCTAGAGTTTTTTAGGGACAGGGTCTCTGGCCTGCTGGAACTCACTACGTAGATCATGCTGGCCTGAAACTCACTGAGAACTGCAAGATTAAAGACATGCATCACCCCACGTGGCTGTGCCTGGAGCTCTTGAACTAAAGAAAACATGTTCATCAAATTGCCTGTGTAAGCTGCCAGTAGTAAAAACCAGTGACAGAAAAATCTCTACTGCTATACACTCTGGTGCTCTCCAGCAATAGTCTCAAACAGATCCACACTGATGTTGAACAGTTTTTTGTTTTTTAAATGTTTAGAATCTTTTTAAATTAAGAGGTACATTTTGCAGGTAATTCCAAATTTCTGACTAGTCCAATATAACCATATTGCTTAGAAAAGAACATACTGAAGAGCAGGACTCTAAAAGGAATGACTGGATAAGGTCAGAAAATAATGGGGGGAGGCAGGAGTGATGCAGAAGCAAAACCAGGCACAGCTTGAGTGCTGTCAACTGCAGGACCCCAGAACCCACTGCAGGCGTCTCAGGTGTTAGGAGTCTGCACCGGGTGGGGCGGGATGTTCTCCTGACTGAAGAGTAGTGCAGAGATACACAGTGATTACTTCTGACTAAAGGACTCACCCACATTCTAGCCACACTACTGCTTTAAATTAAAAAGCACTGAAGCAAGCTGCCATTTATTTTCAGTATCAGAATTCACATTTTTAGAGTACTCCAATTTAAACTTGAAACAGAAAACTATTTTAAGTACAACAGTTAATGATCATTCATGTCAAACTTAGAGAAAAAACATCATGTTTAAAACCAAAGGCTTTAATGAGAAAGCCTTCAAGAAGGGTAAATATAAAAATTGAGTTCTTTTCATTTCTACAAGTTCAGAAGGAATAAACATTTTTTGACTCAGGAAAGTATATGCAGCAAGTAGTTATATTCTCAAACCCAGTTTGAATCATGAACCAACTCCCTAGTCACTGATTCAAAATTAAGAGATACATTACAAAATAGATGTAAGTGTTTGATGTCCGATGATAAAGCAGCATTCCTACCAAGCAGAAATGACTTGGTATTGACTTTTTTAAAAGCAAAAAGAAAAGAAAAGCATTTCTATTGTCATTATTGGGGAAAATGAAATTATATACAAGACATTATTAAACATGTTAAGCAATTATGTTTTTCTAGCATGAGATGATCCTAGAGATAAAGCAAAATTGCATGATGAAGAATTAGAAAAAAAATCCACACACAATGAACACAACCAAATGTGGAATGCAGAAGCTACCACAGCTGGTAAATGACAGAGGTCTGCAAATAAATTAGCCTGTTTTAGTTTCAATACTTAAGTCCTACCAACGAAAATAGTGTGTGAGAGGTATTTGTGTTACTAACAAAATATTTACTTCTTACCATCTTCAGATGCTGTTCCTAAATAAGAGAAATAAAACAATATTTCAACAAATTCTGAAAATGCTACCTTATAATCCCCTCCCCCAAGATTCATCTGAAAGGGTGAAAGCAGAATTTGATTCAAAGCTCACATCAAAAAAGTGAAAACCAGACAACTAAAAATAGCAAAGTTCTTTAGTGAACATTTCTGTATTTCATTCTTAAATTTTAAAAGGATTGAAGAAATCCAAGAAATTAATTACTTAAGAACAATTTAACTCTTTAATTACTTTTCCTTGCAAATAAAGGTTTATATAAACTTTTTAAGAGCAGAAATATTTTCTGTTTATTTTCAAAAGGTAGCCCATAAGGGATGTAGAGGGGGAAAAAAAACAAGAAACTGGCTAGTATAGAAATCATATCCATGACCTAGGTTTCATTTGCCTAATTTTTTTCATCAAAGCTACAAAAATTCAAAGACCCAACAGCAGTCCTCAGCTATTTACTCATCAGAATTACTTACAACGTGTGTGAAATCTGCTGAAAATGACCAAATATACACATTAGAACTCACTACTCCTAAAGGGCAGTGACACACTGCACGATGCACACTTTAAAAGGAAGGGGTGACCATCAGTGACACCTCAACAAGGCTATTGATTCTGACCCAAACAAGAAAAATACTTTGATTGGAAAGTGATAAATTTTCTAAATACTCCAGCAATATCAAGGTTTGAGGACATCTAGCAGTGAAGGAAAGAAAGGAGGGAGGGAGGCAGAGAGGGAGGGAGGGAGGGAGGGAAGGAAGGAAGGAAGGAAGGAAAGAAGGAAGGAAGGAAGGAAGGAAGGAAGGAAGGAAGGAAGGAAGGAAGGAAGGAAGGAAGGAAAGGAATCCCTTTCTAATGGCTGTCATTCTTTCAAAACTCTAATAATGAAATACTTTAAAATAGAGATACTAAAAATAACACTCATGTTCGCAACCTGGGATTAAATAAAGCTTCCATCTTATAAAAATAGAAAAAAATTAAGGTCAATCTGTAGAGTTTATGTAATAATTAGTAGAAAAAGTGTCTTGTTTCAACAGTATCTTTTATAAAGTCTTTGAGAAAGCTCAAACAACCTGCTAATGCTATAGGCCCTGACAGAGTGAAAAGAAAGTTGCGATGATTTTCTCTCTAGTGTCACACAAAACATTGCACAGACTTGTTACTAAACCAAAGCAACTACAGACAAACTGCAATAATTTGAATGTTGGAACTTAAAAAGCAAAACTTAAACTTCAGTTTTAACTAAATGTCTCACGTGTTAAAGCAAAAAACTTATCAGAGTCCTTTCCTCCCTCTGAATCCAGTATTTTAAAAGAAAATAAGAATTTCCTGTTTTTCAGGGTTCATGTGAAATATTTTAGGTAACTGACTTAAGTTGCAAAAAAAAGTACAAGGAGATCCAAAATAGATATAAGTAACTCAAAATTCAACCAGTGAGTCACGTAGCCATTTTCACACTAAAATTCTTGATAAATAAGTAGTACATTTTCAGAGGATTATAAAAGGATAAACAAGGACCCAATAGAAATGTGGAAAAGAATGATAAAAATAATTCTTACCATCCATCTTGTCAGAAGTATCCTCTTTGATGAAAGAGCAAGCAAAGAACAGAGGAAAACTTAGTATATTAGAAAGAAGATGTTATATCCCCCCAAAAGACAACAATTCACTGTACTGGCTCAGTTTGCCATGTGGCTGCTCACAAATCCCGTCTTTTCTTTGAACTTTCAGCACCTATAATCACACACTCCTTCTCTATTCCATGAGTTCATAGAGAAAAAAAAAAAAAAAATCACAAGGCCACATGGTCAGACAGTACTACTGACTGACCTTTAATACCTGGCACAAGAAAGTGTTAACATAGTAGGACCAACAACACTCTTGTTTTCGAGGCCTGGATGTCAGGATCTTTTTGTCCTAGGCTCCCCTGCAATCATGGGTATATGCCACCATTCTTGGGTGCTGCTGGTCCTCAGCAAGTCCTGTGTGTGATGCTGGCCTCTGCTAACTCAGCTCTGAATGCCTCCCTATATTAAGTGACAGCAGAGGCACAGCAGTCTGCCTGAACCATTTTCAAACAGTATGATTTGTGGTGAGCATCTACTTTCTTCTGGGTGTCTGGAATTCTGATTTTTGTGGCTTGCAGAGCAGGCAAAGCCAATATGACCAGCCCCCTTTCCCTACCCCACCCTGGACTAAGTCTTAAATTGAGCTTCTCTGGCAGAAACACAGTTGACATGTTGCAGCATTCATGCCAATGGAAGGAGACTTCTTAAGACCGGCCCTACAAAGCATACATTAGCCACCCAGATGACTGGACAAGGCTTTCTCCCTATTGGCTCAGCTGTGTAACCTTTCACTCTAATAAACGTCAGCTCTCAGCCCCAAATGTATGGTAGGTAGCCGAGTCTAAAAATGCCCATCCTCTAGCACCCCACTCAGTGACTGTTCAAAACCTTAAGTCACTTCTTGGACCAAGAATTCCCAGGCAGAAAATTACAATCTTCCAATGACACTCTCCTTAATACCCATCTGCTGCTGAAAACACTATGTCTGAACCACCACTCCCTCCATTTCCTTCTTTTCTGGCTCCGTGAAACTTGCCCTTCCACAGCAAGGCTGCCTCCTAGCCCTGCTCTCTGCATCCCACTCCTCACAGCTTTCAAAGAAGCTGCACCCTGAGGTTCTCTCTTTTCATCCTTGCACTTATTTCTTCCTAAACTGACTAACCATGTCGGTGTACAAATGTCACTCCAAAAACTTTTTTTTAAGGAAGAGGAGGAAAGGGCCAGAAGTGTGAGGAGCGCCCCTTTGCTTGTCTGTCAAACATGGGAATAATAGAGATTCCAGTGCCAACTTCTTCCACAACCAACTGAAATTTTACTTTTTTCCAAATGGCCTGACCAAAACTATTTGTTTTCTTTTCCATTCAGGCAATTCCATTAAGTCCACTTATTGAGAATATGTATAAAAATATGCATGCAAGTTAGGTAAGCATTTTATCATGAGCTATACCTCCAAAATAAATACACACACACACACACACACACACACACACACACACACCCTGACCATCTTGTATGACACCAAGCTTCCTCTATAGAAGTTAACAGATTTCAAAAACACAGAGGCCACCTTTCTGCCAAAGAATTCAGGGCTTTGGAGAAAACAAAAGCAATTAACCAGTGACAACTGCATTAAAGTCTATATGAAATTTAATGTTACTCTTTCTTTCTATACCCATTTTATCCCAACTGTTTCCCAAACATAGCAACTTCTACTCAAAATGCTTAAAAGTCAACAAACCTTTAGCCTCTTATTTCTCATCAACATACGAACAGACTGAAAATCTGAGTACAGAATTACCAGACCCTCAGTCCCTAGTGGAAGCCCTGTTAAAAACTAAATGCAGGAAGTGTTTACTTGGAAGAATGATACACTCATCCTGAATTCTGTATGTTCATCCATGATAAACAAGATTCAATGCAGAAGAAAGCAAAGCCCGCCAATCACAAATGCACAGGGTTGTGTGGGGCCAGAGGAAGGTGTGTTCAGTCATGCCCAGCTTTTAGATAGGTGTTCAAATCTGACCTCAGATCCTCAAGCTTGTGTAGCAAGTGCTTTACCCATTCAGAGAAATCTTCCCAACCATGTTTTTACTTCCTTTTATTTGATTGAAATAGTGTCTCCCTAAGAAGCCCCAGCTGTCCTGGAACTCAGAGATCTATCTGCCTCCCCAGTGGCTTCTGGTTTGTTTTATTTCTCCTCCTCCTTCTTTTTTCTTCCTCTTCTACCTCCTCTTTTTTTTTTTTTTTTTTTTAAAGGTAGCTAGTTTTATTTCATTAGGTTGACAGAACCCTCAGTGCCAACCCCTCCCAACATTGTTTAGACAGAGGCCAATTTATTCTTTATACCTCAAGAGGATCTATTCCCCAGTTGAGACAACAAAATTAAAAGGAAGCTGAGCCCAAAGTTTCCAGTACTTTCCATGGATCATAGGAATGCCATTCTTTCTGAACACCATCTCTACCCAGATGTCTGCAGTCAGGAACATCAGTAGCATGGAGACCATGTGTACCATAATGATATTGCTAAAAATAGCACAAGATCATATTTAGTAAATAAACAATGCACAGGTAGAGTAATGAAATGTCTTAATTCCAAAGACAATTAGATTACGGGGGATGAAACAACAGCCCAAGTTCTAGAGGGGAAGGTTGGTTTTTATTTTTTGGTATAATTATTTAAATATTAGATTATTGCATCAAAACATTTTAAGTCTATTTTAAATTGTTATATTATGTGCTTACGTATGCCCCTGATATATGGAGGTCAGAGGACAATTTATAGTAGTAAGTTCTCTCCTTCCGTCATGTGAATCCTGATGGTTAAACTCAGTTCATCGGCTTGGCAGAAGTTGTCTTTACTTACTGAGCCAACTCGATGGCCCTGGATTTAAAACTCCTAACATTTAAAAAGGCTTCACACACTAAATTGCCATATCAAATACAGCACTGTTTATGACATAACCCTGTTCATCACATTCTCAACAGTGGGCATTTAACTCAACTGTCTTTTATTTTTATAGGTCTTTTGATCTGCATTTGTTTGAGTAGGGTTAAAGTCCAACAGTTCTGGTTTTACAGGCAGCTGTGGTATGTATTTAATTTTTATGATCTATATAAGCACATTTGTATTCGACATGGAAAGCATTGCCATCGTAGCTTTTTTTTTTTTTTTTTTTTTTTCTTTTTTTTTGGTGGAATGTGACAAAAATTGTCTCACAGCTACTTGATTTCATATTTTCACATTACACTTAAATCTAAGACTTTTCACCATAGTTTTTAAAAATATGAACTTTTTTTTCTTTGATGTGAGGTTAGTTGAATTCTTATCTGTTTTGTTTTCAACACTGTCTTATAGTTTTGTTCAAGACTCTGGATGTCTGGAATGCATTGTACCACTGTGTAAAAATTGCAAAATATTTGTCTCAACTGACTAATCTATCCTTACTCCATCATTCTGAAACAGGGCCATCCTAGCACACACAAACTCCCGAATCTCCATGTTCTTTCCTGTATGCCAGTGACTTATCCACTTAGTGTCCCTTCACTACAACTTCAAGAGAGAAAACAGAAGTATGCAACAGAGACACAACATGGTTAACCAGCCTTAAAACTTGCAAGTTGATGGATATAAAAACATACAGGAAAAACAAAACAAAAACAACCCAGTTCTGAACAGCATTTGGAATGTTTACCTAAGCTTTGATTAGACACAGAAGACCTCTGCAGTTCTCCCTTATCCCCAAAGGTAAAGGAATAGAAATAAGATCAAGAAAATAGAGAAGCCTATTATAAAGTTAGTGCCTTCCCTTGGTAACCAGTTGGTAGGTGTGTCATTAGTGCAGTCATGAAAATTCTATAGGCAATCATAGAATCAAAAACAATAGGTTTGATCAAGAGGAGGAGGAAAGACAACAGGGAAAAGCAGACACAAGGTGGTGTGGATAGGTAGGTACATGGGTCACCCCTTGCAAGCAAGAATGAACTAGAAAGTGGTATAACATGTCACTTGGTCTTCACTAAGACCAGGGAAAGAGTACAACTGGCTGTCTTACCAAGCGATGCATAAGAACCTGGGTTCAGGGCGCCCGCCCCTAGCCTCGCACTTGGGACGGCCTGCCCAGCAGCGTGATGCGCTTTGGCACCAGCTGCAGCATTCACATCGATGTCGCTTCGAGACCGCTGCAGGCTTCCTGGAAGGGAGCTGGCTTTGCTGCCTCCCACTGATACTACAGAAAACAAATTGGCCTGTGTTATTTGATGATGACACAAGAACTCTAACTTATCATGTTCTACAAGACAGCAGTGGCCGCACAGGCAACACTGTAATGTCACTTTAAAGTCAGCAGGCCTCAGTTTGTTATGATACAACAGTTTTCTTCAGCAAGTTTAAATGGTTCTTTGCTTCATTTTTCTCTTCTGCGAACATAGTGAATTTTGATTATAAAATTCACAGGTCTGTTTTGGTATCTGAAGAGGTGGGGTTTAGGACTGATTTGGGAAAATGAAACACTAAAACACATGACAGCATTATTACTGGTCACTACTAGAAAATGCAAGAAAAGTTACTCTAGAAATAGAAATATTTACTGAAAAAATAATGGATCTTTGTTACTCTTGGGAAGTCTGAGCCAAGACATTAAACTTGTGAAATTTAGTTTCAAGTTTTAAAGGGGGTTTTTAACATACTATGAGCTATGGGTTATTAATAGTTGTGAAATCAACTGAGTGGGTCCTAACTAGCATTTTAAAGAAATGAAACAGAAGAGGAAAGAGATCACAAGTCTAGGTAAGCACTGCTTCCCAAAGCTTCAGCTTATAGACACACACAGTGTTACTGTGTGTGTGTGTGCATGCATGTGTGACCCTGGGTTATGAAACATTTTCTCATTGTAGATCACATCAAAGCAGTTTAAAGGCTCCTGCTTAGAGACAAACTAGGCTGTAACTCTTACTCAGAGAAGAAGCAATTACCTCTTCCGGCCACAGTTGATGGATTCGCTGTAGACCACTTAGAAGAAAAAGGACGACTGGAAGGTAAAAAGAAATGAATGCTTTTAATAGCAAGACTTAATTATTCTAAAAAGAACGAAACAGCAGCTGTCAAGAAAGTTGAGAAATCTTCCTTTAAAAAACAGTTGTTTACAAGACTAGCTATAAAGCAAAGTAACTGGCAATGAAAAAATATAGGCCAGGTTACTTTACTCATTCTGGTCTTTAGCACGTAGACAACTCAGTGCTAGCACTACCAACCACTTGTACCCTAAAATACTTCAGTTAGAAGAAAGAGACACTGTGGTTCTTACTAGCATACAGGCAGCTTGGCACACCAGATCCTGTCTAATGTGATTCCTCCAATGTCATGTCCTAGAAATGCACTACTTACTGAATCAATCATTTATGGTAGAAAGAAATGCACAGAAGTCAAGTGTTCCCAAACATAAACTTATAGAAACAAAATGTGAATCATTAAATTCCTAATATAAAACCCAAAGTATAGTTACTATTATATGGTCCAACACCAGCAGTAGACCATTGAAATTAAGTAAAACCAAGTCATCATTTTTTCAAGGTCTTAGTAGATATAAACTATCTAACTGAAGGAGTTGGAGAGAAAAACACACACAACTACAAAGTGTATAACCTTACTTGAGACTTTCTTGTGAGCTAGATGAGGACCGGTCTGACTGTGGAAGAGATGCTACACTGCCAGAACTCTTTAAGTAAGTCTGAAGACTTTTCTGATATGATGGCTCAAGGGAATTATACAATGTTTCAGCTTCACCAGGAAAGTGGTTTCTAAGACCCATGTATGTCCTGTAAAGGAGAGAAAAGTCCATCAGCAAGTAATAGCTTGTCATGACTGGAGGAACACAAACTCATACGTGTTTACTACATTCACCATGCCAGGTGAAAGCTGTAAACGGACTGAATTCCAGCTGAAAAATCACAGGTTTCTGAAAAAGCAGACCTAAGTTTGGATTATGTTTGTGCCACTTACGGTCCATATAGCCCTGAGTGAACCCCCAATCTCAGACTTCAGATGCATCTATGGAGACAATACCACTTTTGCAGGACTATCTTCAGTATTAAAAAGTTAAAAATGAGGCTGGGTGTTGGTGGTGCATGCCTTTAATCCCAGCAATCAGGAGGCAGAGGCAGGCGGATCTCTGTGAGTTCAAGGCCAGCCTGGTCTCCAGATCGAGGTGCCAAGAAAGGCTCCAAAGCTACACAGAGAAACCCTGTCTCGAAAAACAAAAAAAACAACAACAAAAAAAAGTTAAAAAATGAGCCAGCAGTGGTGGCGCATGCCTTTAATCCCAGCACTCGGAAGGCAGAGGCAGGTGGATCTCTGTGAGTTCGAGGTCACTGGTCTACAAGAGTTAGTTCCAGGACAGCCTCCAAGGCCACAGAGAAACCCTGTCTTGAAAAACCAAAAAAAAAAAAAAAAAAAAAAAAAAAAGGAGGAGAAGAAGAAGAAGAAGAAGAAGAAGAAGAAGAAGAAGAAGAAGAAGAAGAAGAAGAAGAAGAAGAAGATACCTCAAAGTATGTTTAATTAAGTTTTCACAAAAATATAGTACAGACTTACTTTCTTGCTTCCACTCTGGCCTCAGCATCAGCATCATGAATTCCCTTCTTAATAGTTTCAACCAAGACGGCTGCATGTCTACATAACAAATGCATCTTTATGTTAACACTTGGTGGTGCCTTTTATCACAAACAATAGTTATTCCTGCGTGGTACACACCTACCCCAGATGAGGGGAAAGTGGGAGATTCATTAGTAAAATAATTAAGATTGGAGCTTTTTCTTTCTCTCTCTCTCTCTCTTTTTCTTTTTCTTTTTTTAAAAGGCAGAGTGTTGCTATACAGCCCAGGATGGTCTCAAACTCAAAAGAACCTTCCTATATCAGCCCGGAGAGTGCTGAAATTACAAGTGTGAAATACAATACCCAACATCTTTTTCTCTCTCTTTTTCTTTTCTTTTTGAGATGGAGTCTTCCTATGCAGCCTGAGCCGACCTGACTTACATTCTATCTCCCCAGCCTTCAACTAGGTGGGATGACAGCTATGGCCTGTCATATTATAGGAGTTTCTAACAATTTGCCCTATACATATGACCCATATATTGTTTCCTTCTGATAATTCAGTGACAATATATCTGAAAATAATTATTTTTATAGAATTGTGACAGCAGGTAGATAAAATATGCAGTATTTAAATTTAAATGAATTTGAGGGTAAAAACTTATTTGCTGTAAGTATGATCTAGCCCAGTGCTTCTCAACATTCCTAATGCTGTGACCCTTTAATATAGTTCTTCATGTTGTGGTGACCCCACCATAAAATTATTTTCATTGCTAATTCACTGCTATAATTTTGCTGCTGTCATGAATCATAATGTAAAAATCGGATATGCAGGACATCTGATATGTGACCCCTATGAAAGGGTCATTTGACCCACAAAAGGGGTCACGACCCACAGGTTGAGAAGCACTGATGTAACCAATACATAACCAATACATAAACAGCTGCCACAAAATGATCAAACACATAAAAAAACAACAAAAAACCATTGAATTACTTCATGACTATGGTAAAAACAAACAAACAAACAAACAAAAACCCCCCCAACAAACCCTGCAAAGGCTATGGGATATGACTTAGCAGTTAAGAGTACACACTGTTCTTGCAGGTGACTGGAGCTTGATCCCTAGCATGCACATCAGGCAGCTCAGAGCTGACTACAACTCCAGCCTGGAGGGATGGCACCTTTGGTTTCCCAGGGTACCCATGCTCCCATTGACATAGCCACACATACAGTATTTTAATAATTCTTAAAAAAAAGTAAATGAAGAATTCCATTAAAACAGAAATCAGCAATGTACTCAATAAAAACGCAGGTTATCTCTGATGCCTGAAAACCTAAAAGTAGCATGAAATAGTACTTACACATCCCTGTACAGCGCTAACTAGGTGTTCCTACTTTCCCTCACCTCAGAGTTACAATAGATGCTACCCAGTGACACCTGTCAGCTACTGTGGAGAAACATTCCAACTAATTCCTCTTGTTGTTTTAAAAAATTTCTTCCTTCAAACAAGAGGCCCGTTTCTTCCCTCTGACAAACCATTTACTACATGAAAACTGTAATTCCAGAAACCTACCTCATATAGTGTTTTTAAAATGTTTCCCTAATTCCACTTGGAGGATGTTACATAAACTATTCTACCTAAGGTGCCATCGCCCAAACCACCAAACCCCACACTATTCACAACTCAATGCACAGAAGGAACACAGAGTCACAGCTCTAAGGAAGAAAGACAAGAACAAATACCTCCAGACAAAATGAGAAACAATGTAAAACAATGCCCTCTGCATGACTGTTGCCATGGGAAGGGGAATAAAATAAAGAGTGGGCATACGTGCGTGCGTGCGTGTGTATGGGTGGGGTGCCTACCTTTCCAATGAATGAGTTTGCCACTCTTGCAGCAACAGATCTAAAAATTCAAATGAACGCCTGAAAAATAAATGTTAAATTACGATTAAATAATACTGAGAAACACCTTCATTCTTTCTTTCAAAATACTTCATTTTGCCCCTGAATTAAACACACAGGACATATTTTCAGATTTCCTAAATTAGAAAAAACTAATCTAAAGGACCTAACTGTTACTATGCTAGGTAGCTTAAAGGGACTTTGTGTCCTGTAATTTAATTTTGAATATTCATTAAATAGGAAACGTTTATTATGGAACCCAGGGAAACGGCTCAGCAGGCACATGTGACCATACAAAGTAATCCTCTGACTCTTACATTAGCTATGCAGGCCCAACACATATCATACACATAATGAAATATACAGTGATGGTCAATAAGTACATGGCAGTCTGGAACTTCTGCTTCTACTTTACTATGTGCACATAGGATTTTAAAACAAGTTCATGTGTTTTCTCCTAAGCCCTCTAATTCTCAACTTCAGACATTCTGTTTCTCATTTGTAGGTCTTGGGAAAAGGGGCTGTTAGCCAGATTTAGCTATGGGCTGTTGTTTTCTGACTGCTGAGATTTCAAAGAGCTGATTACATAATTGGTCTAAAAAATTTAAATCACATAAAGGATATAATGCCTTATTTGGTCTTTGTCCAATGACAAAGAAGTGGGCAAAATGTATTGCTCTCCAACAGGACACTAATATTGGGCCTAACGATACAAATACTGTCCTTGTATTTTCTGTGGCCTTGACTCGTGAGTGTTTGGCAAGTGCTTTACCACTGAACTACATCGTTAGCCTTTAGGTCTTAACTGCTGATGGCAATAAGTTTTGAAGAAATCAAGCTAGGTATGATGGTGTACACCTGAAATCTTAGCACTTGAAAACGGAAGGCAGAACAACCATGAGTTCAAGGACAGCCTGGCAATACTGCAAAACCTTCTCTCAAAATAAATGAATGTTCTTTTTTTCCAGAAATCATAAAGAGAAAGAGAGGGACTAACAGACTGAATTTATCTACTTACTGTCTTCAACACACAAAATTAGGAACTCTAAATGTTTTATCTGCAGTCTATGGGGTAAACCCATTAGTGCCCCATAATTTACATATTCACTGAGATATACAATAGTGGGTTGTGTTTAAAAAACTTGTGTCATGGGGTAGAGAGATGGCTGGGCAAGTTAAGGTGCTCACTACCAGCATCATTACCTGATTTTCAGCCCAAGGATCCACACGGTTAAAAAAAGAACTGATGCTTGAAAACTGTCTTTCTGACTTCCATAAGAGTTGTGTGTGCAGAGCATACACACACATATACACAGTAAAAGTAAACGAATTTGAAAACTTGTATCATTGTTTTAATGGAAAAGGTAATTTTAAGATGTTATTAACTAATTTGTATTACTTAATGGTAAATTTATACCAAAGCCCCTTTCCCCCACAACTTACCTCCTCACAGGAACTGATTTTGATGTGCAGTTGCTTGTTATTAAAGGTATAAGTCTGGGTACATGGGTATGCTGAAAAAGATATTTTAGAAAAACATGAAAACACTGTGCAGATCATGCAGTGCCTCTCTGTGTCTTATACTCAAGGGCTTAGCTATGGAATACCCAGGAAAAAAAAGCTGCAAATCAGAACTACAGAATCCAAATTCACCTAATTAGTGCAATGATGATGGTACAGTTTTCAACAGACAGCGGTAAAGTCACCAATATGTTATGAAGACAAATTGTTCTCATGTCCAGAAAGACCTGTGAGGTCAATACAGGCGTGTGTGTGTGTGTGTGTGTGTGTGTGTGTGTGTGTGTGTGTAGAACAACTACATGTCAGTGAGATCACAATCCTAACTACTGTGATACAACGCACTCTGAAATGGTGATTTTAACAGAACTTTCTAACTGAATCACAAAGCTCTAAGATTTAAATAAGCAATAGACATTGCCCTCCAATGTCCAATTCTTAGTGCTTTTCTTTAGTGAAGGAGGCACTAAAATGCTCATTATACATACAGAGTGTAAGCATGGACATGTGTCACCTTCGATCTGGTATTTTTCTCATTCCTGATTTAGCTATTAAGCACTGTTATTTTATGAAATTATAGTATCAATAATTTTAACAAAATCTCCATGTATATAACATCCCATATTAAGAATATATTTGCTGCTTTCATCATTACCTGCAACATTTGTGATTACATACATAAGTATACATACATACCTACATATATGCATTACATTCCATATTCAAATGGGTGTATTTTTGCAGTGTTTTGCAATATTTACACGTTCTATAACAACTGTGAACTGTTTTTATTATCAGAAAAATAATTCAAAATTAATTTTCTTTCCTTTATCGGTAAAAAGAGTATGACTTAACTAAGTACATGGGTGGAGAGGGGTTTGTGAGAAACCTACCCGAATAATAAATCTGATTGCTGCACATCCAGAAGTTGCCATTACTTTTGCACTATTGGGGACAAGATTAAAAAGTGTAGGTACAATGGCTTCAGCGCCATGATCAAACTTGTTTCCCAAAACTGTCGAAAGGTGGCTACAAAGGAACACAAAAATTGTATTAACATTAAATACAGAAAAATATTTATTTATTTGTTTGTTTGTTTGTTTAAAGAGTTTTATATCCTAAAGCTAGCTTCAAATCTGGTATGTAGCCAAAGATGGCTTTGAGCTGCTGATCGCCTCATACCAAATGCACCTGCACATCACATGCCTGGCTTATGAGGTGATGGGGGCTTCATCCCTGCTTCTGTCAACTGAGTGGCATCCCCACCCGCCAGGTACTACTCCTTTCTTCTTTTTCCTATCCAGTAACTGGCAGTCCAAAGACAAAATCCATTATTTTATTTTTCTCTGTGACATTTAGAGAAGCTATGTGATCACAGAATCAAACTATGAAAGCTGAGCAAACATTAAGTGAAATTATTACCCTGATTATAGGTCATCTTCCGATATTTCTGTTTTGATACTCCAACAACCTAAAGTCCATAATATTTTACTCTAAAGTTCTAAACCTTGAAAAATATTGCCTATTTTGATTAGTGGTGGAGTTACTTCTTGTGGGGGAGGGGAGTCACAAATATTCTCATCTCTCTGGGGCAGCATTTAAGAATCTACTACTGAAACTCCAGTATCTCCTAAATTCAGTGAACTGAAAGACATCTATAATTTCTTTCCACATTTGTAACACTCCTTCCTCCCTCCCTCCCTCCCTCCCTCCCTCTCTCTCTCTCTCTCTCTCTCTCTCTCTCTCTCTCTCTCTCTCTCTGTGTGTGTGTGTGTGTGTGTGTGTGTGTGTGTGTCTGTACACATGTCCATGTGATTGGAGCGGACGGAGGGCGGGCGGAGCAGTCATCCTCAGGAATACCACTATCTATTTTCTCTCATTGACCAGCTTGTGCCAAAAATTAAGGTTCTTGATTCAAAGAGGTACTCCACACTTAGACTTATTTACTCATGTTCAGTTACAAAGTAAGTTTTCTAATCTCTTGATTCCCAGGCACAAAGGGCCCACAAGTCTGGTGTCTTCCTTTAAGGAGTATAAGTTCCAGGAGGTAGGTCATATAACTAACAGTCAACTTGACTTTTTGATAAACCGGGTGAGACCTACAGCAGCTGGCTGAGAACCCATCTGTGCAAGGGCTTTTCTGGGTCTCTGCTGAATGTGCTGGAAAGTCTGACTTGACAATTTGCTGACTGAGCCCTGGGAATTAGGGTTTGCCTCAGTGCTGGGAAGTAGGGGTTTTTCCCTCTCCTCTGCATTGCAATTTTCACATGCACAGATGGGTGGTCAGCTAGACTTGGAATCATATCTATTTCTACAGCTCTCTGGCTGTGTGCCTCTTTTTTCCACTGTTCTGCACACTAATCTTGGCTACTGCAGCCTTCTGAAACTTGAATATCTGTTTCCTAGTTCAGTGAGATTGCCTTGCTCTATGTGGGTCTCTAAGGCACGGTGATGTAGTCACCACAGCGATGACTGCATTGCTCTGTTCATTTCTATCTTTCAAGTCACTCACTTTTGCCTCCACTGGACATTCCCTGCAAAAAGTTGTTTACTTACTCTCAAGTTTTCCTAGTCCAATTTAAAGTATATTTTGGTTCTTTTTATAAAAAAAATTTTTTCTTGTTTATTTTGTGTGCATTTGAGTACCATAGCACACATGTCAAGGTGATCAGTTCTCTCCTACCACCAGAGTTCAGGGGATTGAATTCAGGTTGCCAGTAAATGCTCTGACCCATTGAACCATCTTACTAGCCCTAACTATATTTCTCAAGGTTATATTTATGAATTTTTCTTTTGTTTGTTTTTCCAGAGATATGTCATCATTTTGGTATTTTGGCGTCTCCTGGCAACCTTCCTAACATCTTTTGATTACATAGGGTCCCTTCACAGGGTAATTATGTCACCTGGCACATCCCCCCTTTTCTTCCAATTGTCATAATTTTAATATACCCCTTTATTTCCCTAGAACAGTAACACAATAGTAACTAGAAGATGTACCTTTGTGCTCCCTGTCTTCAAACAATACTTAGTAACCACTTACGAAACAACAGTACTCAGGTGACTGCAGTGATAAATTGAATTTCAGGGGAAAACTATATACATACAGATTTTGAGAAATTGTAGTGTTATGATTCTAATTTGCTAAGATATCAGAAATAGGGTACTTAATAGCCAAATCGGGAATGGGAAAAGCCAGTTCCAGACCCATTCATTTTTCCCCTATATGCATGGAGTTAAAAAAAAAAAAAATCCCCAAAGGCTGGCATTTTAAGGCTGGTGTAAAGATTATGGGAGATGCCTTTTACCTAATGTTAGGTACTGAACCCATGGCCTCACACATGTTAGCTCAGTATTCCATCACTGTGTCATAATCTCAGCAGAAGAAAGGCTTTAAAAAGTAACAGAAAAAAAGGAAGAGAGAAAATCATAACTGAACCAGTGTACAATAAAAATGATTCTGGGGTCACATATTAGCTTCTTTGGACTGACCCTGCAACTGCTTTACCTATTGACCATTGATTCAATGAGTACTACATTGATTCATTTTTTAAAAAAGTTAGCATTCCAGGTATGGTGGTACACACATTTCAACTCAGCACTTGGGAAAGCAGAAGAAGGCACATTTCTGTGAGTTTGAGGCTAGCCTAATTTACATGGTAAGTTCCCAGACTGCTATAGAATATGATTTTCAGATGTGTTACATTTGTTTATGCTGTGGAACACTTGTTTAATGATGAAAAGATGTGTTGCATCCTTTATGTTGCATTTGTTTAACTCTGTGAAGCTGTGTTGCTCTGCCTGTCAAAACAAGTGACTGGTCTAATGAAGAGCTGAATGGCCAATAGCTAAGCAGGAGAGAGGACAGAGATGGGGCTTGCAGGCAAAGAGAACAAATAGAAGGAGAAATCTGGGAAGAGAGGATCAAGGAACTGTTGTGGGATTTTGATCTGTTTAGCCAATGACTTTTGGGGTAGCAAGCCCTAGGCCGTGGTCTTTGTCTGCCAATGTGACAAGTTAAAAGCTTAGGGAGAAGGTGGCTCGCTCTCTTGCTAGCTCACTCTTCTGGGTGGTCAGAACAGAGCAGGAAGCTTGCTCTTCATCCCTGGACAGAACAACTTCACAAAGGTAACGGTGTCTAACCTGTTCTGTATTTGAGTGTTTACCCCTATTTTATAGCTAAATAAATTCTTGAGAACTTTTACTGGACTCTCGTGGATTCATGCTACAAGAAGTGAGAAAAGAAGGGACCAGCCACTCAGCTACACAGCTACACATGGAATAAGAAGGATACAGAAATAGAGAAAGGTAAAAGCCCAGAGACAAAAGGTAGACAGAAAATTTTAAGAAAAGCTGGCAAGAAACAAGCCAAGCTAAGGCCAGGCATTAATAAGTAATAATAAGCCTCTGTGTGATCTATTTGGGAGCTGGGTGGCAGGCCCTCAAAGAGTAAAGAGTAAAACAACCAAAGAATACCAGATAGCCAGGGAACCGGGGCTATATACTAAGACCCTGTGAAAAAAACAAACAAAAGCCCTCGGCACGAGAGGATACACTTACGCAACAGTGATGCAAGCTTCTCTGACCACCTGGGATCTGAGATCCTTAGCAGACAGCTTAAGTGCTCCATCCAACAAACGTAAATGCTGGAAAAAGCAATCATACTGGGCAGCCCCAGCCACAAGCAATGACCTGATTTTCTTAAGCTAAAACAAAGAGAAATTTCATTATTGATATAGAAGGTGACAGCCTACAAAAAGGTATCCAAAATGTATGATCTAAACATTAAAGTTTTTCTTTAAAATGAACTATATGGGTTTCAGTACATTTAAATAACTAAATTCAGACATTTTAGTGGCACTGAATGCATCTTGTAAATAAACATATAAAACAACAAAAAGCTTTCTGGAAAAAAATCCAGCATTACAAGTTTAGTTACATGTGGAACAGATCGATTAGACATAAAAAAGTGAATTCAAATTTTTAACTATTCATTCTTTTTTAAAGTACAGTAAAATGTAATTACCATGAAATTTACCATTTTAAAATATTTAATTTGTGGCACTTAAGTACATTCACAATGTTGGACAACCACCATCATTACCTATTAATAGCCACAAATCCTTCCCTTTTCTTCTCTCTCCCCTGCTGTTGTTTGTGTGTGTGCTTAAGTTTAAACACATGCTCAGCAAACAAGACACAATCAATACATAATAAATGAAAATGAAATGAGAAAAAGAGAAACAAATATTAAACTGAGTAGAAAAAATATGCAAGACTGTATTCATTTGCATTACAGACAGGCTAAGTCAAAGTTGTAAGAAAGATACCATTTTTCCATCAGAGGGGCAAAAACTTTACAAACATGATAGAATACAGTACCAGAGAAGAATGTTCACAAAAAACTGTGAGTAGAATTATGAGTGATTAAAGCATTTATTCAGCGATTGAGATAAACTTGCATGCACTTTTTACCAAGCACCCACATGGAAGTATTGCAGCCTACAGAAACAGAATTGTTACAAGTATATGCAAAGGCTGGGGACTCAGTTCAGTACGGGAGAACTTATTAACACCATGCAAGGGAAAAAGAGAGCACAAGGACATTTATTACATCATTAAAACTGAGCCTGGTGGGTGACCCCTTTAATCCAAGCACTCAAGGCCAGGAGAGAGCTCTCAATCTCACATTCCCTGTCAGTTAGCAAACCACCCAAGGGGACAGGCTACCAGGCTTGTGAGACAGGCACTGACATGATCAGCAAAAATAGAAGAAAAACGCAGTCTAAAGCTGAAAATGCCTATCCATGTTTTTCACAGAGAAATGGTACCCAACGGATTCTAATTTACTATCACTATCCCCACAGCTGAATACATGTTCTCTTTGAGTTCTGAACAGGAATGCTGCTAAGAAGATAAAGAAGGAAAACTTACTGCATTGGCACGCTGGTCCCAGTCATGTTTGTCATCTGACAAAATTTCCCTGATCTTATTTAACGTTTCTTCAAGTTCTCGACTAGAATAGATCTTAAAGAAAAGAATTAAAATTTAAATAACAAATTTTAAGATTTAGAATTATAAAAACATTTCTTACATAAAATGAAGCACTGGTGTTTGAAATAGTCTTTTATATGTAAGATCATTTCACACTCTTGCCAGTACTCTCCGTGGAGACGTTACATACAATAGATGCCCCGAATGCTCTTCCTCAGTGCCCTCTTTGCTACTTATCCCCACGTAAACAGCCTCAATTTCTATAATGCTTCCAATGGAGACATGTCCAAACAAAAATGGAGCAATTTCTCAAAAACTTCATTAATATACCATTACAAAACATTGTCTAAAAGACATGCTTTAATTTAGTTTTGAGTAACTATTTAAAAAAATGACTAGTGCCAGAATACACTAAGGATATAACTTACCGTATGTGTCACTACAAAAGGGAAAACAATCCTCAATTAAACAGGCCCTTTTGGCAACATTTCATAATAAATAAAATAAATTTGTTATATATTAACATCATATTTATAAATAATATATATTACATTTAAATGTGTATATTATATTTATAATATATTAACAAATATACTATACTTATTATACATGCTACATTTAGTTTTCGTTCAAGGTGCTATCCTGGACTGTAGGGGAAGCTGTAGCCACGCCTACTTAGGGGCTGGCTACAGGTGTGCCTGACCATGCTTGTGAGGGCGTGGTCAGAGTAACATAGTGTGATTGTGTTTGCGCTTTCGGTTTCACTTTGCTTCTTGCTGTACAGACTGCTGCCATGCCGGCTGGCTAGGTCGCTCTGTAAGTAAGGCTTTTCCCTATTAAATACCCTTATATTTCTACCTGACTCCGTATTGGTAATTTCCCACAATACTGGACGACAATGCAAAGACCATCTCTAAATTATGAAAGAAGGGAAAAGTCAATTCAGAAATTCACTCCAGAAATTCCATAATTTTTTAAAGCCACCTCTCACTGGACTCCCCATGTTCCTCCTGGGAACAGAAAGAACACTAAGTTAAGAATCTGTTGTACAAATACTCTTTTGATTTCTGACTTCTCTAGCTGACCGAATAACAGTTTCCATATAAAGAACACTGGAAGATCTAGTGTTAGAGGAGATATTATGATTCTGATTTTAAACAGGTTGTATTTAAAATGAAATGCCAAATAAAACAGTGATGGTAAAGGAGTGCTTTCGATGCTCAGCAGAGGTCTGGCTTAAGGGCAAGATCAGGTATAATCAATACAAAGGTGCTAGGTAACTCCATGATGTTGAAGGAAGTCATGGAGCAACAAAATGAAGTAGGAAGATGGGGCCCAGAAGTAACCCTCAATAAACTATTTAATAGTCAGTTGGCCAAGTAAAGAAGGATCCGTCTGTAAAGGAAATGGAAGTGAAGCAGATAGGAGGGGACGTTACTGGGAAAACACGGTTTCATAATTTTTACAGCAAAACTGTGAATGTACACACACACACACACACACACACACACACACACACACCCCTTAAGTTACACCACTTGGGCTTTGGACTGACAAAGCTCACCATAGATTACCTAACAAAACCCAGTACTAGGCATGAAAAACCTCTGTTCAAGTGACTCTCAAAACAATATAAGCTACTGCTGTTGCCCTTGGTTGCCTCTCAGAGGTTGCAGGAAAATGCTGTTGATGCAAACCCAGAACACTTAGGACACAGGATTTGGATAATTCAAACTGGATCTAATCTGAAAGCCTCCTTCCTGTGGCCTAGTTTCCACGGTGCCGGAAAGTACTATGGAAGCTGCCAAAGAAGGGAAGCAATGATCCTATACAGTTGTGGTGCCTGTGAATCAGAACACTGACTAGCACAGCAAATACCCACAGGTACAATAGTAGTAACTCAAGCCTTGGTGGTAATCAATGGTTGTCTAGTGGGACTTAAGGCCCACTTAACAGGAAGGAAAACATGCTTGCGGCTAGAAACCTAGCCAACTACTCCAGATTTTTGAGTTCATGGATCTTAGAAGAGAACTTACTACTGCCACTTTACTCCAAAGCTTATCCTTCTATCCAGATAGGTGTAGTTCTCACACCTCATCAAAGAAGCTTCTCTTTATAGCCTGGAGACCATTACAGAAAACACAACGGGGGAGGAGAGCTGGCTTATTAGTTAAGAGCGCTTGTTGTTCTTGTAGAGGCCCTGGGTTCAATACCCAGCACCCACACTATAGCTCAAAACCATCTGTAACTGCAGTCCCAGGGGATCCAATGTCCTCTTCTGACCTCTGCAGGCACCAGGCATGCATGTGCTGGACATACATACAAGCAGGTGAAACACTCATACATATAATAAAATTAACCTTGAAAGAGAGAGACCACAACAGGACACAATACTGAGATCAATGATTGATCCTGGGGGAGCCCAGCCCCAATGGATACATCTTCAATACAACTCCTGTACCTATAAGGCTCAGGGAATAAATATTTCAGAAGAGGGGTGGAAAGAATGTAAGAGCCAGAGAACCAGGAAGTCTGTTTTGAAAACAGCTGCTCAAACAATTACAGAGTCAATAGACATGGGAATGTACTAGGAGGAAAATCTTACTCCTAGACAATGAACTACAAGCAACCAATGACTGCTGAGAAAGGGAGAAGTAGCCTCTCCCAGAGCTGAGTCTCCACAACTGAGTATCCAATACAAAATAGTCAACAACAAACAGACTCAGTAGGCTGTATTTATATATTTGCACAACTCGATATATGTAACAATAATAATCAAAACGAGGCCATTAATTTGAGAGGGAGATACAGGGGGAGTATGGGAGGGGGCTAGAGGGAGGAAAGCAAAGGGAAGAAGTTTATTATATTTTATTCAAAAATATAGCATAAATAAATAAATAAATAAATAAATAAATAAATAAAGGAGTGTATCAAAATTTAAGGTGTTAGTAATAGCTAGCATGTGCTTACCATGCACTTACTGGCATTGCCATATTTAATCATCACAATATCCCTGATTACACACTTATAATTCTTAATTTAAAATGAAAACACATTTAAGATAAGTGCAGCTTATCTATAGGTAATAGTGGACTGTTGTCCAGACAGGACAAAAGGGAATGGCCAGAAGCAAGAACCTCATAGTGGTAGTAGTATGGAAGATGAGGGCAGTAAACATCACCAATTACTCACCACCCATTATGTTAGAGCTTTAATGAAAGGAAAATTCTACTTTAATAATAGCATGGGCATTGAAGAAACAGACTCTCTAGGGACAGTGATGGTGATGCAATATGTAGTTGGGAAGCCTGCTCTTCTTCCTGAGGCCAGGCTAATGCCTTCCTAAGGCCCATGGCTTCAAGGATACTGTAATGATCCATCCCACTCTGGCAGAGCACACTGAACAATGAACAAAGATCAAGACCAGTCAAGTTTCACAATTGTTCCTAGAACACTAACCATTTCTTTATATGGAAGGCCTACAAAACACAAACGGAGACGGAAGCATCTTAAAATAGAAACAGACTTCAAATACTCTCAAATCAGAAACATTTTAAAGCTTTCCTATAACTTCATAAGACCTTTAAGCAGCTTAAGGACAGTTTCTCCTTTGAGAGAGTTCAATAGCTTACACAGTATGAAGCAGTATGCAAATAAAGCACCTGGGCTTTTTCAAGACAGCCTTAGTTTGAAGAAGCACTTGGAGTGGCAGGAAGTGCAGGCAGAATGTGAAGAAATGAGCATTTTCACTTTTCTTTCTCTGACTCTCTCTCTTGGCAAGAAGAGTAAAAGAAGGGGTTATAAAACATTTTCTTATATGGAAGAAGCATTTCTACAGTGGAGGGCTCTTCAAAGTGGGTTACCCAATCATATCTTTCTTAGTAGTGGTATAACAATCCTTTACAGCGAATTTAGTGAAACAAAAGGACAACAGGCATGCCATTTCATACAAATTATATCCTAAAGAATCTCCTGTAAGAGCTGAATACAGTGGTACCTGCAATCCCAGTATGCTTGGGAGTTGGAGGCAGAAGGGTCAGGAATTAAAGACCAGATTGAACTACACAAAAACTTATTTTAAAAAATAAGCAAATAAACAAAAACATCTCACAAATAAATAATATCAAAAAATCGAAAATAAACTGAGTGTCAGCAACAGAAAGGACACACAAACTACTCATGCAATAAATAGCTGAAGGAACAGAATAATAAACTTTTGAGTTGTAAAAAGATACATCAAACAACACTGGGGTACAAGGTCATATAATTTGTAGGAATGCTATATACACTATAGTGTCTACTTGCTTATTAGATATGAAATGACTGTCTTACTTATGGATATATACATTTTTGACTCCTTTAGTTATTCCTAGGGGAAGGACTTTCAGATCTCTACTTGTTAGCCTCCCACACTCCCTGGGGTCAAAACTAATTATTTCAAAACTATGAACTTTATGTCTAACAGTGCAATGTAATATGATTAAGTAAAGGATTTCATTTTATTTAAGCTTTAACTAATTTGAAAATCTAATTATGACAATAATTAATGGCTTGATAATGTCTAATACATCATCCATACATTCATTTGGGGGAAAACTTTTTTAAACATTTAAAATTTCCCATTCTTATTGTGTATGATATATCTATGCGGGGAGGACAAGACAACTGTGGAGTTGGTCATGCCTGCCTCCCCCCCTCCCCCACCATGTGGGATGCAGCGTCAAACTCAGATTGTCAGGCTTGTACTGCTAAGTGCTTGACCCCTGAGCCATCTAGCTGTACCTGAAAATAACATTTTTTAAAGGGACAAAAGACAGGACATAAAGGGACACAGAAATCTTATGGGGACACTGAAAGCCTTACCTGAACAGAAGGAACATCTGTAAAAGCTTTTATAAAGTCATCCTCATCAACCGCTCCAGCCCCTCCTTCTTTAGAAGCACCTGTTGATGAAGAAGAAACTGATTTTCTAAGGGACATTTTTAGGTATCTTGGCAATAAGGACAATGTGAACTATCCCTTTGATATGGACAATAACATAATTCTCAAGGATATTCCAATGCATCTGAAAATGGTCCAAAATGGGGCAACTTTCAGAAAAGTTGTCCAGAAAAGTGAAGGCACATGGTAGTAGTTGATTATTTCTTGATACGACAGCATAAGTTTCCAACTACACAACCATTGGGTGCATTAGTAAGGACACAAATACAAGGGAAAGGCTAAACACAGTAGGTTTACTGTAGGTAGGCACAGTAGGTCAGGTATGGTGGTCAACGTTGTAATCCTTGCACTTGGAAGGCTAAGCAGGAAAATCGCAGCAAGCTCAATGCCAGCCTGGACTACAAAGAAAAAACTTGTCTCAAAAACCCCAAATCCATCATCAATTGGCAACTTTAAATGACATTAAATTTCAATAAATGACTGACAAAGAAATGTAAATAAGATGCTATGCTTAAGAACACATGTGAAAGCCGGGTGTTGGTGGCGCACGCCTTTAATCCCAGTACTTGGGAAGCAGAGACAGGCGGATCTCTGTGAGTTCAAGACCAGCCTGGTCTACAAGAACTGGTTCTAGGACAGGCTCCAAAGCCACAGAGAAACCCTGTCTCGAAAAATCAGAGGAAAAAAAAAAAGAACAGGTGAAAGAAGTAAGGATTTTGACATTAAACTTGATTATACAAACCTTCATTCATTGTACAGAAAATCAATATGGTTAGCTAATCAGCAGCAGCTATTTAAGAGCTAACTGTTAAGCTACTTATTATTTTGCAACTCCATCTATACCCTCCTCTGAGATACTCTCACTCGGGTAGACCACTAGTTATCTTTCTGTTGGTTTTAATGGCTTTCTGTTATGACCTGTCAATAGGTGATGTGAGTGAAAAAATGGAAACTGCAGGAATTAAGGACTTTTCGGGAGTATTTACAGAAGCATGTAAACATGTAAGCATGTAAACATGCTTGGGGGGGGTTGAAAGTTATTTACGGAAGCAAGAGCTACACTACTGAAGAAAACATCTCTCTCTCTTCCACATCAACCATTAACTGTGTAAAAATCCTCAGGAGTGGCATGTCATGAAGCCCTCCCCTCTCCATGACAGTGTTGAGAGACCCAATCTTGTGCATGTAGTCAAGGAAGTTGTGAGTTGAGAGTGTAACAAGCACATGATGCCTGGAGTGTGCATCCAAGTCCTTACACCTCTCTCCTCTCCTATTTCTTCAGCACTTACACTCTTTCCGCTCCTCTCCCACAGTGTTCCAGGGATGCTGGAAGGGTTGTGACATCGTGTCCCATTTGAGGCTAGGTACTCAGTCTTAGGACTCTGACCAATTTATGAGTTTCTAAAGTCCACACTGACCAATGAAGAAAATGTTCTCTGACTAGAGCCACCTACTCACAGCATTTAGGTAAGTTCTAGCTCTAGTGACTGTGACCTCCACACTGACATCCACAGCTCTGGGTAAAGTAGCTGCTTCATGCAATTACTTAAGTGCGCTCCAGACTTAGGTGCTCTCTTTTCACATTTTTTGTTGTTGTTTTTAAATTTACTTATTTTATGTGTGTGGGTGTTATGTCTGCATGTGTATGCCTATTAGAGGGTGCTAGATCCCCTCTGAGGTAGAATTTCAGGAAGCTGTGAGTCACTCAATGTAGGTGCCAGGAACCAAATTCAGGTCGTCTGCAATGGCAATACGCATTCTTAATCAGTGGGCCACCTCTACAGCCCTACTTTCAACTTCTTTTTTGTTTAAAGATTTATTTTTATTTTATGTGCACTGGTGTTTTGCCTGCATGTATGTCTGTGAAGGTGCCAGACCCCCTTGAACTGTAGTTACAGACAGTTGTGAGCTGCCATTTGGATACTGGGAATTGAACCCTGGTCTTCTGGAAGAGCATCCAGTGCTCTTAACCTTCGAGTCATCTCTCCAGCCTATTTTCATATTCTTTTTCTTTTCTTTTTTTTAAATTTATTTATTAGTTCTAGCTAGGGAACAAGCTTGTTTCACATGTAAGTTCCTTTCCCCTCACCCCCATATTTTCATATTCTTAATTCAACAAAATCCACTGTGTATGCCTAATTTGAAAATTCAAACTCTGAAGTGCTCCAAGAGCTGACGCATTTTGAGCACTGTGATGACTAATCTCTAGAGTCAGTCTAACTGCATTTAGAATCCAGTCAGGGACCTCTGGGTTTATCTACAAGATTATTTCCAGAAAGAAGAGGGAAACCAGACTTTCCTTTTTTCTTTTTGGTTTTCTAGACAGTGTTTTTCTATTTAACAGCTCTGGCTGTCCTTGAACTCACAGTGATCCTCCTGCTTCTGCCTCCCAAGTGCTGGGTTTAAAGGGGTGTGCCACCACGCCTTGGTGAAATCCAACTTTCAATGTGGATGGCACCATTCCATAGGCTGGGGTCTAAGACAGAATAAAAGGAGAAAGGGAGCTGGCTTAGCACCAGCACTCTTCACTCCTGTTTCTTGACTGCTGACAGTATAACTAGCTGCTTACCGTACAGCAACCAGGTCTTCTACACAAGGATAAGAAACATCCCTCAAATTCTAAATCAAACAAAAACTGTTCTGTCACTATGGGGTCCCTTGTCAGATACTTGGTCAGAGCAAAGAGAAAAGCCACTAATACATGCAGCACTCTGATGTCACAGTGAAGAGTTTCACACCATGCAAGGCTGCTTCAGAAACTAGCTTGTCTGAGATACATGAAAGTATCTCTAGATCAGGGCATATTCAAATGAAGTTTATATTTAGACTTTAGTCCTATTCCCAAAATATCTCATTATGTATATGCAAACACTCCAAAATTTAAAAGTGAAAATATTTTTCAAGTGCAAAACATGACTGGTTCCAAGCATTTTGGATAAAGAATACTTAATCTGTACTAAATGCTCTATAAAAATAGCATGACTTGAGTCTTAAGAGATTGCCCAGAGATTAAGAGCACTAGGCCCTTCCAGAGGATCTGGGTTCTGTTCCCAGCACCCACATGGCAGCTTATAAGCATTTGTAATTCCAGTTCCAGGGGATCCAATGTGCTCTTCTGACCTCTGTAAGCACCAGTCATGCAAGCAGTACACAGACATACATGAAGGCAAAACACCCATACTCATAAAATAATAAATAATAAACAAACTTAAAAATTAGGGAGAGAAAGGGAGAAGAGACTGACATGTGAAGCAAGCTTGTTTCTAATTTGAACTTATAAAATAAAATAAAAATTAAAATTAAAAAAAATTAAGTGATATGGGCCACTTCCTAACAGAGTATGGGTTACTACTGGCAGTTCTGATTTCTAAATCTAACTCAAATATTTAATTATTTGTTTAGTGCTAAGAATTCAATACTTAAAACACAAATGTATATCATAAGGGACAATTAACTTTTAAACTTTTCCAATTAAAAAGTTTAAACTTTGGGGCTAGATCCTAGCAAAGCAATCTACAGATTCAATGCAATCCCCATAAAAATCCCAGTACAGTTCTTCACAGAAATTGAAAGGACAATTTTCAGCTTCTTACGGAAACACACACAAAAAAAACAAAGATAGCAAAAACATTACTGAATAATAAAAGAACTGCTGGAGGCACTGTCATCCCCAATCTCAAACTGTACACAGAACTATAATAATAAAAACAGCATGGTATTGGCACAAAAACAGACAGGTTGATCAATGAACTCAAACTGAAGATCCAGACATTAGTCCTCACACCTATGGACACCAGGTTTATTGTTTTTAAAAAGCTAGAAATACACACTGGAAAAAAAGACAACATCTTCAACAAATGTTGCTGGTCAAACAGGATAGCTAAATGTGAAGAGCAAACAGATCCGTACTTATCACCCTGCACAAAACTGAGCTCCAAATGGATCAAAGACTTCAATATAAGATCAGATAGACTGAATATGATAGAAGAGAATGTGGGGAATTGTTTTAAACTCATTGGTTAGTGAAAAGATTCTCTGAACACTGATACCACAGGCAAAAAGAAAAACAACTAAATGACACCGTCAGTTGGACAAAGATTTTTACCAACTACATATCCAACAGGGCTAATATCTAAAATACATAAATAACTCAAAAACTGTACATCACGAACACAAATAACCCAATTTAAAAATGGGGTACAGATCCAAACAAAATTTTCAAAAGAGGAAACTCAAATGGCTAAGAAGCACTCAAAGAAATGTTCAATGTCCTTAGTCTTTCAGGAAAATACAAATCAAAATTACTTTGAGATTTCATCTTACACCAGCCAGAATGTCCAAGAACAACTAAACAAATGACAGCTCATGCTGGCAAGGATATGGGGGTCAGGGGAACATTCATCCATTGCTGGTGGGACTACAAAATTGTATAGCCACTATGGAAAACAGTATGGTGGTTCCTGGGGAAGCTGGGAATAGATTATCTCAGTCTATGCCACTTGTGGTGGACTGAATGAGATTGGCCCCCATAGGCTCATATATTTACATGTTTAGTCCCTAGCTGTCAGGGAAGAATTAGGAAGTATGGTCTTGTTGGAGTAGGTGTGGCCTTGTTGAAGGAGGTGTGTCACTAGGGGTGTGCTCTGAGATTTCAAAAGCCCACACCAGGCCCAGCTTGTATCTGTTTATCTCTCTGTCTCTCCCTCCCAGCGCCTTTACTGCCCTACCTACCCCCACCCCAGTCTGCTGCCTCTGAATTAGAATGCAGCTCTCAGCTACTTCTCCAGCACCATGTCTGCCTGCCTGTTGTCATGCTCCCTGCCATGATGATAACAGTCTAAACCTCTAAAACCTGGATAAACAAGCCCCCAATTAAATGCTTTCTTTTATAAGAGTTGCCTTGGTCATGGTGTCTCATTACAGCAATGATAACCCTAACGAAGATAGGACTTGGGCCAAAAGGACTCTACATCCTACTACAGAGACACTTGTTCAACCATGT